TGACTGTTGTCGACTTTCGGAAATGGTCAGGGCAGTATTGTTGACGTAGACATGCATTAAAGAGATTAACGAGATAGGCCTCGATAGTAGGGAGCAGCTTTGTAGGACCAGATTGGGGATTCCATCTGGCCTGGTGCTTTGTCGGGCTTCACGTTGGTTACTGCCATTCGGACTTCGTCTAACGTGATTGGTGGCATCGTATACGGTTTGGGATATCTATATTGTGGCCCAATATCTGACAGATCTGCCTCCGGGGGCTCTGGGTGGAGGACCTCTCGGAATAGGGCTGCTTTCTCCTTTGGGGCTGTGTAACTCGTGTTATTGTAGTGTAACGTTGGGGTAAACGTGGCACGTGGTTTGCCCCTATTGCGGACCCAACGGGCAATTCTCCAGAATCCATCTATTGACTCTGTTGCCTGCTCAATTCGTTGGCGATGTAGATCTCGTGCGAGCTCATTGGTGCGCCGTTTCATCTCTTTCCTAGCCTCTGCGTAGTCCTCCCATGCCTGATCTGTATTTATACGACGTGCGTGTCGTCTACACCTAGATACGTGGTGTTTAAGCTTCGCCATCTCTGGGGTGTAGCCCGCTCGTGAGTAGATGCTGATCTGTTTTGTAGGTGTCGCTTGCTCAGCTGCCTGATTGATTGCCTCAACTAGATAGCGGATCGCCTCATTGATCGCCTCATTATCATTGAGCTCCCTTGGGTGCCAATTGTATATGTCCATCAGTTTAAGGAAGAGGTCCCAATCTGTTGCATTCCACTGCTTGCGAACCAATGGAGGAACACGTATAGCTGTAAGGTCAAATTGAGTGGAGATTGGGACATGATCTGCTCCGTACCACCACTCTGGCTTGGTGTCGCAGCTCACTACCCGGTTGGCTAGATTGTGCGATGCCCACACCAGATCAATTGTAGATTTGGCGTTAACCCTCTCGTACGTGATCGTGCCTGGTGGCAAGAGCTGCTCGAGCCCATGCTCATCCATAAGATTAATCAATTCGGTGGCCTCCTCGTCAACGTGTCGGTACCGCGGGCCCGCCCACAGCGGGTGATGTCGGTTGAAGTCCCCCAATACAATATGCTGCGCCCTAGGTGCCATGGCGGTTTGCAGGGCGCTAATTACAGATTCCTCGTTGCTATTGACTCCTGGATTGTATACATTGTGAATATGGATGGTTCCATGGGCGGCTGTATGAAGTGTCAATGTGCTCAGATCTCTATTATGGTATTGGACCTCCCATGTGGCTGGATCTAGCCCTCTATTGACGTAGAAACAGACTCGTGGGCGTTTCTTGTATTCTTCCTTGGGTGTGGGCTGCAGTAGGATATGGAAGCTGCCCTTGAGCGCTAGTGAGTATGTTGTTAGTGGGTCGGTATGTTTGTTGATGTAGGGTTCCTGGATAGCCAGGATATCGTAATTTTGCACCTCGCTCTCACCAAAGAGATGCATCTGGACCTCGTCCCGCGATTTCCAGCAGTTAGCCTGCAGGATTTGTAGTCGATTGGTGTTACGATACATTACTGATTGTTAGCCCAGGTGCTGTCTTCAAGGTTCGTGGTCATTAGCGTATCAGCCTCCTGAGCTGGCTCGATTGGATCCTGAGGGGCTTCGTGGATTGATGGCTGGGTAAGTTCATCCTCAGATGAGTCATCGTCTGGGATCGTACGCACACTCTTACTTCGGCGGACAGTCCTAACAGCTTGCACATGTGAAATTTCTAGTGGAGCAATATCTGATTGCAGAACCGGGGTTCCTGGTGGAGGCTTCGTATTCTGACGTGCACGTGTGTTATATGTATATTTAATCTGGGTCTCAGGTCCTGTCTTAGGTTCAGGATTAGGATCTGCATCTATAACTAGATCTTTATCCCACTGCGCTCTCATAGGCTTTTTCGAGGATCTATTGGTAGGGTCACCTGATGTAGGGCTTATCGGCTCGGGCTCAGATCGTTCTGCCACTCGTTTTTGGGCGGCTGCTGCGCTCTTACTTCTTGAGTTGGCAGATCGACGTGTGGTGGCTGTACGAGCCGGTGCGCGAGGACTTCGCTCTGTATTGGCTGCTTCAGCTGGTGTAGGGTCATTTGGTGAGATGGCTCCGGGCTGACTATTGCCAGGTCGTATCACAGGAGTGTGATATTGTGGGCCGTATGTACGTCGTTGATGTGCCTCTGCGAGGCATGTAGCTCGTATCGGGCACTCCCTCGCGTACGCAAAGTGTTTCGTATTGAGTCTCTTGGCAGGATCTTTGATATGGACATTTTCTGCGGTGCAATTAGCACATTTAGCGTATTCTTTCTCTTTCGGTGTAGGGCAATCCCCTGTATCATGAGATCCAGCGCAGTACGCGCAGCAGATCTGGCGCTGACAGTGCCTGGTGATATGTTTATACATCTGACACTTGAAGCACTGCTGGAGATTGGCTGCTTTGTCGTATATTGAGACATTGTGCTGTCTTCCCTTAATAATAAGGCCGCGTTGGATTGCAAAATTAGCAATCCTTTCATCATCAAATATGACTACAAGGTGGGCATTTGTGAGCTTCTGTTCCTTGATCTTATACTCGCTTAGGAGCCAGCCCGTGTGTGTGACATTCATAGAGGCTGGAAGCTGCGCGAACACCGGGGCGTTCTCTGAGGTAAGCGTGGTTATGAATTGAGGCTGTTTGGGGTTGATATTCGTGTTGACGCCGTGTACGACGACGCCCCATGTACGTTTTTGTATACGTGCTTCGTTTCCGAATGCCCTAATCCAGTCCTTCTTGCGGGTAAGCTGGTCGACGTCGTCCACTGTGCCTAGTAAGAGTATAATATCGCCACTAGGTAGTATACGGGCTGCCGCAATTCGTCGATGTGCGATGGTGGTGTCTTGAGTGCTGCGTATTGCGAGATTTGCCTTCTCCACCACCTTATCCGGGAATCGACGTATCGGGTTGAGGATATTTGGATCGGTATGTTCCAGATAGACCTCTAGGTCCTCCTGGCTTGGATATGGGGTTGATGGCAAGCTTCCTCCACTACTCAATCCCACGCTAGGGACCGTGGGAGGGTTCGAGGGCACCTTACGTCCCCAGGCCTGTACGTACGACTCTGAGCTAGTTGTCACGTGACTGAAGCTTGGAGAATTTTTCGCGGTACGTGTCCCTGGGGATGTTGGGTGGCATATTGCCTCCACCAGGCGGTTCGTGTTGCTTTTGGTCGTAGTAATCTCTCGAGAGGCCTGAGATACCTCTTTCTGCGTCTTTTCCACGTGTAATTCGACCTTCGCGAGCCGCTGCGCTAGTTGCTCATTCGTAGGCGTATTCTTCACCCTTCGAGCCAGGTATAAGAACGCGTCAACCACGGAAGTAGAGAGCTCACGGGGCATGCCAATCTCCAGTGCTTCTTGGTGCTTCTTCAGTGCCTCGAGATCTTTGATGGCTGCAGCTACATATGCGCGTATATCAGGGTCATCTGCAAACCGTGGTTCTGGCCATGGAGTGCCCTTTTTACCTCTTTTCGGGCCCATGCTTCAACCACGTCGATTGAGCAGGCGAAAGTTGGTAAATATACTGTCAAGGAGGTCTATTTTCACTGAGATTCTTTCCAGCAGTACTTTTTACCTGCGTGGGTGCGTTTTCATAGGTGCGCGAGGTTTTCAAACCTCAAGTAATCCCGCGACATTTCGCGGCTAGCCAGATAACGCGGATAGCATGCGGTATTGGCGCAATGTGACCCCCATATACCTCGGTTATATGGGGGTCACCCCTAGCTGAGAAATATTACCAGAAATTTACATCTGTAGCCGTTCGGACTAGTTCTCGTACAAGACCACACCAACGGCATATTTAGACAGGCAGGCGGTCAGGGAGGCGGTCAGTTTCCACGCGAGGTCAATGAGATAATCGGTACGCGTCCGAGTAACCTGGTTTCCAGGATTTGCACGTACAATAACCTATATTGTTGCCCTTATTACTCATACCACTCCTATTTAAGTTGATTTTCAGCTCCCTTACGTGAATATGGAGTCTATTTCTAATGGCTTGTTGGCCGAGCAAGACCGCCAGTTGGAGCTACACGCAAAGATACAGCTGCACAGTCAAAAAGTAGCGCACTGGATTCAGAAAAACCGGCCGGCAGCAACCACCAGGCAGTACGATTCCAGGCAGAAAGAATTCATTGATTTCTGCACAAAAGAAGGCTTTCCTGACGGCTAGGTGGTTACCGAAAAGAAGCTGGTCTATTTTCTAGATCACTATGTCATTAACCGTCCGATTTGGCTGGCCATCGCGATACTTGAGAAATCGTACGGATAGCCAGGGCGCAGCCGTTGTACAAACTCTCGGACTACCATCTGTAAAGGCTTACACTAGTGCCATTGTTGATCTTTGGAGATTCCAGCAATCTCTTGGTACGAATCCCTACCCTAATCCAAGGGGCCATCTAGTCGGAGCTATGATTAAAAACCACTAATTTGATGAGACTCAACAGAAGCGGACCCAATTCACAGACCAAGGTTTTAATACTTTACAGGATGGCTACACATCAGAAAATATCAGAGCAATCATACAATACTGCTGGGCAGGATAGCTATCTGACCAAACAAGAGGCCGGAAACTCCAGGCGCAAGAGGCCTATCTACGTACCACGGTGGATTTCTTATTTGGTCATAATATGCTTCTCCGAGGTGAAGACTGGCGCCATCTAGAACTAGCAGATCTATTCACACTTCGTATGGACGAGGGGCCAACCCCATGTTGGCCGATGATTCTGATGAAGCTTAATGGCAAGACAAATCAATTTGGCCAGCTTAAATATATGGGGGTCGTACAACATAAGGATCCTCTTCTTTGTACGATCTGTCATACTGCTTTCTATCTTTTTCATGGATGGGAGATTATGCATGAGCCGGTGCCGCAGTTTTATCAAAGACAGCAGTGATATAAGTTAATCTTATTCAAAGGGTCTAACTCTGAGCACTCCTTCTCGTACGAAACTCAGTTGAAATGGATTAACCAGGTGTTTCAGAGCATTGGATTAAATTTAAAAAAAGAAGACTCATTCTGGACGATCTAGTGGTGCAAGGCATGCAGAACTACAGGGTGTGGACGAAAATTCAATCTGAAGAGCTGAGCATTGGAACCAGGATAGTATGAGTAATTACTATCTTTCCGAGCTTCCTCGACCATTTATTTGTATACTTGCTAGATTCAAGCCTACAGATTAAGGTAATTATTATCTGCCACGAGCTGCAATTGAACCTCCAGAGACCCTTGTACAAGCTCTCTGGCCATAGATTAATCAATAGCTTGCTTGGTTTTCCCCATCCGAGTCGAATCCGGTGGAATTGAGTAAGCTAGATCTGCCTTCATTACCTCTCCTTGTTCAACAAGGGGTCGAGAAGTATGATCAGGATGATCTAGCTGCTCAAAGCTTTCTCAAGCTTCTTAGCTCTTTTTGTATGGTTATTATACAGCATGCAGTCTTTCTGCAACAGGAATTCCCAGGTCATTCAATGTGGACTCATCCTCTATTCCAACGCTCTGATTTTCAATCCTTTAGCCAACAGATTATTGATCTGGTCCATACAAGCGAAACACCTCATAAAATCAAACTTCGCCAAACTATCCCTCTTGTAGCTAATCATATAACAACTATTGGGGAGAACCTAGAGCATATTATACAATTAAACCATCAGCAAACACAGGACTCAATTTGTGCTATATAGTCTCAGATGGATCAGCTATTTTCTAGGGAGATTATATTTACTGCAAGGCTTACTGGCTCAGACGAAAAACCCAGTACATCTAGTAATACTACTTCTCAATCTACCAAACAAAATACAGCATATACTGTTATATAATCACTCCAAGTTACTCCTAATCCTATACAAGACCACTCTCTGGACATTCATCTACCCAACGAGCCGTCCGGATCTCCCCCTTTCTACCAGATGTCTCGTACAATACAGACTTGCGAGAGCTTTGGGAGGAGTGGCATGTTGGTATTCATGGTAATCCATCTATCCAGTCTCTCGAGGACTCGTACAGATGTCGCTGGAGATCAGATAATAAGGAACGCGTTTTCTTTAGCTGTAGGAAGGTTATCATTGACTGGATACAGGCTCAAGTCTCTAAAGGCATCCTTTTAGCCGACGCAATCGATGAGATTGAACTCATGCGAAGAACCTCGCAGAGGACGCTGTATCAACTGCAGGCTTTACTTAAGAAAGGTGTATAATACTTCCTAGGGCTGGGGCTATATTCAAAATTGTTGCTCATATGAAACAGAGATGGCCTAACATCCACTAGTTAACTACTGTAGTTATTAAGTGTCGGAACGTGAATATCAAACCTAGCGCGTTTCGGCACTGAATATCAGTTAGTCTAACGCGGCACGTGCGTGCCGCGTTTATATGTAGTTAGCTACTCCCCGTCCCCCTTACTCTTGCAGATCGCTAGTAATGGCCGACAAACCAGCCGATTTGCCCGCCGTACACTGGCCCTCCCAAACTCTGAACAGATAAACCCTCTTCAAGCACACCATCAGTTCCTCCGCTCCTCACTCTCATACGGACACGGGAAAGAGGTCTTCGATGCAGAAGCAGAAGCAGCTCTAGCTGGCGCTCAAGCAGCAATAGCGTACCCAACAGCTCAATTTGCTACCAACCTATGGATCTGCCTTGACAACCTGGAAGTTGCCATATGCCTTCTATCTCCCTCTATAGGATCTTCCTAAGAAATCTTTGAATCCTTCCGCACCCTTGCAGCCGCCTGGCCACTTCGCAAAAGGCTTCCTCATACTAAAAGCGGATCTATCCAAATCCGATGGGTCCCTGGACACGCCAGGATCCCTGAGAACGAAGCGGCTAATCTCGCTGCTAAAGAGGGAGCTGCCTCAATCCCTCCTGCTCCTCACAAATCCTCATACGCCTCGCTAAAGAGATACGCCAAGACTCAATCCCTATCCGCTGCTCAGTCACAATAGGAGAAGGTGGCACCACAGAGCTATCAAGATCTAGAAATAACCACTTCCCTTAAGCGCCCTAGGGAGCTTCAACTCAACCGACTTGACCTTGGCCATGTTATTGCGGCCTGTACTGGTTATGGAGACTTTGCAGACTACCATGAACACTTCAACCATGATGATGCTTATCTTCTCTGCCGATGCGGAGCATGAAAAGCACCTCTGCACTTCTTCTTCTGTCATATAGCTAAGAGATGAGCCCCTCAGCCTCCTGGGCCCCCTTCTGAGGTCATCTCTTTTCTCTTAGGCACTACTAAAGAAGCACAAAAGCTAGCCACATGGCTAGCAGAGACCCACTTCTATGAGGATATCTGCCCTCGCCAACCTCTCCTTAGCACCTAGCTAAGATAGCCCTACTCTTCCTTTATATTTCTCTTCTCCTTCTTTCTTTCTTTTCTCCTTCTTTCTTTCTCTTCTCTTCTTTCTTTCCCTCTCTGCAAAACTTACTGTTCAGTTATAATAGTGGTGGAGTAATAGGTCATGGAGTGTATGCGGACCATTGCAGCTGGCAAATACCTAAAACCCACTCAAAGTGGACCTCCCTGTAAGACCACGGCAGCTATGGAAATGCGCCAAAGAGTCTCTTATTTGTACATAAATCTGATAGGACCCGAAACCCGAGGCTTACCCCTCGGCGGCCTATGTCCCAGTAGGGATCGGTGGGAAGCGTGCGAGTCACGAACCACGGCCGTTAAATATACACACACACACACACACACACACACCCCTTACTCTTGGGGGGCAGTCATCAATATCAGGAATTCTATACCATATTGATCAGGCTCGTCAGCTCGTCGGAATAGCTGTTCTACGTGACTAGTGCTAGCGACCTAGACGTAGATAAACCGACATTAAGTAAGTTAATCCAAGCTCTCTTAGGCTTACATAAAGAAGGTTTTATTGGTGACCTCACTCAGTCAAGATAGGCAATGTATGTATAGTTTGGCCGCAACGGGTCACCTGTCGTTGAGGTCTTACGCGCAAAGCGTATGACCACAACGTCAGAGAGGGCCCCGTCCGCGCTCCCTTGTGGGGAGGCAATTGTCTATATTGTAATGGCACTATGAATCTATGTACATAGGGAGGTGGGTGGGAAAAACCAAGTCTTGACTGCGTGAGAGATGACGAGCAACTTGCGGAGGGGAGCGGCTGACTCTCGTGAGGCAGTTGTAAAAAGGAAGAACCCCGCAGTAGCAGGACGTTAGGTGAAGACTAATCCGCAGTGTATTGGAATCTTTTGGTACTAGTCCGAACGGGGTTAGGCTCTGATAGGAGTTGTACAATTTGGGTGAGGAATAATTGACTCTGATTTGCACGTCTTCTAAAATATAGCTAACTACACATCTTGATCCTCTTTATATACACATCATAGTGGCAAAGTATCACGGATTTACGGGATAAATGACCATCCTGACTCCAAACTGTAGGCTTGAGTTTGGCTCTCATGTTCTCACGGATATGTCGTTATTCCGAGGAATCATGATTAGTAATGACATCCTGATTGGGATTAGCGTATCAAATATCCAACACACCCCTCCAGGAATGGAAGCTTAGAGCTTTTTATTCCTGTGTCAAATGGCCTATATTCACTAGTCCTTGGTGTTTTCTCCAATCTAGGAACGGCTGACCGCGTAGGATCTTGGTAAGTCCATCTGCAGCCATTCGCTTGGTGTCCACCCATTCAATCCGGAGGCGCTTCTTGGAGATCTCTTGCCTTAGCCAGTGATGATATATATCAACATGTTTGAGATTCGTTCGAAACTGCGGTTCTTCACTAGTCAATAGTGCAACAGTCTGCTTGTTATCGCATTGGATAGAGAGCTCTCTATCAGGCTTGAAGCCAATTGACCTGAAAACACGTTTCCAAACTTGAAGCCTCTTGGCGGCCTTGGTGGCAGCTCGGAGTTCGGCTTTGGTGGTTGATGTCGTGACTAGGCGTTGTTTTGTGGCTCTCCAGTCGACTGAGCCCCCATATATTTGGACTAAATAACCCTTGGAACTTGTATGGTCGGGGTTGTCTCCAAATGAGGCATCTGAGGCACATATAAATGCGTCTTTCTTAGGATTTTGTGGTGGTGAGAATTCAATAGCTAGGAAGCGAGTATTATAAAGATATTGGATAACCCTCCTTATCTGCTGGAAATGGGCGATTGAAGGATTTTTTGTATATTTAGCTAGTTCGTTGACAGCCTTTGCAATGTCGATCCGTGTCATGATAGAGGCATACAGGGCGGATTCAACAAGCTCTTGATAGGCGTGAATCTCTTGATTAGTTGCTTCTCCTTTTGAGGCCTCAATATTGCCAGATATTGGTGTGTCCATGTTGTTCGTGGTGTTGATATTGAACTGACTGGCTATCTTCGCGATATAGGAATCCTGACAGAGCTAAATCTTTCTCTGGACTCAGTCATGAAGGATCCTAATGTTCAGAAACCATTTGAATTTATCCATTTTTCAGAGCTCGTATTTGCTCGTAAGGCCTTTCTCAGTTTCTTCGAAAATAGCTTGTTTTTTGTCCTTGTTGTAGAACACAAGGATGTCATCAACAAAAAATAGTATAAGAACGCCATTTTTGATAAATAGACATTCTTCATCAGGTATTGGAACAAATCCCAGACTTAATAAGGTCGTTGTTAGTTCTTTCTGCCATAACCAAGGACTTCTCTGTAATCTATATAGAGCTCGCCGTAATTTTATGACCTTGCTACTTTGTTTGAAGCCATCTGGACACAATGTATAAACCTCCTCATCCAATAGACTGTTTATGAAGGCATTTATGGCATCGTATTGTACAATCTCCAAGTCGAATATAGTGGCTAGAGCCATCATCAGCCTAAAATTTTGGGCTGCCAGTGTGGCTGCTCGCTTCTCGAGCTCATTGGGCTGTTATAGATTACCACGCACACAGATCCTTGCTTTGAACTTTGAAATTTTGCCATACTTGTCAAATTTGTATTTGAAAACCCATGTCAGTGGTAGAATATGCTTATTTTGAGGTCTAGGAACAAACTCAAACATGCCTTTCTTGTTTAAAGCTTTAAACTTGGTTTTCGCAGCTTGTATGAACTGATTTTTGAATTTGTGTCGTAAAATGCCTGTCCAATTCTTAGGTTCTGGTAGAAGCTATTCTGTAAGTGGTTTTTCAAGCTTTTCTAGTGCAGCTAAAAGGATTTTGTCCGTTGTCGAATCTTGTAGCAACTTTTGCCTGGCTAAAAATGCACGGCTGAGTTTTTTGTGCTTCTTCCTTGATAAAGAGCTTGATTCTGGACTTAGGGCTCTTTTTGACGGTACTCGAATCCTGGGTCCTGTCACTATATTGCTTTCTGAGAGGTCCGCGTTAATCTCCTGTGCTCGAGAGGTACTAAGGGGTTCCTGAGTTCCTGTTGACTCATTCTTTTCGCTTGAATGCTGAGAGGCTCCTTGAGGCGGGGTAGGTAAGTTGTTGTTGACATTATTTGCTTTTTCTGCATCATGATTGGCTGAAAGCCTTTCCATGGTCACAGGACTTGAAGATTGAGGAAGCTGTTTGTCGCTAGGGATATTCTTATCCTTGTCAACTTCTTCCTTGATATTTTCCTCATGCTCCACCCCTCCAGCTGAGTCAATTTTCAACTTCTTCACCACAGATTTCTTATGATTGTCAATTTGTGTCGCTTCTTGGGCTTCATTTTCTGGATTTTCATGGTCAATATCTATAGTATCCTGATCTGGCTGGGTTGGTTCATCAATCTCCATGTTTTGTGGCACATCTTGTTGTATATCCAGTGCTTGACCTGGCCTGCTAATATCCATAGAATCATGAGGTAATGTGCCTTCAGTATTTTCAATATTTGACACAACTGGGCTGACCATGCTTTGTAGATTCATATCTTCGTCAACTGAGTCAATTATATTGTTTTGCTCGATGTCTTCAAGATTTGGTATGTCAATGTTATCAATATATCTCTGCACATCTTCTCTGACAATCTCTTTAACAAATAGATGTTCTAGGTCATATTTCTTCGTCTCGTCGAAGATGACGTCTCTGGCGCGTATGACTTTCGATCCATTAGATCTAGTAGTCCATACCTTCCAGATATTGTGAGCTTTATATCCCACCAAGAATCCTATCTGGGCGCGCAGAGCCATCTTCTCGCTTTTCTTAGTGTCCACTCTGACATATGCCTTAGATCCGAATAGAAACAGATTCCCAACGTATGGTTTCGTCCCATGAGCCATCTCATATGCTGTCTTATAGCCCAAGGCTTTTATCAGAGTTCTGTTTAGGATCCAAACGGCAGCTTTTATAGCCTCTGGCTATAATCCTTGAGGTAAATTAGCTTCCTGGATTAGGCTACAAGATTTCATGCTGATAATTCCTCCAGCTCGCTCGCTTGGGCCGTTTTGCTCTAGTGTATCTAGCACGGTGACAATCAGTCTGATTTTTCTCTTTTGAGAATAGTCCCTGAAGCTAATTCCATTAAGCGATGACTCTCCATCTAGTTGGATCTCCTCAATCCTTGTCTTGAAGGTATGTTTGATCTCTTCAATCATGTTTTCAAGGTTGAAGTTGACTGACTTTGTACGAGTTGTCATTAGGATGTGAAACTTCGTGTATGGGTTAACAGCATGCAATGCATATGAATTCTTGTTTATTGCAAGATTCATGACAATAATATCCACAAATAACTTTTGGAATAGCCTTGTCGGTGGCGTCATTAGAACTCTGCTGATTTTCTTGCGTATCTTGATAATTGCATAGACTTCGCATTTTTCCTTGAATCCTTCCTTGTTCCTTTTTTGGAACAATGCGGTAATGTTTGCTTCCTTAGTGGCCTTCTTTATGTTTTCAATCAATTTATTAGATATATGAGCGAATCTCTTATGTTATACCTGTGTGGGATCCTTCAGTATTCTTTTGTCAAACGAACTTAAGGCTAACTCCTTTGATAGGGATGTCTTAGAATTCTTATTTGAGTTCCATTCAAGTAGATATAGCTTGCCAGTGCATTTGACATGGCAAAGGTCCTTATTTGTTTGCTCGCTCCATAATCTGTTGGTTTTTCTATTATATTTAATACTGTGGCTCCGAAGCTGGCTCATTAAGATAATTATTGTAGGAAACCCTTCCACATATCACATTTCCAAGATCTATATTCCTTTGCATATAACTTTATCGCTAATAGGATCTGTTAGGTAAAGAATGTACTGTCCTGGTCCATACATTTGGATCTCTATTTTTCTGGCCATGATTATTTGAACATTCAACTGCATATTAATAAGCTTATCCCATTTATTGGTGATATGAACTGTTGCTCCACTGTCGAGTAAGGTCATCTCCTTAATATCAAGATTTCTGCTTGAGGCTGACAGTGCTGTACTGATCGGTAGATTTAGAGATGGTTGCTTGGCGTTGAGAAGTATGCCAATATACTCATCCAAATTATACAATAAATTTGCTGATTCTTTATTCCTATTGTCATTCTTAGCATTAGTTAAAAATGAGACTTTCGTCCCACTACTGCCTTCTTTTTCTAGTTTCTTCTTGATTCTTTGGAGCATTTTTGCTCTGGGATGTCCATGACGTCGCTCTAGTTACTCGAACTTTTTCTGTATGGCTTCATCTGGTTTCCAATTGATGGTATGTTTCTTCAAATTCATATATAGGTAATCTTTAAATAGATGTTCCTGACCGTATATATAGATTCTCATCTTTTATTTGAGTGTTGTGTCTTGTTTTTCCTTCTCTGTCTGGTCGGATTTATTGCCAAATGTCGCCATAGCAATATCCTGTCTAGAAGGTAGATTAGATTTAGTATACACCTCTTCCCATTGTTCGAATTGACTAATAATCTTATTAACTGTTGGTATTTCTATTAGATTGGTAGCTCCAGAATTAAGATCGAATTCAATCATACAGATGGTCCATGTCTCATAGAACTTAGGTAAAACATTCTCAGTTGTTTTGATGAAATCCCTGGTTAATCGGTTGTCCGGAATCTTAGTGAATTTGGCGAATTTCATGTCAATTATTAAATCTCGCTATTTCTAAATTAACTCTTTTGGTTTTAAGGAATTTTTCATCATTATGAGCTCTCGATGCTGCTCAGTTAACAAGGCTCTTTCTCGGTTTGGCTTTGGAGCAAGCTCTTTCTTAAGCTTTCGTATTATTTCAGAAACTTTGCTAATTTCTCAAATCATAGGCTTATGTCCAATGTACACAGTGTCAAGAATATAAGAACATATATACTTCATACATTTCTGGTGTTTCTCGTACCGACTGAGTTGTCGTTTGTATGTGTTGGATTTAATCTGATATTTCTGTAATAATAGCTGCGCTTCACTTGTTTTACTGAAGTCTATCTTAGGCGCAACTGGCTCCGTAGGCTTGGCTGGTGTGGACTCAAGTACCATCCAGTTTGGGTCAGGGTTAATGTATTCCCATACATTCTCCTTCATTGCCTCCGTGCTAAGCTATTCGATCTATTTTCTCCAGTCATTTGTCATTTTTAGGATTATAATATTCTTCCTGGTATCCATTGCTAATATCTTGTATTGCTCCTGGATCGTTTTGAACTATATCATAATTGAGGACGCTCACTGGTTTGGTATCGTGGCTGGCTGTACAAGATTTCCGAATTGAGGATTGATCTGTGAATAGCTTCAAGTGTAGCTTATAGTGATCCCGGGCTTATAACTATTGGAATCTTTTGGTACTAGTCCGAATGGGGTTAGGCTCTGATAGGAGTTGTATAATTTAGGTGAGGAATAATTGACTCTGATTTGCACGTCTTCTAAAATATAGCTAACTACACATCTTGATCCTCTTTATATACACATCATAGTGGCAAAGTATCACGGATTTACGGGATAAATGACTATCCTGACTCCAAACTATAGGCTTGAGTTTGGCTCTCATGTTCTCACGGATATGTCGTTATTCCGAGGAATCATGATTAGTAATGACATCCTGATTGGGATTAGCGTATCAAATATCCAACACAGTGTGATCGTCACGTGAGGCAACCCCAATAAAACAATCTCATTTATGAGCGGCAGAAAATAAGTACGCTAGTAAAATAATACAATATTTGACCCGTAGTAATTCTGGATATTTTCACCTTGGCGTTTCTCGGCTGGATTTAGTATGGTGTCTCAGACATGTCGGTAAGAAATCTGACCCCTGTGAAAGGGTCAATCTTACTGTATTGCTGAGCTGAGCTACATACAATGAGGTACACGTACACGAGAATATTTGACATGGAGAGAAAAAGAAAGGAAGGAAACAAGCTCTCGATCCAGCCACAGAGATCTATATAATCTCTGTGCGTGGCACCTTGCTAAATACAGTACCGCTCTGGCGGTTCCCTATCTGGCAACCCGTAGGGCTGCAGCCCTACGACGGGAATGGCTTCACCTTTGACCTGGTACGGAGCCGGGACGGAGATGGCTCTATCACATCACTCCCCCCTCCCCAAGACGCTTGCCCGCGAGCATCTGACACTGGAGCGTCGTCATCCACATGGTCATCAACAAAACAGTCCTCCTCAGCTACTTCAATCTACTCACTCAACTGGATTGGTGGTCCTGCTGCTTTTAGGTTGCTGTCATAAAAAGCCTTTAACGCTAGGGGCGCGTTCTTGAGGTATCCGGCTGGGTACCATTTTGGATCCGGATCTCGGCCAACCTAGTCGATCCAATATTGCAGCTTCTTTCGCGATATCCGTGAAGCAATAACTCTCTCGATTTCCCATTCCGACTGACCATTAATGCGGAGCTCTGGTCCTTCGTCCGCGATCTGATCTTCTATTGGCTCCTTCGTCGCTGCTAAACGTAGCTTCTTGGGCGAAAATATTGGGTGCACTCTCATGCCCTTTGGCAGCTTGAGTTCGAAAGCATGGCCTACTTGTCGCACTATTAGGAAGGGTCCCTCTTGCTGGTGACCTAGCTTGCGGCCCGGCCATCTAGTATCCCATCCCTCATTTGTCACATACACCATGTCTCCCACCGAGAAGTTGATTGGCCAACGTTTCTTGTTGGCCTGCGTCGCCTGGCGCTCTTGAGCTTTCTTCATATTGCCTCTTGCGAACTCCCAAATCTCCTATATCCACCGAGTCCATGCCTGAGCTTCCTTCTCATTCAGTGTCAACTTCCGTGGCGGCACCGGGTCTGTCCAGTCAAACGACATTCATAGTTGATACCCTTTCTCAATTATAAATGGTGATAAACCCACGGAGGCTTGTGGCAAAGCCGCGGCTGCAAAGTCGACAATTAGCAAGTACTCTGACCAATCATCTATTATAAAATTGACATATGGTCGTAACCTCTGCTGTAAGTACTAATTGGCAATCTCCGTCTGTCTGTCCGTAGGCGCATGGCGAGCTATAGATAACTTAATCTTAATTCGCAGGATTCGACAAACTTCGTTCTAAAACTCTGACACAAACTGTCCACCCTGGTCGGATACAATACTATTAGATAATCCTGTCCATGGGAACACAAACCAGATCCATAATTGTGCCATCTCCTTTGCAGTCGTTGTCTTCTTGTGGTAGGGCATGGAGACGGGTCTCTTGCTTAAGCGGTCCACCATCACAAAGACCATGTTAAACCTATAACAATCCTTTGGTAGCTCCATGAAATCCATTGACAAATACTGCCATGGTCTCTCTGGTATGGGCAATGGCTTAAGCAATCCTGAGGCTCTGTCCCTCTAAGTGGTGATACGTCTGTATGTTCTGCAATTATTAATATAGCGTTCCACATTAGTACTTCAAGATGGCCAGTAGAAGCGCTCTCAGAAAAGCTTCATCATCTTATCCCATCCTGGATGCGCTGTTGACGGGGGTCAGTGTATCTCATCCATTAGTTGTGCTCGTAGGTCTCCCTCATCAGGGACATAAAGGTGGTCTTGGAAAAGAAGTCATTGATCCTCCACATGCCATTTAGAGTTCTTTTCCTCCAAGAGATCCTTTACTTCCTGTATGATGGCGAATCTCTTATTAGCCTCAAGCACCTGATCAATCACATTCTTATCCCTGCCCGCGTCCTGCAGATCTATAAAAGCTAACTCCATTATAATCTGCTCATCCAGACACTCTATAGGTAACAAAGTGAGATTCCTATAATTAAGATTCCTTGCTCCTTTGTTCTTCCATCGCGTTAACGTGTCGGCTAATATATTCGCCTTCCCTAGATGATATTTCAAGACAAAATAGAATTCTTGGAGGAATTTGTACCACCGCACTTGCCTCGCACTCAGCGCCTTGGTTGTCATAAAATACTCCAACACGTGATAATCCAACAAGACTTCAAAACGCTCCTGCCGCTGTAGTCCCATAAGCTCCAGCCTCTATTCATGGAATGCCTTGACGATCGCCAGCATTTCCTTATCATATATATTGTAGTTATGCTTAGTAGAGCTCATGGCTGCGGAATAGTATCTAACTGGATGCCACTCTCCATCATCACATAGTTGAGATAGAATAGCTGCGACTACTCCATCAGAGGCATCTATTTTAACACATGTAGATCTCTCTAGATTGTAATGCACCAATACTGGCGCCATGGCCAATGCAGTCTTAAGCTTCTTGAATACTTCTTGACACTGGCTAGCCTATACGAAGGGAACATCCTGTCTTGTGAGACGATGTAGGGGGCGAGCTATCCAACTGTACTCCGCTATAAACTTCCAGTAGAAATTGCAGAAGCCTAAAAACGATTGTACCCCGACCACTATCATAGGTGCTTTCCAAGAGATAACTGTCTCAACCTTCGCGGGGTTAACCTGAATGCCTTTAGGTATAATAATAAAGCCCAAGTATTTTATAGTGGTAATGTGGAATTCGTACTTCTTGATGCTTGCTTGCAATCCTGCGTCGCGCAGCCGCTGGAGGACAGTTCGTACTTGGATCTCATATTCCACCGCGTTGTTGCTGTAGATCAATAGGTCGTCAATAAACGCTATCAAGAACTTGTCCAAGCAATCGAGGAAGATATTGTTGATCAATCTCTGGAATATCACTGGGCCATTGGTCAGCCTGAATGGCATAACCTCATACTTAAAGATTCTATACCGGCACCAGAATGTCGTTAGGTCAGAAGAGTCTTTATACATGCAAATTCGATGGAAACCTTATTGGATATTTAGCTTAGTAAAAATCTTTGCCTGGCTGATTTGTTCGAACACTTTGTCAATAAAAGGCAAAGGATAATAGTCCTTTCGAGTGATTGTATTTAGCCATTGGTAGTCAACACAGAAATAGAGTCTACCTCCAGGCTTCTTAGCCATAAGGATAGGTGACGCGAATGGCGCGTTACTCAGCACAATGAAGCCTTTGTCTAGATTCTCCACAATGTAGTCCTTCGCGGCATAGAGCTCCTCCGCACTCATGCAATACAACAGGCAATATCCTAGCTCCACCTCCTTCTCCAACTCAATCTTGTGGTCGTACTCCTTCCGCTCCGGCAGCTTGTCGGAGTTAATCTTCGAGAAAACATCTGCGAACTCGTGGTACTACTTAGGAAGGTGTTGCTTTATTTCCTCTTCCTCCAGATGGTCCTCACCCGGACGCTCTTTGTCCTCAATTGCCTTCTCGATTTCGCTCAGACTAGTGATGAACACTTCATCCTCTTTGCTCTTCACACTGTGATTGAATCCTGCTGCGCCTATCAAGGCAATATCTGCTTCAGGGTACTTCTCCTTAAAACAGACTCACTTCGGCTCTCGAACAGCAACGGACATTGTATTGGTAGGAGTAGGTTCGACGGAAGCTTTCTCCAGCTCCTTCTTCATATGGTTCAGCTCGCACTCGTGGCTTCGTCGGTAAGTTCTTCCGTGCGATCGAGGAATCGGGATGCGCGGCTTTGTAACGTCTTGCTGATCGAAGGCTTTGTCCCACCGTTCCACATCCTCCTGGTGAGAGATCTCTATCTCGCGGTCACGTAGGAGTAACTTCTTAGGCAGTGGTACGAACTGCTTCGCCTAGATCTCCTCCTTCAGGGAGACTTCCTCTGGCCACAGTAGCCGATGACGGGCACAGTCAACCATGACACCGTACTTCGCCAACCACATGCAACCTAATATCACGTCGTGCTTTCTGAGTTGAACAATCAAGAAGGGGAGGTTATACATAACCTGTCTATTAACGACCAACAACAATATCATGAGATGAGTAATCGCGTTCTTAGTTTTCCCATCGAAGCCCTTTACTTAACATGGCTTCTTCAGAGGGATAACATGATGGTTGAAGTGTCGAGCGAGCCTCTCAGCTAGAAAGAGGTCTAGAAATGCAAAACCATTGGCTCCAGTGTCTGCTAATGCCTTAGTTAAAATTAATAATCCATTCTTAGCTAATCAGATAGATACAGTCAAACTTTCCTTGTCATTACCAATTAACTGAGATAGATCTAACGCATCAGCAGCACAGATCTCACCCAGGAGGGAGACTTTTCCTAGGCGTCGTCATTTTCCGACTCTGAGCTCTCCTCCACGTCAGCCTTCTTCACAGCTTCCAAGGCCTTGAGGTCGGGGGTGTCCTTCTTATTGAGTTCACATTCATTGGCCATGTGTCTCTTCATCTTGCAGTTGAAGCACTTTCCTTCAGCGATAAGCTACTTCTTCTCTGCCTATGAGATCTTAGCCGCACCCTTATCGTCCTTCAGCTTGTCCGATCCCGACTTATTCTTTTTGTTATCCTTGCTGGCGCCACTACCATTTCCACCCTTGTTCTCACAATTCTTTGGTGCGCGCCTCTCGTTCTTGATAATAATCTCTAGTCGGTTCGCGGTTTGGTGATATTCCTTGACAAAGTCGCGGTATAACATATTCTCATTGTAGCTCACTTACACTAGCTGGCGCTGTATGTCAGGGAATAGATGTTCATACAACTCATTCTTCCACTGAGAGGATGGTAGTTCCGACTCTTGCGCCTTAAGCACGAACTTCGAAAGGAAATCCTAAAACTTGGTGTCGTTCATGTACAGTCAGCGCAACTCGCGCTTGGCCTTGGTGACACTGTTGGCGTCATAATAAATTGTCTTGAGGTATTCAATCATATCATTGGCATCACGGTAGCGTTCTAGTAAATCCTTCTAGAGACAAGGCACGAGATGCTCCGCTGCTGCTCCTTCGCACATACTCTTGACATACTGCATATGAGCCAACGCAGTTGGATAGTGATCAGTGTTCGTCTCCAACTTGTTCTCAACATCGATCAACTAAGAGGCGAACTTCAGATCGTCGCCACCACTGAAACGCTTTCCATCAGGGAGCTTGGTGGACTTCTTCTAGCTAATAGAGGTGGTTGAGGTTGTACCTTCACGAGCTAGTTCACGCATACGAGCAAGCGCGTTATTACATTCGGCGATAAGTTCGACCATAGCATCCCGCTAGTCCTTTACCTGCTTCTACAGTTTAGCATTCTGCTCTTACCACAATGAGACCTCCTCGTCGTACTCAGAGTCCTCAGCTGCATCTCATCCCCGCGCCTTGATGACCGTCTGCTCAAGATCCTCGATGCACTTGCAAACATAATTAAAGAGCTTCTCAGGATAATTCTCATAAAGCTTCTGAAATACAGAGAAATCCAATGACCCATCTCTATGGACCGCCGCCGCACCGAACTCCTTCTTAAGGGAATCAGTGAAATCCAGGGTAAGACGTTGCTCTGGACGCTTCTGTCTGGAGTCCTCAGGACGCTTCTGCTTCGCGTCCTTCTGCGCGTCTGCGCTCAGTGCCTTGCCAGCACTGTCTTGACCAGGTTCCTTCACCATCGTGTTGGCTGACGAACATTAAAAAGAGAATAGGAAATGGAAAAATAGGAGATAAGAGGAAGGAAAAGGGGATCTCTGGCCCAAGTAACAATGATGAGGTCACATGCTGTATAAGCTTATAGAGATGAAGAAAAGAAGAAAGAGGGACCTCTCGATCAGAGCGAGACACGTAGTGGTCCGCTGTACTGATTTACAAGAGGGTAAGAAAAGAAATGATGTCAAATATTATGTGAAAGGGTCAATCTTACTGTATTGCTGAGCTGAGCTACATACAATGAGGTACACGTACACGAGAATATTTGACATGGAGAGAAAAAGAAAGGAAGGAAACAAGCTCTCGATCCAGCCACAGAGATCTATATAATCTCTGTGCGTGGCACCTTGCTAAATACAGTACCGCTCTGGCGGTTCCCTATCTGGCAACCCGTAGGGCTGCAGCCCTACGACGGGAATGGCTTCACCTTTGACCTGGTACGGAGCCGGGACGGAGGTGGCTCTGTCACACTTTTCGTCAATCTTTTCATTCATTTCAAACGGTCTCTGCAGAATCCCAACCAAATCGCCAAAGCTTCTCGCGCCTCTACGCAAGCTCCTTCTTGGCGCCCTCGGGATCGTACGCCTCGACGTCAATCTCAAACTTCATCCCCGGCGCGCCCAGCGCCGCCACGCCCAGCTCCGTCCAGATTGGCGGGTTCTCCGGCATCCACCTGCGCAGATTGCGGACAATGTGCTCGTGCGCAGCGGCCAGGTCGGTGGCGTACGTGACCACCTTGTACGCCTGCGCCAGGCCCCGGCCGCCGCCCGCATGCCGCACGTTCATGTCGCAGTTGGCAAAGGCCTGGTCGACCTGCGCGGCGACGTCTTCGGGCACAAGGTTCTCAAAATCAATCTTGTCTGGCTTTGGGTTCCAGCCTCCTGTGCGCGCGCCGTGAAATCGGTTGTAAGTGGTGTGCCAATTACGCAAAACGGGTCGAATTTTCGGGCTGCGGTCTTGGTGCTTCAAGGGAGAGAGGGTTTGCTTACCTTGTCCGGAACACAGGATTCGGTCGCCGATTCGGATGGCTTGGCTGTAGTGAAAGTTCTCCTTGGCCCATTCGCCGAGGCCCGGATAGCTGTAGTACTTGGGCTGCGTCATGATGAAGTTTTGGAGAGGCTTGGTCTGGAGCAGCTGAAGAGTAGATCAATTTCGCCGTGTCTTTTGAAGATGGGAATTGATTTTATACGAAAGCTTTTGATCGGCACCTACACGATCTGAGCTTGCTGATAAATCAAGCCGATCTGTCGCCAAGACGCTTCAAGGTTTATCAGCTCGGCCGAATCTACCATGCCATTGAACAGAACGTCCGAACCCGAGCACGATCATGGAGTCTTATGTATTTTCCACCGCCAGTATTAGTTCTATAACTTTTCAGACTTGGCTCAAACTTCACGCCTAGTGAACTCTGGCTTGGCGGGCAAGGCCGTGTGCAAGACCTAGCCCGAAATCAGCACACCGTTATAAATAGGCCCAAAATAAGAAGCTTCTGTCTTTGGATGACCATAGCGTCAAAGCAAGAATACCACAAGAACCTGAAGTTGTCAAATTTGTACTTTATTAACATTTCAATGTTGTATGTATATTCGCTTTTCATAAATGCACGCTTTTTTGTGACCTACCACTTTGGGACAATGAATGCCGCCCCGCAGAAGTGGCAGACATCTAGGCGGGCCACTGCATCGAAGTTTGGATAAACGCTGCCTGCTATACAAAGCAAACAAAATTCAATGGGTTGTGGCCGACGGAAGGAAAAATATTGTTCCGTCATATTCCATACGTATGGAATACGATCACGCCGTATCGAATAATCTATATGTGGTATTCCATATGACGTATGGAATAACTAGCTAGTACGCGTATGGATAGAAAGCCTGCTTATTTCAATGGATTCCCAGCTTAGCAATCCGTCCGAACTCATCCGAGCTCGTCCGTAGTGCTTAGAAATTGAGCGCTTGATCTCTCAATAGAAAAGTATAAATACATAACTATCTAACACTAATACTGACAACAAGTTATCTCTAACTATCGCTCTATATCATCAAGACACTTCATTTTCCCCGAAAACCACCATTATGAGCCTTATCCAACCCCAGCTTGACGCCTCCCGCGAGAAACTCTTCACAACATATCCCGATGAATTCAAGATCCCAATTGGAGCCGTTCTATCAGATCTCTCCAAATTCGATCGTTCCACTGCTATCAAGGTCGGCGACAAGCTTCCCAAATTCAACCTCCCAGATGCCGTAGAGAAGGAGCAATCCAGCGCCGAGCTCCTCTCACGCGGTCCTCTCGTGATAGCCTTTTACCGCGGGGAATGGTGTCCGGCCTGCAATATCGCTATAAGTGGCCTGCAGAGGCATCTTGCCGAATTTACTGCCAAAGGCGTCACTCTCGTCGGCATCACGCCCCAGAAGCCAAGCGGTCTCCTCACGATGACCGAGAAGCACAATCTCGGATTTCCGGTCCTCTCGGATCTCCATAATGAATATGCGCGCAAGCTGGGCATCGTTTGGAAGCACCCGGATGCTATAGGTCCTCTGGTCGAGCAGATCAACGGCATGAAGTTTGCGGAGGTTAACGGCGACGATTCGAACGAGGTCCCGTTTCCGGCTACGCTGCTGGTCGATCAGAGCGGGACGGTTCGCAATATATTCCTTGAACCGGACTGGACTAGGCGTGTTGAGCCTACGACTGTGTTAGAGTGGATCAACGCGTTGTGACGGGATTTTGAGCGTCAGATAAATCTTTTGAGGTACTTTAGATAATACAATATTTTTTAATATTGTATTTTTTTTTTATAATTTTGTACAATTTTCTTTTTTATATTCATTCAATATATAACAATAAAATGTTGGGTAGTAATAAAGGATTATTGTGTTGTAGCTTATTTAATTTACAGCTATAAAGATTGTTCCTATTATAACATGGAATCCATGGAAACCTGTACCAAAGAAAAAAAATTTACCAAATACACCATCACTAATAGTATGATGACACTGAATATTCTATACCTTGGAACACAGTAAATATTACTGCTAATAATACAGTAAATATAGTACCATATATAGCTCTTTTTCTATCACCTTTTATTAAAGCATGATGAGCATATGTTACAGTAGCACCACTACTTAATAATATAACTGTATTTAATAATGGTAATTCAAAAGGATTTACAGGTTCTATACCCATAGGTGGTCATTGAGCTCCTAATTCTACTGTAGGTGTTAATGCACTATGAAAGAATGCTCAAAATATAGCTGCAAAGAATAAAGCTTCAGATACTAATATATCTTTCTCGCAAGAAGCTTGGGAAGAAGATATCTTACAGTTCCTTACACTTAATCGACTTCCATTTCATCTTATCGAGCATCCAATGTTTCAGCGGCTTATTTCTCGGGCTCGCTGCGCTCCATCACTGCCAATAATCCTATCTGCTGATACAATTCGTCGCCGACTAAGAAGCCTTGTTCAAGACTGGCAAGAGCGTGCCCTTCGAACACTACCCGCTAGCTCAAAGATATCAATTGCACTGGACTACTGGACATCTCTATTCTCACAAGCATTTATAGCAATTACAGGCTATTTTATTGATGCTGATTGGGTCTATCGCGAGGTACTACTTAGATTTAAGCCTCTTTATGGGCCACATACTGGTGTGAATCTAAGTAGCGTCGTTCTTCAAACTCTTATGGAGTATAACCTTGAATCACGAGTATTTGGGTTAACAACAGATAATGCATCTAATAATAAGACCTTGGTAGATTCTCTTCAACAAGCTCTACCAGATAGTGTTATTATTACCCAGATTCCATGCCTTGCTCATGTTATTTAGCTCGGCCTTAACCAGCTTCTTGATCGCATTAAGGCAGTCCCATTAAATGACTCTGCTGTAACGAAATGGACAGAAAAGTAGTCAGGACTAGCCCAAGCGAATGCGCAGCACCAAGGGCAAGAGATATCTTATACCTTAAATAAGATCCGCTATCTTGCAATCTATGTGAACGCAAGTCCTCAGCGCCAGGAGACTTTCTATAACCTCTAGATGTCAAGCGTGAAGCTAGTGCCTATCCAAGATGTGAGAACTCGATGGAATTCAACTTTTCTAATGCTTTGTCGGGCAAAGCGCTTACGCAGTATCTTTGCGCCATTTTGTGCAGAGTATGACTGTGAAGAGATGTTACTTTAGGATGAGGAGTGGCGCCAGGTTGACTATCTTCTTTGTATTACTGAGCCATTCTTTGACTATACAACTCAGCTATCAAAGACCTGAGACGTCACAGCACATTATGTGTTTAAGATTTACAATAAACTCTTTAAGCACCTTGAGCAGTCAATAAAGCAGCTACAACGAAAGCGCGCTCCATGGAAGCAACAAATGCTTCATGCACTAGAGGCTGGTCGGACAAAGCTTGATGAGTACTACTCTCAAACTGATTATATTCCAGGGCACATTTATGCAGTCAGTACGATGCTGGCACCAGTAAATAAATTCAAATTCTTCCTTACAAAGGATTGGGATCAGAAATGGCGGGATATCTATCGCAAGTCCTTCCAACAGGCTCTTATTCCATATCAAGAGCAACTTTCAACAAGTAACCGGTCTTCAGACGGGTCTCACTCAGCAGCTCGGCTAAGCTCAAAGCTTGATAAGATGTTAGATGAGAGTGAGGCACAGCCAAATGCAGCAACTGATGAAATGACCCAATACCTTGATAGTGGTTTGTTTGCACGAAGTCTTTGCTAAAATATACTAACTACTTAATAGATACTATTCATATTGCGCCTCTTGCATTCTGGAAAGAGCATCAAACTCGCTTTCCAGCAATTGCTGCCCTTGCGCGGGATATACTCTCCTTTCCTGCAACAGGCGCAGGAGTTGAACGGCTCTTTAATACTGCTCGGGATGTCTGCCATTATTGTCGAGGGAGAATAAAGTCGCAGACGATTGAAGAATTAATGATGTTTCTTTGCACTTCAAGGTTTGATATAGAAGAGCAGGAGGCAAAGCTTCTAGAGAAGTTCTTCTCCTATGAGGAAATGGAATCTGCAAAGGAGGAGAAGGATGAAAAGCTTGACAAGATTGAGATAGATCTAATTAGTGATACTGAAGAGCAGTATACTATAATTAATGATGAGATAGGGCTAGACGAGATAGGCGAGGCAGATGAAGTAGGTGAAGCGCAGATACCACTGCCTAGGAACAACACCCAGGTACGGGTCTCAGGACGGAAGCGCAAGAGTCGAGATGACGATATCTTTGAGTATCATTAGTTAGTGTTGGCACGTCAATATCAAGCCTTATAATAACTGAACTTCAATGAGGCGATCATTGAAGCGATCAAGTATACTGCCGGGCGGTGAGCACACTGCTCTATTGCGCTGAACTCCCGGCACCCCTTTCTTAGGAATCAAGCAGAATATTAGGAATCAAAATAGATTCCATTGTGCTTCACTTTGTCGGACCGCCCTTTCTTCAAATCTATTGAGCTGATCTAGGACGGGGATAAACCGATAGTTAGATTTCAGCTGGAGATAGAAATATATTATACTTTGCCTTCTGATTCTTCGATATTCTTTAGTCTTTCTTGTTCTTGCTTCTCTTGATTTAGCTGTAAAGGAAATACTGAATATTACAGACAAAAAATGCATAATTTATGTAGTCACGGGCCTTGGCATATATGTTACGTTTGTAACCCAAGTTGGGGCCCCGGACCCAGGCTGGGTCACCCAAGTGTAACCCGGACCCAAAGCTGGGTCAGAGTCTTCGACCCAAAACCCAACCCAGCCCGGGTTGGGTCCGGGTTATATTGGGTCATGCGGAAGTCTAAACCAAAGTACAGGTTAGAAAGCCCATTTCCCGTGAGGCCATTATAAAACTATTATCTAGCCTAATTGAACTTCCATCGCAGCCCTTAGAGATGACTGTAGATCTCAGAGATGACCTGAACTTCACAACCACCTGTTAGGTGGCATTTGCTGGATGCCTCCATATTGGAGAATTCACCTATAAGAAAGAAGACCTCAACGCATCCTCTATCTTCGCGTTAACAAAGTTAATACATTCAGACATTAGATTCTCTCCCACATTAGACCATGTACAACTCACGCTCAAGCGAAGTATGATGGATTGCCGCTATAAAGGAGTATAGATTATCCTCGCTAAAACAGGAGATGGAGCATACCTAGTCAACGCCCTTCAAAAGCTGCTCTTTCTTAACCCTAGAGGACTTAACGCACTATTGTTCTCCTTCTATAGAAGACTATTTCCTTGTAATAACTTCCTCTCTACATTATTGAATAGACTAAAAATACTTGGACTGCAAACAGATAGCTACTTAGGTCATAGTTTTCGAAAAGGTGCAGCACAGCATGCTCACAATAGCAGAATTTTAGATAACTGTCGGATTGGTCGGTTTATTCCAGGCCAATCCTGAAGAGTGTTTTACTAGGATCAAAGAAAAGAAGTGACTAGCAAGATTGTATGTATTGAGTTCTGTGTCTGTCTTTCAAGTTTTTTTTTTTTAAAGCCGGGTCCTTTATAGACACCTTTGGCGGGGTGATTTGTGAGCTATCAGGAGGGGTAAATATTGGGCTGAAATCTAGGTGCCCAGATATATGCCTAAAGGTGCCTTTTAGACCTGTAAGATTGAACAGTCGATCTTTCTGCCTCGTTTGAAAGCCGGATTATCTGACAATAACCAGATCTAGGCCCTTAGCAGATGGACCTCAGAGGCATTTAGGGTTGGGTTAGGGTTATGATTAGTCTTCACCTAACGTCCTGCATACTTCGGGGTTCTTCCTTCTTACAACTGCCTCACGAGAGTCAGCCGCTCGCCTCCGCAAGTTGCTCGTCATCTCTCACGCAGTCAAGACTTGATTTTCCCACCCACCTCCCTATGTACATAGATTCATAGTGCCATTACAATACAGACAATTGCCTCCCCACAAGGGAGCGCGGACGGGGCCCTCTCTGGCGTTGCGGTCATACGCTTTGTGCGTAAGACCTCAACGACAGGTGACCCGTTGCGGCCAAACTATATATGCATTGCCTATCTTGACTGAGTGAGGTCACCAATAAAGAATTATTTATTACCCCATTTGTCAATCTCACTAGAGCAGAAGAGCGTGTTGGCACCACCGATGATATTGCTGATGCCATGCTTCTGCTCGTTTCCGAAAAGAGCCGTTGGATAACGGCTCAATTCATCTCGGTAAGCGGAGGCATCAACATCATGTAAATGAGCAGCAAGTAGCTAGTATACCGAATGATCAGAAACTGTCATCTTGGCTATTCCAATCCAGAAATAGGAGAGCTTACGTTTTATGCAAGTACTTTCGGTCGTACGTAGATCCAAATCATGTTCAGTAGTGTCGGCATTGAAATTTGGAGGTAACTTTGTAAGCCCTACACTTTTCGGACCAGTTGATGCACTTATCGCCGTCGACACATCGAGACTCTGTTTTCTGTGCTTTTATATCATTAAGTTTATTCATTCAACTTGTATCTCTCTTGTGGCTGTAGAATCTTTTTGTGCAAGTCGACTATTGCTGTACAGCAGAGGAGGTATTATCTGTCAGTTCTTTTTCATCTTACTTTCCCAACCCACTTTGGTAACATTATAGTAATTATAAAACAAAGAAGCAAAAAAGAAGGTAACAGAATTTAATAATAGGGAAAAGAAGTTGACACACAATGCATCGGCACCAAAGAAAAATCGTACTATTACACAAGAGTAGGGAAAGGATATGAAGTTTCAAAGCCACTAACCCTTTCTTGGATGCAAACCCGGAGTACAACCATACAATATTAAGTATACCACAAAAGAAAGGTGTAATGATCTGTAGAATACTTACACGGCTGCTCCGATGGGGGTATCATCGGGTGCATCTCTATGAGCATCGATTTTCTTCCAATTGTTGAAGGGGCTGAGACAGAAAGCTAATCCCACCGCGGTGACCGAGATGGCGAAAGCGACCTTGAGACCCGCCATATAAGCGGGCAAAATAGCAGTCATTTCCTCGGATGTGAAAACGTTTCGTAACTCGCTGGCACCAGTTCCCAGAACTAAAGCTGCATCGATATTTGGAGCGGTGCTAGCAAGTTTATGGAGAAGCTGGTTGAACAAGGCCGATTGTGCAGCAGCCACGAAGACTGCACCTCCGACAGTTTGGAAGACTGAGATATGTTAGCTGCATTGATTGATGCTGAGGAGTTCAACTACTACTCACATATAATAATCCCTGTCACGGATGCGATATCACTGGGATCCACCGAGCCCTGCGCGGCATTTATGGGAACCTGGTAGGCCAAACCCCACCCCACTCCGCCAACTATCTGGTATCCAATCCACTTGCCCGTACTAGTCCCAATGTCTAGCGAATATAACAGCCCAGAACCGATAGTTGCAATAGCCCCACCGATGACCATGAGAGGGGCCGTGTGGCCCGTTTTGGTGATGCTGCCACCAGAGACAATGAGGGCTATGGACATCGAGATAATCAATGGTAGGTTTCGTACACCGGAAAGTGTAGGACTGACACTCTGAATGCTCTGAAAGTAGATTGGAAGGTAATAGATGACAATAAAGTAAGAGCCTGCAAAAAGAAACGCGTAAATTGAATTCACAAAGATGAGGCGTTGCGATATCAAGCGTGGTTGAAAGGCGGCCCGTTCACCTTGAAAGTACTCCCACACCATGAAGACGAGGATCATGAGAGGAAAGCCGACAAGAAGACCAATTACCGTGCTGGAGTTCCACGATTTGGTCTGGCCACCAAATTGAAGTGGCAAGATGTATGAAATGATGGCACACACTAAAAGGGCTGTTCCAACCGGATCCATTTGCAAGAACTTCTCCTTCAAAGTAGCCTTAGCGGTAGAAGATCTCGCAGGCGTGTGGAAGAAGAACAGAATTGACGTGGCCGCGACGCCGCCCACAGGCAAATTAATGTAGAAGCCTAAGTAAATAGCCGATAAGGTTAGCATCTGGTAAAATGCAATGCAAATAAAGGGAATAGAATTAGAATGGAAAGTACTCACACCACCTCCATGTTACTTTATCGGCAAAAGCACCTCCAATAAGCGGCCCAATAACCGACGCGATGCCATAAGACATGCCAATGATACCGGTGAAAACTGGCCTTCTTTTTGGACTGGCAATGAAAGCGATGATAATGAAGACCCCGCCTCCAATACCAGCAGCACCCACTCCAGCAATTGCACGGCCAACGATAAGTGCCACGGAATTTGGAGCCACGCCACATATCAAGCTTCCAAGCTCGAAAAGGAAAACAGAAATGAGGAATGAAATTTTCAGCGGGAAATATTTGTACACTTTCCCCCAGGTCGATTGGAAGCCACCAGTTGTCATCAAGAAAGCTGAACCATACCAACTGACATCGTCGAGGCTATGGAATTGGTCGGTAATTTTTGGGATCGCTGTGGCTACAATTGTCTGTTCAACATTAGAAGACGACCTCCCAAGGAGCTCTTCGCTGGGTCATTGTGAGCCTTACCATGTCAAGAGCAACAAGAAAGATGCTCATACCCAAAGCCACGACGATGCAGAACAGTGGGAGACCATGCGGATACTCTTCCTCATCGTTCGGATCCGCTTCCTCAGCGGCATCCTTTTCTGGTAAGTCGTGTATCCCTTGGTTATTGTTCGCATGGTCTGCCATATGGTTCTCGGTTTCAAAGTCGTTCGCAGAAGCAGCGTTTGTTGTTGATGATTGTGCGCTCATCTCTGCGTTCTGGCGGTCTTTTTCGATGTCAATTGGTTCAGTACTCATTCTGCCAAACGGAATTGTAGGTCGATGAACTATGGAAGGGAAGACGACAGGACCAGTTGAAGTAAATAGATTGGTATTTGCGCATTACTTAGAGAATTCTGAAATCATGTCAATCAATTGCGCGCCGAGATTGAACTCTTTTTCGGCGGAGCTTGTTCCTCCGGATGTTGTCCCGGACGGAGGAAGGGGAAAGTGACTGGCAGCCCAGCATGACTCCACCCCTTTCAGAAAAAGGGTGCAGTACATAGTATGCATTAGGTGGATTACTATGATTATCGTAAGTGGCTGCATATGATCGTCCTTCTTATCTCGAAAATGATATGTGTGATTTATAATGCTGCATGATCGGTTCTCCAATCAATAAACCACCAACCGGACAAATTATATTACTCACGAATACATATCTTTTATTTCCGAGCGATGAGTAGTCTAAATGGGTCCGTCTGCATTTATAGAAAAGACTATGTTGGGTAACACTCTTTCACTTGTAAGAACTCGATAACATAATCTTGAGTTACGCCATTGACTTCAGAAGCAGAATTGGGCGTTTATCAGATACCCCCGGGAATAAAATCGTTTACCTGCGCCGACTTCACCAGATTTTCCACCACCTTCCCGAATTCGGCATGTGCAGAATCTTCCTTCAGATAGTAGTTTCTATCCTCTATGTTGTCAAATTCCTCAATAAAAATATGAGTAAATCCTCCCTAGATGTCCAAAATCAATTCGATACCACGATGTTCTTGGATGTGTTACTTACACTCAAATTCTCAACGCTAATGTCTTTGCCGGCCATTTGGTTGGTAATGTATGGCTTTTTGGAATCTGAGCGCACACATAGGTCCTTTAGGGCTAGATGGCGACTGTAGACCTATGTTCAAAGTTCTAGAATTCTCCTTCACAAAAATACTAAGACAAAGGCTTACGTCTTCAATTTGTTCAGTCGTCACCTCTGCTTTAAACTCAATCATCACGATGTGAATTATCCCCATCTTGAACAGTTTTGGAGCTAGTGCAATGATATGGCGCTGTGATGGAACACTACATGATTACGCTTTCAAAAAGTATTTGTAGTTCAGCGTCTGCAATTATGCCCCAAAGATACCGTATTCAGCCCCAGAATATATCCCGATATTTCTCTGAAGAACGGAAGAGGAGCAGGGGCATGTATCATCACGTATCGATTACCGCTACAGTAATAACATTTCACATGTCACCTGCAGCTGGCCAGCAAGCATAACTGCAACAGTAAGGCTCCGCTTTGGTGCATTTCAAAATGCTTACTGTGTAGGTCTTCGTCCGATCTTTCTTCCGCCGTGTTTTGTTTTTTCGGCGGTCGAACGACCCGGAGCTGCTGCCCCACATGTCGCCCCCACAAAAGGTGCTGGTGGTCCTCCTGCCGGTCGGATGTTGGAGTAGGTCAATTATACCATCTTTCACGGCCTCCGCAGCTAGTCATGCAGACTGAAAGTATGGCTGAGTACCATGGCGATAATGTCGAATCAGATGCGAAGCGGAGGAAGATCCGCAAAGGGACAAGGAGTTGCTGGGAGTGCAAAAAGCGCAAGATGAAATGTGTGTTTGCAGACTCCGGTTCGCCAGTTGACGTCGAGGCCATCTGCATTGGCTGCCAGCGACGCGGGACCAAATGCGTCAGCCAGGAGTTTGAATTCGTTGAAGGAACAAAAGATTCTAGAAAGGGACGCCGGCGCATGGGCAGTCAAGCTCGTGTTGCGAAAGTTGAGGCCTTAGTTGAGCAATTGATCAAGAAAGTGGGCAATGGAGAAGCACGCGCAATTGGCGAAACCTCTGCACCTCCTAATGGAATGCCTACCCCTACATCAATTGACTTGGACTCTTCACGCTTCCTGTCTTTGTATAAGGCCTCTCATGTACGTATCAACTCTGGAGGCCGTAGTACAGTAGAATTATCACTCACATTCAACATCAGGATCATGGCGCAGCAGAAACAGAGATCAAATACGAGAAGCTATCTCGGAGTTTGCACGAGGCATTGCCATCAAGCAAAGTTATCGAGATGATATACAAAGCCCGTGGTAGAAAATCTATACTTTTCCATGAGATGCTGAGCACACCATATGCTGCTCTCGAGCAGAATGGCCTCAAATTGCCAGAGAGTTTGCTCGGAATACCTGGCCCAACTTCACATCCAGTGCTCATCGCAAGATACATGCTATATATTGCTACCTTTTTGCAGCATCTTCATCCTAATATTCTTGGGGTGATGAACGGCCTATCGGAAACACCGCATGCACTAATGAAACGATTGGCGGAGACTGCCAATACATACGTCACAACGAACGAGGAGTTCTTTGGCAGCATTGAGGCACTAGAATGTATTATGATGGAAAGCATGTACCAGGCTAATGGTGGGAATCTGCGACGGAGCTGGATGGCGAACCGGAGGGCTATGGTTACTGCGCAATTGATGAACCTCCATCGAGCTGACCGCCGGGCACAGTACAAAGTTCTTGACCACAAAACAAGAGCTGATCCACAGTTCATGTGGTTCCGAATTGTCTTTCATGACCGTCATTTGTGTCTTATGTTGGGGCTTACGCAGGGCTCTCTTGATCGGAGTATGGCCACTGGTACGGCATTCAAAAATGACTCCCCCATGGGCCGTCTTGAGCGGATGCACTGTACGCTCGCCTCTCAAATCCTGGAGCGCAATGAGTCTGATCCAAGCTTTGATAACTTCGCTCTGACACAAAATCTCGATATGGAGCTACAGAAAGTGGGGAGAAGCCTGCCTAGCAAATGGTGGCTGATGCCAAATCTAGACAGTGTTGCGGACAATCCGCAGGATCTCTTTTGGGACATGGGACGGTTGTTTAATCAGCTGTATCATTATAACCTGCTCAACCAACTACATTTACCCTACATGCTTCGTTCTTCGCTAGAACGCAAGTACGAGTATTCCAGGATGACCTGCGTTAATGCTTCGAGGGAGGTACTCTTACGCTTCATCATGTTCCGCAGCTACACCAGGACTGATTTCTGCTGTCGGACAGTCGACTTCTTTGCACTCATGGCCGCCATTACACTGCTTCTGGCGCACCTGGATAGCCACCGTTTCTCACAGACCAGCAACCTACTGGCCCACCAATATCTTAGTGACCGTGCAATGATAGAGCAAGCGCAGGTCAACATGGAACAAATAAGTCAAGTGAATGGAGATACCCTGAGTGTTCAAAGTGCGCACTTGCTGCAAAAGCTACTGGCTGTCGAATCCGAAACAGCAAACGGTATCAGTATGGAGAGTGTCAGCGTGGAGTCGCCTGAAAGTGAGATATTACAGCCAAGCGAAAGTGATGACGGCGTTTTGCGGGTGCAAATACCTTACTTTGGGATCCTTAGGATTGCCCGCCAGGGCACTGTTTCGAAAGAGATTCCTAGCTCACAAGATTCAGTTAATGGGCAATCCTACACTCTGATGACTGGAATGCTTGATACGGGGGGCACAGAGGCTGGAGCGCGGACTTTCAATCATGATCACTCTAATGAAGATTGCTATCCTGGATCAATTGCGGAGGGGGATCTCGACTCTGTCGGTGGTGTTGACGGGCCACATGAACAACAATTCGCTCCACGATACGCAGATAACGTTTCTGATACGCTTCTGCAGCAGTATCAGGACCCTGGGCTTACGGCTGGAATTGATGATTGGGCGTTCCAAGGTGTCGACATGGCTTTCTTTGACAGCCTGATGAAGGGCGTCGATGACGGAAATGGTTCAGAAACACAAGAACCTGGCTACTAACATTGGAAATTTGTTTCTAGAGCTGCACCACCTGTAGGAGCTCTGTAACAGTCAGTGGACTAGTAGTGGAATCGAGTGAATATGAGACCCGTTGCGTGAAGTATTAGGCCAGCTTCACTTAATCAATTTAAGAAGATGCTAGCCTTTTTGAAGTTCATTCAAGCCGCAAATGAAGATTATGCGCAAACCTGAGATTAACTCATGTATCATAACCTTAATACAATAATGACCTGAATCATGGTTTCGAAAAGTCGTAGGGTTATCCAACGTGGGAGCCATAAGTTCTCGACATCCGCTAGATCTATATTTCGAACCAAGGTTTAGCCGCTTCGATGAAAAGACATAGGACGCCTACAGGCATCCACTTAAGCTCTTGTTTCCCTCCAACTTGTCCCAATAGCTCCAAAGTCAAGACGTTCATTAGCCTATCGTGCACACGGACCAGCCCTTGAACTAGCACTACTAGCCCACATAATAACCCCATCCTTCTGGCTCCCCATTCTCAATTGCCTTAATTCTATTGAATATTTTTATAAAAGCTTCTAGATCTTACGCACCTCTTATTATATACTTTCCTAATTTATAATTTAGCACTCTATCTACTTGTACTATCCCAGCCTCTATATTAATTTCTTTACTGCTATTATTACTTGCTAGCCACTCCTTTATTTTCTTCTTATCAAGACCTGTATTTATGCTAGCCACTATAAAGTCCTCATAGCTTGTGATATCTGTTTCTCTCTTTTAATAGGATGAGAACAGCTCGTCTATAAGATAATCTTGTATTTGAGGAGATTTCATTTTTCTAAGGTATATAAATTAGTGCGTTTCATGCGTTCTGCCTGTCCTGCCAGAAAACTTGAATTCAATGCTGATGTCCGCGCCTATTATTCTCACTCTCTCAATCATCATGTTTGCCATGATCTCTCCATGCTGTTTCCGAAAGTTAGGTAATATAGGGACTTCTGTTTTTAGATGGATTAGACTGAAGAGTTGTTTGCCTAGGATTTGAAACTACTAACCTATTTCAGAGGAATGAGGTTTGACGTAGAATGGCTTCCATATCTTAATGAAGGGATTGTCTGGCTGTGAAGACTGGTGTATCTTGATTGCGTTATCAAGCTTCTTCTTGCCGATATAGCACCAAGAGCACACTGGGTCGCTGACTATTTCGATGGTAAAGTTGGTTATTTTGCGTGTGGCAGGACGGAACATAAAGAGCTCGTGGTCACAAAACGAATTATTGCCTGGAACTGTCTCTGGAAGCCTGAGAAAAGACGTGTTAGGGCAATTTTGTGCACCTGCGTAAAAGACCAGAAATATGTAAAGGTCGACAGAAGATGCATGGGTCTTATTTTACATAAAACGTCTACTCAACCAAATCTATTGAGAGATCCGGAGCGATTAAATACATAATTGTCTATAGGCCGCGGAATATCCGTCACAACTTTTGATCTAAACTGAAATGATGCATGCCGCCACGATCTCTTAATTAGTAGATGCATATCTGACACGAAGATATACTTGGTCTATAGTAGTTACGTACTGAGTCATAGATGGCGAAGTTCGAACCGGGCATGGGATGGGTTAGGGTCCCTAAAGCTATATTATAACGAAATGGAACTTGCTCATAAGGAAGATTACGCTATGCGCAAAAAGCGCTCTTCATCTGCTGAGTATTTTATCAATCTTCGAATCTTTCGATCACTAAGGAATGAAAAACATGTCGACCCTGACAGAGACCTCTACAGCGCCCAAAGCGGAAACCGATGCAGGCTACTTCAGCCCCTGCGCATACGCAAACTTACGCCGAATTGGCACTGCTGATATCAACATCAAGCGTGCTTGGAGGGAATAATGGCACTCTAGCGGATGAAATGTGTATGAGTGATGATGGCTTGTCGACATATTATAATGAGCTGGCACAGACTTTCGAAGAAGGCATTGACGTCGCCTGTTTAGATTGGAATAATCTGTTCTCGGGGATCGACTCTTCTATGTTGTGGATTCAAGGAAACGATGAATGACTGGCGGGGAAGAAGTTACAGGAGTTGTGAGAAGAAAGGTCAGAAGTCAATAAAACATTCAATATAGAAAAATAGTTGACATGTAGCTAATTAGGGTGTACCTCTGTACAACTTTGACAACTCTTAGGTAAAATCTCGGTCTAAGCCTTGTGCAAGATGTAGTTAAGAAACGGGCATCAGAGAAATAAGGTCGAGAACCTCTTGTAAACTTGCATACTTCTATGTAACGGCCTCCTCATAACTCATTAGGCGCGTAAGGGAACATGGTCCATAGTGTTCAAATGATTGACCGTATTTGATTCAACTTTCGCCCCTTGTTTCTATATGATAACTATTTCTTACTTTAATAAGACATTGGGTCAGAGAAGAACACCGAAAGCTAACTTAGGAACCGATATCCTAAAAGATTTTTATAACAGACTTTTTGTGCTGTCACTCTGCAACGTTTTGTGGCTACTTCATCCTATTCAAAATATTATCAAACATCCATACTACGGCATAGAGATTGAGAGATCGCTCTGATAAGCAGCTAGGCAGTAACGGTAACTAGAGCTAGCAAACCTCCTGCTGCCCTGGTCTAGACTATTTCTGCTGTATTTATACTTGGAATCTCGATTAGACCTCAACGCATATTAGTCACTAACGTGATCATTGTTCCAGAAAAGCAGCCGATTGTCAGTGGCCTTTGTGTTTCTCGCAACTAGTCGTGTGGGGCTCCGGTCTTCCACCGAATTGCCCGAGACTCGCGTCCGACGCCTTTTTTTTATATCAAGCTCCCTTAGTCATACTGTTTTTCCTGGCGGAACAAATTATTTGGATTGTGAACTATTGGCTTAGTAGTCATTCAAGCCGAAACAAAACTGACATGCAATATGGATAGGATTAAACCACGTGGCTATAAAAGATATTATTCTGCTTCGGTACCTTCTCCTGATATGGTCGACAAGACCATGAACGGAGGTTCTAGAAGTGCTATGATCACAACTGTCAAAGTCCCAAGGATCAAAGAATCCGAGTACTTTTCATACCTCCAAAGTCTCAGCCAGGAGAATCAGATGACTATTTCACCAGCACGCATCTAGTAGTCAAGCTCAATAACAGCCATCTTGACATTGGCTTTCTACAGGTTTTGTACTATTGAAACATAAAAACAGGCCTCGGGGTTATCTCTAGACTATGCGTATCAAAAGGAAGAAATGATGGTGTCCAATGAGTAAGAGGGTGAAGAGGATACATATATACGTAGACTCGAATACGAAAGCAACGAGCCTTCAGGTGCCGAAATCCGTGATATGGAGCTAGATCAAATGAAGGAGTAGCCTGTGTTGTCAGAATCTAAGAGTAACTATGATGGTTATTAAAAGGATAGCTAATATCAAGAGAAAATGCTTAACCTAAAGGAAAAATACTTTTTCTGTGGGATGAGAAGCCGAGGAAACCAGACTTGCTATTACCTATCAGCTACCATACAACTTATCATAGCGGTGGGCTACAATCACCCATCGAGTTGCAGGAAATTATTGTTGCTGCAGACAACACCAGCTCAAAATCGTAAAGCGAAGATAGGATGCCGATGAATGGATACTTAATATCCAGATAATATGCCGACGTCGCATCTTGATGTCATACCCCTGTCTACCTACTTGGGATCCGTGTGATGGATCTAGACTTTGAATTTCATATACTGGAATAAGATTTGAGATATTGTGTCCTAGTCACTACGAAGAAATAAACTATTGCGGACTATCGGGTCATAATGTTCGGGATGATAGAGGCGCATTTCGGGGCGGGTAAATCGGGGTGAGATGATGATTCGAGGCAGGGTAATGCCGTTCAATTAATGGCCCCGGAGCGGTATTCCGTATATGGCTTATTAGTCATGACGCTCCGGCTGATGCTGTACTTAAAACTCATATGCACCACATATACACTACATACACACTAAGGCTCTAAAGGTCTCTCTCATCAACATCGACTTAGCACAATAGTGACTCGTGTTAGTCGAATTTCAAACCATTGCTCTTTCCATCACTAGTTATCTACCTTGATGCCCATCTATACCCCCACCACAAGTTCAGATCCCGACGTGGACTCGCACAAAATGAAGCTCGTCTATTTCAGCAACGAGTTTCCAAGGGAAGACTTGCAGGATGTGTTCCGCCGCCTACACAACCACAGCAGGGACAAGCATCACCCAATCTTAGCTCAATTTATATACGAAGTCACTTGGGCCATCAAGGAAGAAATTCGGCAGCTTCCAACGGAGCTCAAGCAGCTGATTCCACCATTTGAGTCTGTCTTCAGCTGGGCAGAAAATACGGAGCTTCGAGAAGGCTTGATCTGCGGCGCCGTAGATGGAGTCCTGCTTGTTGTCGTTCAACTGGCTACTTACATTGGGTAAGTGGTCCGAGAGGTTTATAGGTTGAGATATTAATTGCTGACTTATGTTATCAGATATGCAGAGAACAGTCCTGACGAATTAACGGACTTTGCAAACACGAGCCTTGCTGGTCTTGGAATTGGACTTCTAGCATCAACTGCTGTGTCGTTGTCCTCCACGTTGGCCGACTTGCCACTCGCGGGTGCAGATGCTGTGCGTTTGGCCTTTCGCCTAGGCATCCATGTCCTGGGCATGTCGGAAAACTTGGAGGCACGCGATCTGTCAGAGACTCCAGATACATGGGCATATGTTGTTCATAATGTCGATTCAGACGCCACCCAGAAGGAGCTCGATACGATACACTCCCGAGAGGGAGTTCCCAATACTGGAAAGATATTCATTAGTGCCGTTAGCCGAACTTCTGTCACAGTGAGTGGACCACCGGCTAGGTTAAAATCACTGTTCAATAAGTCAGACTTTTTCCGCGAGTCAAAATTCATTCCACTTCCAGTCTATGGTGGTCTCTGTCATGCACCACATATCTACGGTATTCAAGATACGCAAAGTATCGTCCGTCGCAGCTCGTTGAACACGGTCAACAGAAAGGCTTGGCCAACGACACCAATCTACTCTACTAGCACCGGCCTAGAGTACCCCGCTAAGACTGCTGCTAAGCTGCTAGAAGGTGTAGTTTCGGAGCTTCTTACTCAAGCAATATACTGGGACCGGGTCATATCAGGGGTCGTCGAAAAAGTTGAAACTGCTGTTGCCACGGAAGCGGTGTTGTATAGCTTCGGTAACTCTATTCCTCTCAACGACTTAAACTCGGCTTTGAAAAGTAGTATCACGCATCCAGAAATCACGCACAATAATCTCATGACATGGGTCGCACAAATCCCACCAAGAGGAAGTACACCACGCGGCACCGCACAGTCCAAGCTCGCTATTGTCGGTATGTCCTGCAGACTCCCTGGAGGCGCGACAAACACCGAGAAGTTCTGGGAGATTCTAGAGAAAGGCTTGGACGTTTCGAGGCGAATCCCAGCTGATCGTTTCGATATTGATGCGCACTACGACCCAACGGGCAAGGAACTTAACAAGACTATGACGCAATATGGCTGTTTCATTGATGAGCCTGGCTTGTTTGATGCGCCCTTTTTCAATATGTCCCCGCGAGAATCCCAGATCGTCGACCCTCAGATGCGTTTAGCTCTTGTTACCGCGTACGAGGCGCTTGAACGTGCTGGCTATGTCGGTAACCGTACGGCGGCTACACAGTTGCAGCGCATAGGTACATTCTACGGCCAAGCCGCTGATGACTACCGCGAGGTTAATCAAGGCCAAGAGGTCAGCACCTACTATATTCCAGGTGGTTGCCGAGCCTTTGGTCCTGGCCGTATCAACTATTTTTTTAAGTTTGCTGGTCCCAGCTACAGCATTGATACAGCATGTTCATCCGGACTTGCCGCGATTGAGGTACATTCTGTGGTTCTGATCTTTACATCATATACACTAACCAATTATATTAGGTCGCATGCCAGGCCCTTTGGAACGGCGAAGTCGATACCGCCGTCACAGGAGGTGTCAACGTATTGACCAATCCAGACGGCTTCGCCGGACTGTGCAACGGCCACTTCCTCACCAAAGGACACAACGCGTGTAAGACATGGGATAGCACTGCCGACGGGTACTGCCGAGCTGATGGCGTTGGCTCTATTGTCATTAAAAGGCTGGAAGACGCCGAAGCAGATAATGATAGTATCTTAGGAGTCATTCTTGGTGTTGGCACGAACCATTCTGCAGAGGCGATTTCCATTACTCATCCGCATGCTGGCCACCAGGCATATCTGTCACGTCAGGTACTTAGACAGGCCGGCGTGGATCCTTTAGATGTGTCGTACGTCGAGCTCCACGGTACCGGCACTCAAGCTGGTGACCATGAAGAGATGCAGGGTATCTTGGATGTTTATGCTCCTCTCACTAGGCGTCGTAGTAAAGGCCAGCCCTTACATATTGGCGCTGTAAAAGCAAACGTCGGTCATGGTGAATCTGTTGCAGGGACAACGGCATTGATAAAGGTACTGCTAATGCTGCAAAAAAACGCCATCCCGCGGCATATCGGTATCAAGACGGAAATAAATCCAAATTTTCCCCGAGACTTCAATAAACGCAACCTCCACATTCCAATGGAAATGACCTCTTGGCCGCAGGTGCCTGGGAAAAAGCGCCTTGCAGCAGTCAACAATTTTGGTGCCGCCGGCGGGAACACAACCATGGTCCTGGAAGAGCCACCTATTCGCGAGATCACCGAAACAGACCCACGTAAAGTTCATATCATCGCTACCTCGGCCAAGGTTAAAACATCTTTGGCTGGAAATATTAAGCGCTTGATAGCCCATCTTGATAACCACCCAGACATTAATTTAGCTGAACTTTCATACACGACAACTGCCCGACGCTATCATCACACGCATCGCGTGGCAATTGCTACCACTGATGTCGATCACTTGAAAAAGCAGCTGAAGTCTCGCTTGGAAAAAATCGATTCGATTAAACCCGTTGGAAAATCCGGAATGCCACCAGTCGCATTCAGCTTCACAGGTCAAGGTGCCTCTTACAAGTCGATGAATTTAGAATTATACCGCGATGTACCTACTTTCCGAGAGCATATCCAGTACCTCGACTCTCTCGCCCAAGGCCAAGGCTTTTCGTCATTCATTCCTGCTCTTGATGGATCATATCCTCAAGATCATGCTCATTCTGCCGTCATTACTCAGCTTGCCTTGGTCTGTACTGAAATTGCTCTAGCTAAATATTGGTCTTCTCTCGGAGTCAAGCCGGACGTCGTCATAGGCCATAGCCTAGGGGAGTACGCAGCAATGCACATAGCCGGCGTGGTTTCTGCTAGTGACACCATATTCATGGTTGGACGTCGGGCTCAAATGCTGGAGCAGAAGTGCAAGATTGGCAGCCATAGCATGATGGCTGTTCGAGCTTCTCTCACTCAGATAGCTGAAAGCTCAGAAGACAAGCCCTTCACAGTTGCTTGTATTAATGGACCTTCAGATACAGTGCTTAGCGGGACCAAGGAACAAGTGGACGACATCTCAGTCTCACTTGAAGCGGCCGGGTACCGTTGTATCAAGTTGGATGTCGCTTTTGCTTTCCACTCAGAACAAATGGATCCTATTTTAGATGACTTTGAAGCTATTACAACAACAGGAGTTCTCTTTCAAGAGTTAAAAATGCCTGTTATCTCACCCCTGCTCGGCAAAGTCATCTTTGACAGCAAGACGTTGAATGCAAACTATGTGCGGCGAGCCACTAGACAGACCGTGGACTACCTCTCTGCGATAGAGAATGCTCGTAAAGTCTCTACCATTAGTGACGAGACTATCTGGATCGAAATTGGACCCCATCCTGTCTGTACTGGTTTCATCAAATCCACCATTCCGTCCACACAGCTCGCCATACCATCAATCCGTCGCGGTGAAGACAACTGGAAGACTATGGCTGAGAGCATGGCTGCTCTGCATCTTGCTGGTGTTGAAGTTGGTTGGAATGAGTTCCATCGTCCTTTCGAACGTAGGCTCCGCCTCTTAGATCTGCCGACATATGCCTGGAATGACAAGAATTATTGGTTGCAGTACAATGGCAACTGGTGTTTGACAAAGGGCAATACTTTCTATGACAACGAGAAGGGAGCTGATGCAGCCAAGACCTTACCAAAGGCTTTACCAGCAAGCGAGATTCAGACTACAACGGTACAGCAGATAATAGAAGAGAACTTTAATGGCTCTGCTGGTACAGTGATCATGCAATCGGATCTGATGCAGGCAGATCTACTAGCTGCCGCTCATGGGCACAGCATGAATAAATGCGGCGTTGTTACATCTGTAAGCCGGCGTTGTAAAAGAATCTTCAGTCACACCTTGCTAATTATCATCTAGTCCATCCACGCGGATATCGCATACACCCTTGGTAACTATCTGCATCGCAAGTTGAATCCTAAGGCCAAGAACGTCAACATGAGTATTTCCAATTTAGTCGTTACGAAGGGTCTTGTTGCTCAGACAAACAAAAAAAAACCTCAGCTATTCCGTGTGACCGCTGCCACTGCCAATATAGCCTCAGGTATAGTCGACTTAACTTGGCAAAATGTGGACAATGATGGCAACGTTTACCAGCCATTCGCTACCGCCAACATTTATTACGGCGATGCAACTGAGTGGCTCTCTTCTTGGGCGCCTGTTGCGCATCTAGTCCTTGGCCGTATTGACGCGCTCGAGCAATTGGCGACGCAAGGCAAAGCTAGCCGCTTTTCGCGCAATATGGCATACACGCTTTTTGCCAGCAATTTAGTCACCTACGCCGAAAAGTACCGCGGCATGCAGTCTGTAGTCATACATGATCTAGAGGGATTTGCCAATGTACAGCTGACTACCAAGGAAAGTGGTGTGTGGACCGTTCCTCCATACTTTATTGATAGCCTTGCACACTTGGCTGGCTTCATAATGAACTGCTCCGATGCCATGGACACACAAAACAATTACTGCGTCACTCCGGGTTGGAATTCCATGCGGTTCGCAAAGCATCTAGTCCCCGGGGCAAAGTATCTTTCGTATGTCAAGATGATCCCGACAGCTGAAGACCCCACAATCTACTTTGGTGATGTGTATATCTTGCAAGACGATGCCATCATAGGTGTCGTTAATGGAATACAGTTTCGTCGTTACCCTCGCATTCTGCTCGACCGATTCTTCTCGCCACCAGATAAGATTACTGTTAGTGAGAGCAACCCAAAACCCACCCCTTCTCGCACTGCAGTTCCCGTGTCAGCATCACCAAAGTCCGCCATACCAGCACCAAAGCCGACAGTCGCTCAGCCTGATCTAGACACTGGAAACGATGATGGAAAGAGCAAGCCTTCTCCCAGCAATACTCCCACTCCTATGCCAGCTCCGACCGAGAATTTAACACCCACGGTCACGGATACCGCCGGTCCATCCATTGAGACCACCGCTGCGTCTGGCAGTGTCACTGCTAAGGCGATTATGCTCATTGCGAACGAAGCTGGTCTCGATCTTTCCGACATGGAGGATGACGCCAGCTTCGCTGCGCTCGGTATTGACAGTTTGATGTCGCTGGTCATAGCGGAGAAGTTCAAAACTGAGCTGGATATCAAGGTCAGTGGCAGCCTTTTCTTGGACTATGAGACGATTGGAGATTTGCGGGAGTGGCTGGATGAATACTACAACTAGTCGGGATTCCTGGCGAGAGCTCGATAAATGGCGGGGATCATACGTGGTACCTAAGCTCTGAGCATCACTGGGCCTAGGAACGTTGTATAATTGGATGCGAAATCAGTGAACCTTCATGACTTTTCCAGCATTCGCAATCTATGATTGACCTATCCCAAAGAGCCAGCTCCCGTAGAATATCCGGATCTTCACGGCCTATGATTAATTTCAACTAATATAAGGAATTTGCATAATTCGTTTCAGGGCATAGGAGGGGTACTACCGGATTCCTCTTGGGGGCCAACACTAGGATTGAGCAAACCGACGGTGGTGGAATGTTGGTGGCGTTTTGTATCAATACCGCTAGAGTAAGTGGCAAGACGGTTGACAGCCATTGCAGCATTTAGAATGACAGCCCGCATTCAAATAAGAGCATCAACTCAAAGTGGTGGACCATTCACTCCTGTAAGGAAGGTGGGTAGAAGTATATATGTCGTGCCGCCCCCATACATTCGTAAGCATGCATTATGTTAAGAAAATCACGTGATTGGTCACGTGCAACACTAATGTAAACAACACCTTAGGCCTCATCCCCCGTATTAAATAGATACAGTAGTTGATGGAATCAATCAACGAGATGGATTCTATTGCTTCAAGAACATGACGTATAACGAATCTCTATGCTTCCTGCGCCCCCATTCCTCTGAGTTCACAACACATTGCATGACTAGTCTAGGATTCTGCATAATGTCGGTAAATCATTTGTGTAACAACCGACATGCCTGTCAAACCTCCTAGGGGTTAGGGTTAGAATAAAGAGTGGCAAAAGTGTGAATACTTCAGCTAGTCATGGTCAAGGTTCAGCTGGCTATGGTCAATGTTCGGCTGGCCATGGTTAATAATGTGTTTTAATAGTGAATCCATGAAAAACGTGCTTCCACCACACAACGTCTGCACCGGCAGGGATATTGTATTGATGTGTCCAGACGCAGCCTTGCTTAGGTCAAAATCTGAACCATGTTGTTGCAGTGTTATCCATGGAGTTAAGAAAGTGCAAGTCAACCCGGCCAGCTCCATCAATTTCAGGGAATCTCATATGAATTTGCGCATTTGTACCCTCGGTCAGAGGATCTTGGTAGTCTAACGTCTAAGCAGTATCACTTGCCGAGATGGGTCCCATGTCATACTATATTGACCACTCAGCAAAAAGAAAAGTAACTAACTAGGTTGGTGTGCAGATCATTACTAAAAGATTATTAGTTTTAGGGCTATTATTCGGACCCCAAAATACTATGCGGCGCTCCATGACTCGATGGGTAGTTTCTGATCATTCAAAAATCATTCGGTAGCACTGAGGATGAATAGTCGATGTGACTGATTTAGGGACTGTCCAAGTTGGTCTCGGAGTATGTTACAGTGGAAGACACACGTTTCTTCGTCTGAGTAATCTCTCAATAACATCATCGCAACGGTCACTTGTGTCATTATGGCTAGTTTGAGGGGTTAAGTATAATTACTATGCGGTGCAGCCTACTTTCTTCCTCAAAATGTGGGACCGATAAGGAGTATATCTTATACTCCGTAGAGAACAAAACGGGACAGCCAAATAGGCGTGCAATATGCACTCGTGTGGGCTTGTACGCTACTTCAGGGATAGCTGTAAAATAAGCTGTCAATATGTTTCGCGAAAAAAAAGAATGAGTAAATCAAGCAAAGTGAGGACATGCCAGCAATATTGCGTTCAGACTTGCAGCACAGATGAGGGGGATCACGAGCTAGATCGATGCCGACTGCATCAAGTAGACCAATCTCGCGAGGATTCTTATCAATGTAACATACGACCAATCCAAATAAGTGATATTCACTATCTAGGGTGCTAGTGTTGACGAGAAACTGAGTATTAAGAGGGAAACTATCTATCGAGGGGAAACAGTCCGTATTTAGACCTCCATCCATATTCACTCATTGACGGTAGTGTCCGCCCCATACAAGCCTCTATTGCCCCGTCGGCATCTCAATAGGAAATCAGTGCGTATCAATAACAAATGCCAATGCCGGTCGATATCACAATTATTGATGGAAACCTTTATTCAAAGGATTCCCAATCAATGGAATAATTGAGATAGTCTGGATTAGGGGTCTGGTTGCCTAACGGCAAGCCACCTGATGCTTCCGAAGAGTTGACTACTGGACTGATCCCCTGGTCTCAACTATTTACAAGAGATCGTAGGTTCGTCCTACAGGCCTGTCCGTGCCTGGAGCATAAAAAAGCTTGCCGCAGAGGAGGAGGGGTTCACATCGTGTATAGCATGTGTCACTCTCACTGAGAGTCTGACTGATATTCTCTCAGAGATGCAGATAAAGAAGTCACTTCCAAGAATATTCTTGCATGAGTACGTAAAGTGGCAAGAACAGGGGTCGGAAACGACATTTCAAGTATCGCCGTACAACTCGACCCTGGTCTCGCATATATCTATTGCCACCACGCTGAGTAAGTTGGCTGGAATTCCTTTTGCTGTATGCATATGGCTAATGCAGCCTAGCATGCCCATTTATTCCTTGTACTCCCTGCATAGAAACAAAATTTACGTATTTAGGTACCTCATTGATCCTCGAGTGTCAAGAACGATGAACGAACCATGGAGATCGCACGTGATGATATCTCACTTACTGATGACTATGCTACCAGACGATAAGTCCAAAGGATTCTGATATTGAGTAGAATGGAGTTGTTTGAGGTTGTTAATTCGGATCGGTGGTATAGGCGTCTTTCGCATCAAGGTTAAATAAAGGAAATTTAGTCACCCAATCGTGTTTCGCCATTTGGCGCCAGGGCCCGTCAAGTCTACGGATAGGAGGCAACCCCATCAAGTAGCTGGTCACAAACCCACATGCAAATCGAGACGAAGGGAGAAAAGGAGTTATACTAACTAATGTAATTTACTATATCATCAATCATACTGGGTCGTGACTAACTTGACGTTTCTTACTGTCGGAACGTGAATATCAAACCTAGCGCGTTTCGGCACTGGATATCAGTTAGTCTAACGCGGCACGTGCGTGCCGCGTATATATGTAGTTAGCCACTCCCCGTCCCCCTTACTCTTGGGGGGCAGTCATCAATATCAGGAATTCCATACCATATTGATCAGGCTCGTCAGCTTGTCGGAATAGCTGTTCTACGTGACTAGTGCTAGCGACCTAGACGTAGATAAACCGACACTTACCTGTGGACCTAGTTTACTATAAATGGATTACTTACAAGCCTCGTAGGAATGCACAGTACAGGTTTCCTATCAACAGTTAGATACAATGATATAAAATTTCAACTATGACCCTGCAGGTCTGCTTATCGATCTGCATACGCCTGATACTTCACCTCCAAGCCAACTATACCGTATCTCCCCGCCGAAATTACTTTATTTACCAGAACTAATCTTCCCTCACTATCGCTCATTTTATGCAGCAAATCAATTATCTCTGTAAGCCTCATTTCCCGCTCATTCGCCAGCTGTAATAGAGAGAAGTCTCTTATCCCGGCCAAAGACACGCTTTTGCCGCTCTCTGCACCGCAATCTGAGAGCGAAGGTACGACCAACACCATTGTAGCTGATCGATTCGTCCGTAGCGTATTCAAATGCGCCATCATTTCTGCACGAATCTGCATCGCTAGCGGGGAAGGCGGCATCCCGGGGTCCGGCAGGGGCAAATTAATTATATAGACCGCGGCGTCTTGGATAGGTTGCGGGGAGCCGGGGACACGGTCAAGTATGGTAATGCGTGGGGGCCGCATTCTATCGACATTTGACGCGGTGACCCGATTTTTGCCGGATGTTGAGCACGTTGGCCTTAACTGGACGGTGATATGGAGCATCGGATACAGCTTGGCGAGTATTGTCGCTCGCTCAGTGGATCGCGCTCCGACCTGCATAAACGACAGGGACAAAATGAGCAACTAGTAGCTAGTAGCTACGTAGTAGCTGATAAAAGAATGTCTTACCTCGACAATTAACGCCTTCTCCATGCGGAAGGGTTCAAGACAGGTTAGTATATCTGTGGCTGTATCGCAGAAATATCCCATTCCGTGTCGAAGATAAGCATGCCACCGACGCTGAAGCAAGGGTAACTGAGTCTTGTCTATAGATGAAAAGGTGGTACTAATCGCTGATTCATGATTGCACAGGCTGTTTCTCGCGTGCTCGTGATATTCGGAATCGTGCTGGGCCGTTGCCATGCCCAGGGCAGCTGGAGCCAGTGTATTAGCTAGAAACATCATAGCGTCCACGTAAGATTGTTTGGAGGCAAATGATGCTGACAACGCGCTGTGAGCTACGTAACCTGGCTGAGGCTCCTTCAGAAAACCCATGGGGGTCACCATTCGTATGATGCGACACAGTTGACTTTCGGAAACGTTTATGAGATCCGATATATCTTTCATCAAAGCGCTGCCGTCCTGAGGGATGTAGGCTAGAACATGGAATTCTCCCATCCATCGCATGCAAGCGAGGATTTGAGTCTATACACCCGCAATGTAAGTCAGCGGGTCTCAACCGCTTATTTGCTTGAGCAACAGGACTAGGGGGAGGAGAGGAAAAAAGTCTGTGAATACCTGGGTGGTCATCTGATGTATAAAATCAGACGGCCCGGACAAGATGACCTGGATTTTGGCAATAGTTGCCAGAGCTGATTCTCGTGCACTATCTGACAATTCTAATTCCTCCGGAGGCGATAATGTACTTCTATCATCCTGGCGGTGTGTTGAGAAGTGGTTGAGGGATGTCAAAAGCTCTCTTGCATGGACTTCAAGTTGCAATAAATCTGTCATGATGTGGGCGGTCCGGTTTCTAAATAATTTATCATATCGCCGTCACATTTAGAAGAACGAAAAATAAATCTGAGGCCTAGAAACTTTTAATAATGGGAGGATTCGAGGATTCGGTTTCCCCTTTATAATTTTCACTCGAGGCGAATAACTCTTCGAAAATTTGTATGGAATGAATCCAATTGACAGGATTACTTTACGGCTGTCCCGGATATGGACCCCATGTTCTACCGCAAAACCTGACTGATCGACTGACCAACTGGCAGTGTAATTACCACTTACAGTGGGATGAAATATGTGTTGGCATCTCCCCGTATACGAAACACCCACACCATCATCATTCTGTTGACAGAAAAGCGTACATGATGCGTCACATATAAATCTTTGTAAAATATAGGCAAATATAGGGCCTTTACGAGGTTTCCCCTGTCTAGTTTTTTACTATATTAGGGGGGCAGTGAGCTTTTAGGAAGCTGTCGGATATGGGGGGCCAACACATATTTCGTGGTACTTGTACCTATAAAGAACTAACATGAGAGTAATATAACCAACTAACCGGCTAACTTACTGCCTAATTTCTCACCATATTGTAATTAACAGCTACATAAATTACCAACTCACGAAGTGACTAACTAACATTAGTCTTACAAATAATCTCGTAGAATGCTTGGTGCATTCTAGGCGAAGGAAGGTCCCCGGTTTTCGTGCTGGTTTCTCAAGGTCCAAACCTTTTTTTGGTTGTTTCTGCACATAAACCTCTTCCCGTCCACGAGTCTGTTGTTATATACCAGGTTACATGTGGTCCATGGCTTCCCTACCCTCTACACCTGTATCACCAGCTCATGAAAGAAATTTATCTGAAAGTCATAAGCTACGAATTAGTTGTAGCAATTGCGCTGCGTCCAAGATAAAGTGCAGCAAAGAAAAGCCGCAATGCTTCCGTTGTGTGAAAAAAGGCATTTCTTGCCAGTACCATATAATTAAACGCTCAGGACGGAAGCAAAGAATCCGCCCGATGAGCGATTCAATCCACGTTCCTACAGTCTCACCAAACTCTATGGACCTCGTTGCTGAACCAGACACCTTGGCTCCCTCTGATGATGTTGTGCAACTGTCTCCGAGACCGCCAACCACCGAGTATACAGATATTTCTGCAGCAGAGTCTACCACGCTGGTAGATCCAGTGACACCATCAACTCTATTACTAAACGCTTTAAACTGGGGATTCGAAGACTTTCCGAGCCCTCAGATTTCGCTACCGCTGTCAGCTGAAATGGTCAATGCCCCATGTTCATTCAATGATAAGAATCTCCTTGACAATTTTATCGGTTTTGAAAAGGCGACTCCTCTTCTTTCCTCGATAGTCCTACCGCCTTCCTTGGAGACGGATGTACTCCAAGAATCAGAAGCGTCCTGCTCTGTGCCAGAACCAAAGGAGAGCCATTCCTCGGTTGTCGACACGCCGAATCCTGGTCAGACATGCTGTTTTCTTGTGCGTGCTCTTAGCCTTCTCAAACAACAGTCCTCATCGGCTCCCAATTCTTGCGGTGGATGTATGAGACCCAGTCTTGAAAATTTCTCTAGATCGGACAACTCATCGCTATCGAAAATTGAATCAATAATAGCCGACAATGAGCAAACTATCCAGGTCATTAGTGATATCCTAACATGCCAATGCTCGCAGGACATTTACCTTCTGGTCATTATGTCTATTGTTATTTTGAAGATCTTGAACTATTATACCGCCGTAGTGCGGCAGGAAACTTCTTTTAATGGGGACGACCGGTCCTGGGTGGCTAATCAGCCTGGGAATAGCACCCAATATCAATCCGAGATGTTTCAAACCCCTCCCAATGTTTTTGGTGCCAATGGCTCTGAATATGTGGAAGATCAAGGTCGCATGGCATCGCAGCAGATTCTTAGCAAACTCCATCGAATACAGCGTTTGATAAACATCTTATCAGAAAGATTCAAAACACACAAGGAAAATGTCAAGAGAAAACAGGAGGAGTCCAGGGCATCAACGACCGTCACCGGGCCTAATATGTTCATGTTTCTATTCCCTAGCTCTACGCTAGAGCATATTGAGGCCGACTTGCGTCTACACCTGCGCGCTTTATCAGCAGATGCTGCAAATATTCTTTGTCAAGCATGGTATGTCCTGCCAATAGTTCCTCATGTTCACCATTTACAGACATACCCAGCACGTTCCGTTAGATTACCGGGGTAATTCCTCGGTAATCCGGCCGCAGGAGATATGCTTTGGGTGAGATAAGATACCATTCTCTCTTAACTGGCCCATATCTCGCCTTCTCTCTCGTTCGTGTTGTAGCTAACATGTGCCTTTCCTAGACGATGTCCGTTATGCATGTCGTTCCTCTCGAAAAGCGTGCGCAAATTCAGGGTATTGTGGGCGCCATGTTTGGCTTCGCCACCTCTATAGGTCCTTTGATCTGCAGTGCTTTAACATCAAATGTATCCTGGAGATAGTTTTTCTACGTTAATCTACCTTTCGGCGGTGTTTCATTGATTGCTATTACCTTCTATCTTAAGGTGCCTCACCGCAATATAACCAAGCTTCCCTAGATGAAGAAGATTATGCAGTTAGACATTTTTAGTACTTTGCCGCTCATACCCGGTATAGTCTATCTCATGCTAGCACTTCAGAAGGGTGGGCAGACTTATGCTGTGAGTTATTACATAGTCACTTTGCCTGAAATATCTGATTGTTTTAGGGCCGGTAACAATCAGGGTTCGGGTTAGGGTTATTTTTTTACTATCAAGTTCGGACCCCGGATACAATCAGCTTCATACCCTAATTACAATCAGCTTTTTGCGGCTAAATCGCACCAAACTTGCACCATATATTATTCCACCATGGATTTCCATACGCTTGTAATTTTAACATGATTCACCATGTAGATATCCCGTACAAGGATAGCGAAGTGGATGGGTGGTATTGTGACTTTTTGTTAGGGTAGTCAAAATAAGATGTGGTCTGTGCCCAGTTAAATAGGGGTAGCATTTTTTAACTACAATTAATGAACTCCCAAATCCATTCCTGTAACACTCTTCATATTATATATTCATCACATATCTCATGAGGAAAACCATACCTCGCGCACCTATGAAAACGCACCTACGCAGGTAAAAAGTACTGCGGGAAAGAATCTCAGTGAAAATAGACCTCCTTGACAGTCTATTTACCAACTTTCGCCTGCTCAATCGACGTGGTTGAAGCATGGGCCCGAAAAGAGGTAAAAAGGGCACTCCGTGGCCAGAACCACGGTTTGCAGATGACCCTGATATACGCGCATACGTAGCTGCAGCCATCAAAGATCTCGAGGCACTGAAGAAGCACCAAGAAGCGCTGGAGATTGGCATGCCCCGTGAGCTCTCAACTACCGTGGTTGACACGTTCTTACACCTGGCTCGACGGGTAAAGAATACGCCTACGAATGAGCAACTAGCGCAGCCCCTCGCGAAGGTCGAATTACACGTGGAAAAGACGCAGAAAGAGGTATCTCAGGCCTCTCGAGAGATTACTACGACCAAAAGCAACACGAACCGCCTGGTGGAGGCAATATGCCACCCAACATTCCCAGGGGTGTGTGTGTGTGTGTGTGTATTTAACGGCCGTGGTTCGTGACTTGCACGCTTCCCACCGATCCCTACTGGGACATAGCCCGCCGAGGGGTAAACCTCGGGCTTCAGGTCCTATCAGATTTATATACAAATAAGAGACTCTTTGGCGCATTTCCATAGCTGTCGTGGCCTTACAGGGAGGTCTACTTCCGAGTGGGTTTTGGGTGTTTGCCAGCTGCAATGGTCCACCTACGCTCTATGACCCATAATTCTACCACCATCGTACTTAAGCAGTGAGTTTGAAAAGAAAAAAGGAAAGAAGGAAAGATCATGGCTAGTCGTCGCACATCAATGCAAAGCCTAAGCGATCTATTTCGACGAACTGTATTGACTGCTAGCTATAGTATCAGTCTTCAGAACCAGATTGATCATCTATCAGGCCGATATACCAACTCTAAGCATACCGATAAGGATGGAGGTCGAGACGTACATTGGCTTGCAGTCAGTCTATCTCTTCTAACAGCGCACCATGCATTGTCATACAGATGGTTATGAAGCAGGCTATGCTCCCACTGATCTTCTTAATAAGATGGTTGGTGATCCAATTGCTGAGAAGATCGACAGGTTCAACAAAAACCAGGTTGCCGATGAGGAGCTTGAAGATTTAGCTTCAGTACTGATATCTTCGCTGGAAGATTATATCACAGAGGATGCGGATGAGTATGATGATAAACTATAATAAATTGGATCATAAAAGAGTTTATCTATATTATTCAAAATTCTCAACACCCCGACAACTCTATTAAATATGAAAGAGAATTGATCTAGGCCATAATCAAGGTTATAACGCCTTAATTCAAGTTCCACCTTTTTTATATAGATCCTGGTTGTAACACATGGCTCACCGCACCTTCTTCTCGTATGCCACTCGATCTTTCTTGCAATGTTATACGCATCTGCTTGTGCTGAAGACTCTAGGGTCGTCAAGAGACCTAATTGCCTACTACAATGTGGATCGTGCTTGCGTTAACTTTAGCATCAAATTTTGTGACGGAACAATGCATTAGTGAAGATAGTGGATAATGGAGTAGATTGGGATTGGGAGATGGCATAGTCATTCAATATCAAGAATTTTTTGCTGTCATCGACGCGTAATCCTTATATTCCCTGATACAGGCTCTAGCGGGAGTTTCCTTTTGCTAATAGCACCTATAGATATAGGACTTGCCGGTGTTGGAGGCATTGATTGATGTTCATCCGGGATGGGCTGCGATGAGATCGACAGGTCCGGCATTGGTATCAATGGAAGCTGAGATCATGTAGCGGAGTATGATGGTTGTGAGTAGCCATTGATTAGTGTTGAAAAAGCTTCACTTGCTGTGATCAAAGAAGACGGTAATGGCTGACTAGATAATTAAGGTGTAATAAAGGACCTTAGAGATTTCTCTATACAGGATTGATGTTTGTCATAACTCTTTCTAAGGGTCTGATAGAGTTGCTCTCCAAGACTATCCCAACATCGCTATGGTCTAAGAATTGTCTTGAGAGCAGAGCTGGTAAATATCAAATATGCATTTCGGGCTAGTAATATGCACATGTCATTCCGCAAAAGACAGCCTGCTGTTGGTGTAAATGCAAAGTCTTTAGATAATGTATGCACTTGTTCTGTAGCCCATGCCTGTAAATCCTTGTGAACAGCTTTCTGAATCTTGCCAAACTGCGGACCTCGTTCATGATAGACATAGTACTTAGTGCTGTCAATATCATCGATCCTTAGCGTGGGATTACAGTGGTTGCAGCACTGGTCTTTCTTGACTATCCAGTAGCCCTCTGGTTCCTCGAAGAATCTCAGAAAGCCCCGTTGTATACATTGTATTTGATTGGCAGTATCATACCAAAGCTGTGGTAACTTGGAGCGCCGCTCTTTATCTGATGATTTCTTTTTGGGTGGTATTTTGTCGACTTATTCACTCTGCGTAGTTTCATTATTAAGTTCATTAGAACCAATTGAGACTTGCTGAATAGTAGATGAGATAATCCTTTCACCAACAGTCCAAGCATCAACTAAGAGTATGATCTCTCCCTTGCCGCCATCACGACATGTTTGACCTCCTCGTTGGAGAAATGTCGCCAGTAAAAGATTCTTAGGAAGACCATATAAGACTGATCGACGAATATCGGGCAAGTTGACGCCCACTCCAAGTGCTTCTGTTGCAAGAATAACCCGAATCTCAGATTCAGTGTCTAATTTCCGCATTTCGGACGTGATTCATTCCTTATCTTTATCGTATGTTTCGCGAGTATAGGTAGCCATAATTGAAAGGCAAGTCTGCTTAGTGTATTTATACGACTCATGAGTTGTAAGGTAGTTGATAAGCGAGTCATATGCCGAATATAACTCCCGTTTGGAATCGAAGAACACGACTGTTTTAGCTATTGTTGAAGGCAGAGTAGTTGTATCTCCATCTGCCCGGGGACTGGGATCAAAAAGAAATCGAAGCGCTGTATATTTCGAGCGAGTATTCTTTGGAATAACTCCAATACGAAAGACTAACTCCGAACGGTTAATAGACGTGCGTTGAATCTTAGTATTATCTGAAAATCCGGCATCTTTAATCATAGTCTTCAATGTTGCTGGATCTAGCGTAGCAGAGCAAGCAAACCACGGTATATCTGACCCTAAGATAGCACGTAGCCCTCCAAGCCGAGCACATTCAATCCGGAATTTTGCGCCCCAGTGGTATACCAGATGCGCCTCATCAATGATAACAGTAGTTATATGCCCTTTCATTGTCGGTTCAACTAGAACTTGGCGCATCTTCTCACTAAGGGCCAGTTCGGGCTCAATAGAATATGGGTATATTTCTTCCTCCTGATATTCTCAAGTACCAATGGCTTCATATTGTTCTTGTCCAAAAAGCATGGCCGGCCGCCAATACGTGCAATATATTCCGACTGTTCATTTCCAATTTGAGTAAGAGGGAGTATTATAAGAGTAATGGTCTTTTCAACCAAGATAGAGATAGCCTGAAGAATCATACTCTTTCTAAATGATGTTTTCGCAATGAGAATCAAGTCGCGACGCTGGAAGACTAAATGATAAAGGGCTTTTAATTGGCCTTCTCGTGGAGGATAAGGGTATATTTTATGGATAGCATTATATATAGCCTCTTCCTGTAATGCCGGTTGTTTCTCTCGAGTGTCACGGATTGATAACTGTACTTGATTGATGATTGATGGTAGAACGGTAATAAAACTATGATATTGGCCTATAACAGACTGACTAGGCGTCTTCGTACTAGCCCGAGTAGCCTTTTTTATGAAATTATCGAGGGTTGATTGCTTATTGAAGCGAGGTTGGTTGATCTTTGGTGGATGCCGAAATCTCCGCGAGCCCATTTTTTCACAACGTATTTTATAATAATCTTCCTGTAATCCATGGTAATGACCCCTAAAATATATAAAAGACGCTAGGATAAATAGTATCCTATAAAGAATTTATGATTGTATTCAGTCAATCTGCATCAGATTCGCGTCAAAGTTTGTATGGAGCGAATGCTGTCATGTTTAGTAGATAATTACTCGCTAATTAAGGAAAAAATTTGATAATAAATGCGTATTAATATATTCAAAATCGAGTTACTAACACGCCAATTGAAGCGATATTGTTATGCAAGCAATGGTTGTTGAGAAAAACATAATCCAAGGTGGTTGACTTTTGTATACTTTGTTAGCATACAGGCCAATACGCTCGAATTCTGGTTAGCACGCTAACAAAGACGCGCTCAGACACAAAAAAGGCTTTGTCAGCAAGCTGACCGCTTTCGGCCTGAGGTATCCGTCTAGACCTCGCCACGACCCGCGGGTCACCCTGACGACCCGGACCGCGACCCGGACCACGGAGGTTCTTGGGTCGTCAGCCCCTACCCTGACCCTCCATAAGGGGAGGGTCGTTGATGGTGCGACCCGACCCTCAGGGCCATGACCCGACCCTCAGGGTAGTAAAACAATGCAAACATCATCAGGTCACGAGGTGCATAAATTCTGTAGATTTTAGCGGTATTTTTGAGTATTTTACTTACAGTATTTGTAGGTCTACTTGTTTAGCTTTAATCACCCTGAAAGCATTAAATTAAAATGAACTAAACAAATTAAATAGATGAATTAAATGAATTAAACTACATATTCTATATCTCATATCCATCAAGCAACCTTGAACGCTTGCGAACTCTACCTGACACTCAGTACTGTGTCTCTGGCAGAGATATAACCTCACTATCACCCTCCTAATTACTTTCCGCATCCTCGGTGTAACAACCAGCAGGCTTTAGGGTCTAACTATTCCAAGAAATGCGCCCAATACGTCTCAAGTTGAGTTTCAGCTACACCAGGTGAAGGCTTATATGTTCGAGGATGGTTTCAGCTCCCTCGGACTGCACCTTGACTACTGGAGCTATTCAGAGAAGGGAGATCTGGTACACATTGTATATCTATAAAGATGGCAGATGCTCCAGGATAGCAAAAGATAGGTTTCAGTACATTGACATTCCATACCCTACCTTATATACTCAATTCTTGTGATCCCTCTTGAATCCCTATACGTATCCCTTGTAATATTGTTACAACTCTGAAACCTCTATCCTTTGAGACCAATCACAATGGCAGTATCTACAAGGAGAATTGCTCGTTCAGGGTCTTTGGACAGCCAGAACGACCAACAGGATAATAGAATGGGCGTTAGTCCTACTTAGGGGCCAACCAAATCCAGCGACAATACCAAAAACCAGTATGATGAAGTGGACGTCCGCCGGCCAATGGGACTCTACGAAATGCAAGAGATTGTAGATAATCGATCACTTTCTACCGAACAACTTCAAGTCCTTACTGATAGGATTTAGGTACTCGTGAAAGCTTATACAGGAAAATGAGCTAATAAAAGCACTAACGATGAGGACGACAGACCACGTAAACAACAAGCTAATCATAACCTTAAATACAACAGCATTAAAGAACTCAAGATAGGTGTAACCCTCAAAGCCTGGAGCGACTGGAAGATTGAGATCTAGCGAGCTTTCGATGCATCCCCATATAAATATAATAATGACCGAACCAAAGTGATCAAGGCACTAATTCACTTTCACAAAGATTGCAAAACAATGTGGAATAACCACATCCACACAGCTCCTAACGATGAATATAATTAGGAAGCCTTTAGCACCTGGCTCGACTCTACTATTTGGGACCAAGGAAACGACAAAATCAAAACGCAGATTGAGTGGAGTAAAGCCAGACAGAGATTTGATCAAACCCCTTGGGCTTTTGATGCTTATCTCACAAGCCTTGAGAGAGAAATGGAATCAAAAAATGAACAAACATAGGCAATGGAATTCTTCAGTTAATTGCAACCAAGTTTATAACGTGTAATCCGACTCAGTGGAATTAATCTATTACCTCAGACACGACAAGCAATGTTATCCCTTACTACACGTATGTGGGAGGAAATTAAACATGATGAAAAGGACCCTAGGAAAAAGGACTTCAAGAAGCTGGAAACCAAGACTGATTATACAACCAAACAGCCTAATCTATCAAAGCATGCTTCTAAAATAGAGAGCAAGAATGAGAACAAGACTTTGAATAAAATAGGGACCTTAAAGGGTCCTAAGGAATTCGCTACTGGCAAGAATGAGAAAGGAGAGCGAATTTGCTTCACTTGTGGTAGCACCGAGCACCTCGCTAACTACTATAAGAAGGACGATAAGGGAGACACTGAGAAGAAGAAACCGAGTGTTCGTATTGTCAAAACAGCCAGCCGAAAGAAAGGTCATGAGCGAATGGCTGAGCAGACATGGGACCTTTCAGACTCGTCGGAAAACGAGTAAGGCTCCCTTCCGGTCCTGAAGGAGAGCCACAAATGCGTACAGGGGATTACCTATGCGCTATGGCCACTATGAGTACTTGGTGATGCCGTTTGGGCTGACAAATGCACCAGCGGCATTCCAAGGTTACATCAACCAGGCCCTGAGAGGGTTGGTTGACGACTTTTGCATTATATATCTAGACGATATCCTAATCTTCTCCAAAACGAAGGAAGAGCATACAGAGCATTTGAGACTTGTATGTGAACGGCTACAAACAGCCGAACTATATGCAAAACCCTCGAAGTGCCAGTTCTATCAGAATGAAATGGAGTTCTTGGGCTTTATTATTAATGACTAGGGAGTCAAGATGGACCCAGAAAGAGTCCAAACGATTAGCGAGTGGAAGGAACATCCACTAGGGTCGTACCAGGATGTTCAAGTGTTCCTTGGGTTCTATAACTTCTACAGAAGGTTTATCCAAGGGTATTTGTGCATCGCTAGGCCACTTACAAGCCTAATGAAGGGCAGTAAGGACGGTAAGAAAACTGGTGATTTCCGCAAGGAATGAGGTAACACTTAGCAGGAGGCATTCCTTGAACTATTGAGTGCTTTCAAAACCGCACTATTACTGCAACATTTCAATCCAGACCTTCCAACGCAGTTAGAGACTGATACATCCAAGTATGCGCTTAGTGGAATACTATCATAGTTATTTGAAGAACAATGGCACCCCATTGCCTTCTATTCCAGACAGTTCAAGGGTCCAGAACTGAACTATAGGACACCAGACCAAGAAATGCTAGTAATTATGGAAGCTTTTAAGCATTAGAGACACTACCTAGAGGGTAGTAAGTACCCAGTAGAGGTACTAATGGACCATCACAATTTGCAGACTTTTATGAAGTAGTCTAGGCTAAATGGTCGTCAAGCACGATGGTGCTATTACCTTACGCTATACGATTTCATGATTAAATAGTGGTCAGGATCGACAAATCTGGCAGATGCGCCATCACGAAGACCAGACTACTTAAGACAAAATTAGAAGGATGATCTAGAAGACTCATCCTTAGGGTTGTTGATAACGCTAGGGGCAAAGATTGCTCGCGTACAACAAATCTACACAAGCTATCGTTGGAGGGTGATGCAATCCCACGATGATGGAAATCCTCAAGGAAGTGAGGAAGAGAAGACCTACAAGGTTGGCAAGGAGTCAACGCAGGCAAGTGAAAAGCCACAAGATGTGGTCACCTGTGTATACAATAGTGAGTTAGGACAACAGGTGCAAGGCCGGGCTTGTGAATACGATAGTGAGTTGGGACGACAAGTGCTGACGGAAACCTGTGTATACAACAGTGAGTTGGGAAGATAGGAATCTAAATGGCAGAGGGGGATAGTGCGTCCAGGCCTGTTGGGACCCTCTGTGACACCCCAGGGAGATAGGGTTGAGGCTGATCACCTCATTCGGTGTATGTTGACTCAGAAGGTCACACGCCAAAGGGCTCAGCAGGCAGTCCTGAATGAAGCACCACGGCAGGAACCCTTAGAGGGCCTGCGGCAGTTGGTAGCAGCTGCCCAGAAGGAGGATCCCTTCTGTATGCGGGTAGATAAGGACCTCAGCAAAGGAGACTCTACAAGACTGCAATATGGCCATACAAGTGATGGAGTGTTGCTGTACAAGGGCCGGATATTGGTCCCTAACCAAAGGAGTCTAGTGCATAAGATCCTAAGGTTATACCATGATGAACCATCTGCTAGGCATTGGGGAATCCAAAAGATATTGGAACTCTTACAGTGGAAGTTCAAATGGGAGGGCATAAGACAAGACGTCGAGGAATACATACAGACGTGTCTAGTCTATCAAGGAAATGCCACTCCAAGACATAAACCCTATGGGCAATTGGATCCCTTGCCACAGCTAAGCAGGCCATGGAAGGAGATATCAATGGATTTCATTACCTAGTTGCTAGTGTCCAAAGTAGGGACGGAGGAATACAATGCTATTCTGACAGTTATGGATCGATATACTAAGATAGCGATCTTCCTACCGGTCCAGGACACAATTGACGCAGCCGAAATGGCGGAGTTACTCCACAAAGAAGTAGAATTGCAATATGGATGTCCTAGTGGGATCGTATCAGACAGAGACTCCAGAATCACTAGTAAGTTTTGGGCTGAGATATGCCATTATTCCTTTATCAAGAGAAGAATGTCCACTGCTTTTCACCCATAGACTGATGGTCAGACAGAGATCTTGAATAGAATCATTGAAGGTTACTTGCGGGCATTTACCAGTCTTGAACAAATGGATTAGGCAAAGCTTCTGCCTATAGCCGTATTTGCATATAACAATAGTATAAACCATACACTTTGAATATCACCATTCAAGGCCCTATATGGGTTTAACCTAGAATTCCATGTTGATATTGCAGACAATGTCCCAGAAAGGGAGATACCTGCAGCCAAGAATTGTATTTAAAAACTCTATGAACTCAGACAAGGACTGCGAGACCAGCTGAACACAGCATAGCAATGTTAAATTGAAAATTACAACAGGCGACATACGCCAAAGACCTTCAAAAGAGGCAGCCTGGTAAAATTATCAACAAAGAATCTAAAGCTTAAGAATAAGAAGCTTCAACCTCGATTTATTGGCCTATTTCGAATCACAGAAGTGATAGGGTCTCAGGCATATCGACTAGCACTTCCCCAGCAATACTCACGGCTTCATAATGTGTTCCTAATCCAGTTGCTCAAAGAATACCATCCTAGGGAGAAGCAGGATATGATGCCTTTGCTAGAACTGGATAATAATCCTGAGGAATATGAGGTGGAAGAAATTTAAAATAAACAACTAATAAAGAGAAAGGTTCACTACCTGATCAAGTGGACAGGATGGCCTTCGGAATACAACCAATGGGTACCAGAGAACAATATGAATGCACCCAGGTTGATCCAAGAATTTAAGAAATCCCGAAAATGTAAACGAACGTGAAGCTAGACGATGTACTATAGTGGTTTTTGTCCGATATCTCTGGTTTTTCCACTATATAGATCACATCAGATCTAGCGAATGCGTACTTCATGGCTCGCGTGGACGCAAGCCCTTGAAGGGGGGATAGTTATAATAACCAGCAGGCTTTAGGGTCTAACTATTCCAAGAAATGCGCCCAATACGTCTCAAGTTGAGTTTCAGCTACACCAGGTGAAGGCTTATATGTTCGAGGATGGTTTCAGCTCCCTCGGACTGCACCTTGACTACTGGAGTTATTCAGAGAAGGGAGATCTGGTACACATTGTATATCTATAAAGATGGCAGATGCTCCAGGATAGCAAAAGATAGGTTTCAGTACATTGACATTCCATACCCTACCTTGTATACTCAATTCTTGTGATCCCTCTTGAATCCCTATACGTATCCCTTGTAACGTTGTTACACTCGGCAATATCTCTTAGGCGTCTTTTGCCAAGTGCCTTTGCAGATGGGCCTTGCAAAGTTTCTTGGGGCTCTGTAGAAGAAAGCCCTTCATCCTCTTCATCATCACTAATTAGATCAATGGTGATTTGTTGCTAAGTTCTTTCTTTCTTTGCAGCCTGTATCTCCTGAGTCGAAAGATATTCAGAGAGCATTATTTGCTTCTCTTTATAAATCTTAAACTGTAATGTACATATATATATCATAAGATCTGAGATTGTTTGAGGCTGTAGAGAGCCTCGACGATAATGGCAGATATCTCGTGCAGAGTTAAAAAGCCGCTCTACTCCTGCATCACTAGCTGGAATAGAAAGAACATCTCGTGCAAGCCTTGCCATTCCAGGGAATTCATCTTAGTGATATTTCCACCAGGTTCGAGGTTGGGCATTTGGGACTATGTCTAAAAGAGAAATCAGTAATTATTCCCATTGATATTAAGAGACAAGACACTCACTGCTATCAAGATACCTTGTAAGCTCGTCAGACTAAACTGGCTGTCAAATCTAAGATTGCTGCGACTCATCTTGAACATAGGCCAAATCAAATTCATCCATTGCTATACTTGTTAGGGGAGCATCCACTATCTGCTGCTCCTGGGCAAGATTCTCCAAGTACTTCTTGAGAGAGGACTCAAGGCTCTGGCGATAGATTACTTGGTAATCAATTCCACCATCCTCTGGGTCCCAGTCTGCAGTTGAGAAGAACTGAAGTTTATCCTGTGGAGAAAGGATGGTGCCAATAGCATAGAGATGACCATCCATGTTGTTAGTGTCTTTATAGTAGATTGAGAGCTTGTTCTTTGCCACTTCAAGAGATGCAAGCATCACCTGCTTCCAAGCGACCCTCTTCCATCTAAGCTATCTAATTGACTTTTCTAGGTAGTCAAATAGCTTATTATAGACCTTAAAGACCCGATGGATGGTGACATCCTTGGACTTCGAGAGAAGGGTCGTAAATTAGTGAAAAGGCTAGAGAATGCAGATAAGATAGTCTACTTGCCGCCACTGCTCCTAACTCAAGGCAAAGTGCTCTTGGTCGTACTGAGAGCAGAACGCATCGAAGGTCTGCTGGAGTTTCTTTGCACGTACAAGCATTAAGAATGTGGAGTTCCACTGAGTAGCAACATCCTGGATTGGCACAAGCTTTGGCTCCTTGGTTTGCAAGTTGTAGAATGACTCTTGGCGCTGAGGACTCGTGTTGATATAAATCGCAAGGCTTTGAACCTAAGAAACAGATTAGGATAATAAATGAGGATAAAAGCCATGATGTCGCATCTTATTTAAAGTGTCCACGATCTCGCGTTTCTGCTGCCTCGCACGAAGACTATCCACCCAATCATCAGACCATGTCTGCTCAGCCATATCAATCTTTAGAGCAGCCTTCATCTTTCCAAGGAGATCTTTAAGACTCAGCTGGATCACATGTGCAATACAGGGTACCTAAATAATAATAACATTGTTTGAGGATTGTAGTGACTCAATCGCCTCATGGATACTTGCTATGAGACTAACGTTATTTGAAGTGTTGTCGGTAGTTACCGCAAGCACTCAATCTATAATCTGATGCTCCTGTAGCAGCTTGAGGAGCACTACACTCAAATTTGCGCTAGAATGAGATCTATGTAAGTGTTCAAATCCTAGTAATATCTCATGATATTCCCAGTTCTCGTTGAGAAAGTATCCTGTAATCGCTATAAATACCTGTCGGAATGGAGATGTCCAGCAATCCAGGGCAAGTGATAGCTTTACACTAGAAGGAAGTTTCTAAAGGATACTCTTTTGGTTCTCATGAATAAGGTCTCAAAGCTGCCGGCGTATAACCTTGGCAGAAGGAATTTCTGGCATTAATAGTGCTAGCTGGGCATAGAAGATCAAATCACAGAACTCGATATACTTAAGAAAAAGAAAGGGAAGATGCAATATAGTGAGGAGCTGAGCAAGCTTCTGCTGCCAAACTCACTCATTAAATTTTTATACTATCACATTCTACGCCTAGATGTCGAGGTCAGAACTGGGATGCTTATTGCTTAATGTCAAAGTTAGGTCTCGAACATACTGCATGCTCTAACGCAAGCTTGATGTTTGGTTTCTTTCCTGTAGCTAAGGCAACTCTCTAACAATTTATCCCATTGTAATGCTTGTTCATTAAAGATGTTCCTGAGTGAGCCGATGCAGAGTGATCAAGTACCTTCTAACATTGATGGCACATCATTCTAGGCTTTCCATCTTTTTCAAACGCTACTTGATTAAAGTTTTTCTAGCAGTTTGTAGCTCATTTTGCATTCCAAGATATCTATCTCTTTTTCCTAAAATTAGTCTAAAGCTATCACTGCATGAATTTATTGCCTATTTCTGGAGAGTACATGATGAATGATCTGATCTAGTCCAGGCAAATTCAATAAAGATAATCAGGTGCCACTCAAAGCTTAGACAATGGAAGGGAGGTATCTTGATTTCCAGATAGGATAAGGGAGTAGAGCTGATTTAGACCTAGACCATCATCAGCACTGTATTCAAGAAAATCTAAGGGTGGACCCTCATAAGTAGATGAGAATGCATCAGAAAACTGGGACATGGTGAAGATAGTTAGAAGAAGAGAAGACTTACCAGATTTCCTTTGCAGTTCGGCAAGGGACTCAGGAGGTAAAATGACAGATCACATTTGATACTCATCATGCTAATTAGCTAGAACTGAGGTTCGTGAGGGTCACCCTGAAATTCGTGAGGGTCATCCTAAGGTTCGTGAGGGTCATCCTGAGGGTCAACCTCGCGACCCTACGACTTTGGCAGAACATAATTGAACATGATCGATATATTTCGCTCAATTTCAACACGGCATAGGTATGTAGAAAGTGGATAATAGATGTTCAATATAATTAAGTCAGGATTTCAGGAAGTTTGAGGCTAATAACCAAGAATATTAAAGTTGTAACTTCTTCAGATTATACTTCTACAATCAAAATATATATTTCCCCATCGTTACATGCCTCTCTCTCCAACTCTTTACAATACATACCACAACGGTTTTTCCCAGGCAGAAAAAAGGTGTAAATCCAGGATTACCGAGCAAGAAGGCTTATTTAGAAGATATATTTTATAAAAATATGTAGGGGTTTGATAGAAAACAATGGATTCATAGTCGGACATACGAAACAGGTATAAAAAACAGGAATTTATGAATGTTTGTCAGCAGAATTATCCATCCGAATTAGGGAAAGCGTGAGAAAGTTATGCATATATGGGCCGTGAGGGTCGCTTGGCGAGTGACCCTCCAAAGATTCTATGACCCTCAGGTGCGGTGAGGGTCGTCAATCTACGACCCGACCCTCCGGAGGGGAGGGTCGCGGGTCGCGAGGAGGGACCCACGGTCCGGGTCATGGCGAGGTCTATATCCGTCTGAGTTCTTGAGGTAACAGATGTCGGAGTGTATTTTTGATTTATCAGCAACGTATCGGGAAAATCGCGATTGGGTGATTTAGAAAACCCAACCATGCGCAAACATGTATGGATCAATCAGATCTTGGAAATATGTCCTGTTGTTAAGTATTTAGGTTACCTATTCTACCTCTGGAAAGTGGTCTGTCTCATACAATTTCAAAATTCCCAAAGTTAAGAAGAGCCCTATGGCCCCCATATTTAGGTTTAACAAAAAACACTCCTGAAACTCATCCATGATAAATCGTTCTTCATACAGTACGAATTAGTAAGAATTCTACTTCAAGATCATCGCTGCATACGTACTTGCTTGTCGTCAAGAGCATATCGATATTTAAAATCTCGGTTACTATCTAATGGCGAGGGATCAAATCACAGCGGACAATTAATAGTGAGAGGACATCCGTTGCCCTATGACCAATCGCCATCCAGCAATTGCTCAATTCTTTTCCCATCCTCAATGTCCTTATAGATTTCTTCAATCGTCCAAGGTACAAACTTATGTCCTGGTGGGTAGTTTGTATTCTCATACTCAGCACCAGTGACTAGATGCGCAAAAGCCTGCCCATATTTCTCATATACATATGCTTCAGGATCATGTCGGAACACCCACTTCGGGAAACGGAGGCGTACTTTCTTAGGATCCTTCATTATGTCTTCCCAATCACTAGTAGCATTCAAGAGCTGTGAATTGACGAAGGCCATTTTCTGCGTGCAGCTGACACGCTGGTATCGCATTAAATTGTAGATTTTGGCTCCAAGAGGCGCACCGCTGGCTCCTCCATAAGACGATAACTGCAAACACGATGCCAGCGTTATTGCGTCCTCGAGAGCTAGGGTCCCACCGCTGACAGATGCAGGTATTGTGGAATGTGCACAGTCTCCCACTTGAACAACCCGCCCGCCCTTAGAGGTCCACTCCTTGCGGAGATTGCGCCATAGTAGTGGCCAGTGGATCAAGGCTCCCCTCGGAGTAGCGCGTACCAACGCTTCAACTGCAGGATCCCAGCCAGGAAGGCGATGAAGAAGCTTACCGACTTCTTCAGGATCGACATCGGGATCCCATGATTCCTTGGCCTTGGCACTACCCTCTACCAAGAACTCATCTCGCGGAGTCATACCAAAAGCCACGAGGTCAGGAGATACGAACAACCCCATATGCATGCCAGCTCCAAGCCAGAACTCATTTGCCGTAACACCTTCCCACCGCTTCCTGACCAAGTCATTTTGCATTGCAAGGTGGGCCGGGAAAGCTACACGATAGACAGACATTCCGCTTGACCGTGTGGGCATGTGTTTACCAGCAATCAGAAGTTCGGACCGGGACTTGAAGGCATCGGCTGCAACGACAATATCAGCCACTCGAACTGAGCCATCTTCTGTTATCACACCACCAAGTCCAGCATTTTCATCTTCAAAGTATTTGTCGACACGTTGCCCGTAGTCAATTGTGATACCTATTTTAGCCACTTGCCGCAATAGCATCCTGTAAAACTTCTTTCGGATCTGTACCGGGCCTACATACGGCAGACCTTCACGCTCGGCCAAGTGCTCCGGGTCATTGTAGCTGGGTTCCGAAGGCCCATAAATGAGCTCACTATTGTGTCTGTAGTAAAATGTCGGGGCGGTGACTTTATCTTCTTCGAGTTCACAGCGCATGTCAGGCCAGTGGCGAAAAACAGAAATGGCTGAAGGCTGGATGATAATAAGATCTCCTGTAAATATCGTTATAAATGGATTTTATTTAATTTTTCTTTTTTTTTCTTTTTTTTTTTTTTTTTTTTATTTCTGCATGGAACTCAGAGAGGACAAACCGCTGTAATTCGGGCCTTCGTTACGTTCTAGAATGCCCACAATATTATGCCCTTTTCTCCAACACTCCAGTGCCGTCATCAGTCCAGCGAATCCGGCACCCACAATGAGGACATTGACATGTGTCTCTGGGTCACGTTTCGGTAGCTTATTTGGGGTACTCGAAATCCACCTCTCCGGGTCGAATTCTTCTTTATCGCCTATGGTATAGAACTTTTGTTTCGGCACGACTGTTTCACCCATCTTGCGGTCTACCTTAGGGATCAAACGAATTTTCAAGCTGAAATTATGTTCCAAAACAGACGGTTATCTTCAGAAAGTGCTGCGAAATCGACGGTCAGATCACGATTTAAAAACCTAGCATATATCTCCATTCGACATTCATCTATGTTGACCCCGTCTCGGGTATCGGTCTTTCGGAAGACAAAAATTTAATATGCTCGGTTCTCGGGTCATTTCTATGCCATGTTCGAAAATTGTAAGAAAATACGAAATCCAAATAACGGAAATGATGTTAGTTTTCGGGTATTATGGAGATCCACTTACTTTTTCAAAGTACACCATTACCATTGTTTAGTTTGATATCCAGGTCATTAGGGTCATCTAATTATATTCTGTCTCGCCACGTCTATGGTATCTGCTTGTGACACTTGACATTGGATAAAGCGCAGGCCTGACAGCTATCCCTTAGCTTCGAGGTTCCTGTTGCTGAGTTTGACTGCCCATCTCTTTCTGGGCATGAGGCCCCAGAGGCTTGAGCATTGGAATGTGAACTAGTCGATATCATGGAAAAGCGGCTTCTCGAGTAGTGATCATTAATAACTCATCAATTGTCAAAATTAAGCATGATTTATCGTTGACAAAATGACCCAGCCTTTGAACGGTGCTTAAGTTATATCCTATTTTGATCACGTATTTACGCACCCCACGATAATGGGGTTAAGCCTACGAGATCAGCAGTGGGGGCATGCTTGTACGAATAAAATGTAGAATAGTGAAGCCAATTTTTCCATTCTTTGCTGTGTACATCGTATCCAAACGAACATAACTACTAGAAACAGCTCTGACTCATGATATTGACTATTGGTTTTTAACTGTCTCTCGTGTAGTTCTTATCTATTCCTTGTAAACCCAATTCAACGGGACGTGCAAGTGCATGTTGAATTATCGCAAGACTAGCATAATCCTGCGATTTTGGAGCTAGGATCCAGGCATAGACCATCATACGTCCAAGGCTTAAATCGCATCCATGGTTTTCGCATAACCTATCACAAAGCTTTAGACATTCAAGTTCGTGAAATTGTACAAGAATGCTACGTGAATACAAGGCAACAATGTATGGGGGCGAAATCTTACTGTAGCTGATCCACAATGATATGTAATTATTGTTCTGAGAAATTGTAAATACGTCGCTCTCAGTGGATCCAGCCGATATGTTGACTAAATGACGCTGCCATTTAACGTTTTACGTAAATGAAGATTTGAAGCAATTCGTGCATCTTGGCCAGAAATCCGGTATATTTAAAATGGTCCAAAAGATGAACTGCATACATGTACGTAAGTTGTATGTATGTGATAAGGCATGACAGGTTCAAAGAAACGTATGCGTTAGCACGACTGAATATGTGTGAACTTTTCAGCGTGGTATTTCTTCAACAATATTCACCAAAGTAGAAATCTCCTGGTCGGGCTAATTCAACAACAACCCAGGCTCGACCACGTTACAATGAGCCAATCAAGATTCGATCCGAGATTGGTGCATGCACTGCTGTAGTCACGGACATAAGACAGACGGGTTGATAATGACAGGCATAAGAGGGTCCCTCTTGTGGGTGAAAAACGCGCAAGGGGTGGAGGCTGGGTTAAGCTTAATTAATTCGATTATAATTTACCCGAGGCCCACTGTGGAGTCGCTCTTGCAGGATCCCAGTGAAACCCACGATTACGCCAATCAAGGGGAACACTGAACGCGCAAGATGCAACCAAGCCCATTTCACCACGACTTTCCGCACGGCATCCAATTCTGCCACCGGCGCTCCTGCTGTTGCCATTTCTTCCCAGCCGAACAAGATGTTGTTGGTAGGAGCCATGAACACCCATGTGAAAGGCACCATTGCGATTGTCGTGGCAGCGGCAGCCGCGTAAGTGGTCCAATGTTGGCTATTCCATCCCTTTAGTCGGAGAGATGAATATCCATATAGCCCAACGGTTGCTATACATAGCACAGGCATGTAAATATGGCCATAATGATACAGACGGACCCAGTGGCGAAGTAGATGGGCCGACTCAGCGTCAGTGTCAAGGAAGACGGGAATTACAACTCCGGTGAGACACACCATAGCACCTAAATTCGGACGATTAGTTGGTGCCCTAACAGGACCCTCTCGTGGGGACAATAGAATCTATACCTGTCAAAAAAGAACCGGAAACCACGGCAGTGGCCTGCACCCCAATGGGCGGTACGCTAGAAATCTTTTTTGTAGTCATAATTTTGTGATCGATGAAAAAAAGATTGGGTAGTGGATTTTAAATTTTTATGTTAAATCCAGCCATACTGTAACCGGTTATTATCTTGCAAAAGACCCGAAGTCGTTCGGATCGGCGCACGGGATGTAGGAAACCCTAACATACGTTTCACTGCACCCCCGAAAATCTATCAACCCCGAGAAAGTGCAGACTGAGAAGAATTTTAGACTATTTCCAAAAAATTCATTTGACTTAAAATAGCATATTTATAGAAGGTCAATCCATGCAAGCTCCCAGCAAAACCAACGCATTGCAAAAGGTTCTTGTTTCAACATTCGGGGTCCAATCTTTTTTTTTCTTATTCCCCGGCATATGGTTGAGTCCATGAAGGGCCCTGTTGATTTGATTACAGATAGTTCGGTATGTAAGAAGCTTAAATGGGAGACTTCTAAGTTCAAAAGCTTGTGCAAGCCCCTTTCGTGTCCGAAGTTCGGCAGTTAGCATAAATTTGACTCATAAGAATGCCCCATGGTACAAAAGCCAAAGCAGTAAACTGTTGGCTCATCGCCTCCATGCAGCTAAGATGCATTATAAATTACACGCTGTGTATCTTTGTGCTCTAGCGCCAAGGGTAACTGTCGGTTTAACTACGGTCCGTATCACGAAGCATAGACGGTAGCAAGGCTAGTCCGACAAGCCTGTCAAGGGTGAAGCTGTATATATATGATATTCGATATTATAAAGCCTAACTCAGAGAAAGTAGGGGGCCCCGGGGTGTCATGGTAGCTATATACGAGGTTGCCGTACGGGCGCTAGGGATAACGTTATCCCGCTCCCGTACGTACGTGCTTGCTTCTGCACCGGGGTGCAGAAGCGCCGAATCATGAGATTGATATTCCGACAGTAACAAAACTATGTATAGCGACAGAATAATGTAGCATGGGTATCTATGCCCGTTATAGCGGTCTATCTGTAGGAAGTAGTAAACTTTCGGCCAATTGGTATCATGTCACATGCTCTCAATTGAATATGTTCAGTTTATATAAAAATACCACAAAGAATTTAAAGTGAATGATAATTAGTGGTATTGACAGAATAAAAAAGGCTCATCTGTAAATAAAGCACCACCTTTTACCCAGATGCCAACCGCATAGAGGTGGGGCCTGCCATGCCTCACAATAACGAAACAAACCTCGTGCGTGACCTACTGGCAACTGGTTCAGCCACAACCAGACTTTCATATTTCACACTGCACTATTGTCTTGACTTTTGAAATCTATATCTACCATAGAGTACATCCGCTTCGTGATACGAATGATATTCAAGCTCAAATCTTGATACCTTGCGTGTTTTTGGTCGGCTTATGACGTGCATCCGTTTTATATGTATGCAACTTGTCGTGTTCCTTGCCAAATGCCTAGATAGCACCAAAGTCCACGTGTATTAGGGCTCATATGAGAGCGCGAGGAGTCACCTTCGTCTCGATATGTATCGAGACCATTAAACGCTTGTTTGTTCCTTGTAAGACTTCTTCCATATATCACTGGCGACAGTGATGCTATATTTCAGTAGCAATTTTAGAATTATTGGGAGATTTCCCTAGGTCCTTCAGGTGTCACCTAAAACATGGAGAAATCCTAATTACCGGGGTCACTCTGTGTATACGGAAGAGCACTTCATATGATGGAACATCACTCGCGATGCTCAATCTTTATCAACTCGACTAATACTTTGTAAGGGCTGACTCCATCGCGAGATCCAAGGAGCCAATCTGAATGCGCGGAAGATTGATGCCAGCGATCTAAGGCAGGAATACGGGTGAATGCCCAAGGCCTTGGCAAGTCAGGATAGTTGGCGGCGGCAAGCGCGCGATCTAGATATTCCTTACCCCTCTCGGCGCCTGACCGGTGCCGGAGCGCTTGTGTATATAGCGTAGATCTTCGCAGGGAATCCTCGAAGGTCAAGCGATTATTCTCGTACAATTTCACTCGTACCATCTGCTATTGTTGCTCTATCTTAGTTCGTATCTCTTGTGTGTGGATTCCTTAGTATTCGCTTCTTCAAGTGTTCCGTAACCCATACCCTCGTACTCGAAATATCGTTCAACCCGGTCATTACATTAACGTACTACACGGGTCATTGGGCCACAGGGTCATTGGGCCACCTGCAAGCCCCATACAAAATGGCCTTCTTCAACACCTTGACTTCTCAACAGATTTATATATAAGCCATATCTTAGACTTGACAAATGATTCCTATATAAATCCCCATCAGATATATCAATTTGAAGTGCGCCTCTTCTATAAATCTTGAGATGTTAGAAACTAACCCAGTTATTAATGTACATTTCATGACAGAGGGGGTTCTTAATATTTTTAGAGTTCCTAAATCTAGATATATATTATGATACCTATATTATAAGACATATTCAACTTTTAGATACGGTTTATATATAAATCTGTTGAGAAATCAAGCTGTTAAAGAAGGCCATTTTGTATGGGACTTGCGGGTGACCGGATGACCCGTGTAGTACGTTAGATGAATCTACTTGATTGTTGTAAAGATTATAGCCTTCGGGCCGATATTTATCCGTACGGGATAGAACACCTCACTCCTTAGATAGTTTCCTAGAGAACGAGAAGGAGAATAACGAACGTTGAGAACGCTCCATCGAGAATCCATCAATCCCCAAAGGGGAGCGTACAATTGATTCTCCACTACTGCTCATAATCCTCGGCAACCAGATCTTCCTCAAGAATCTTAACATGGTAGCATGTCTGAGGTCTGGGTTTGTCGGATAGCTTAACCGCGTCTATCTTTGAATAGGTCTGGCACCCCAGGGCGAACAATAGAATTAACACACTATTGTGAGCAAGCAGTCAGTGGAATATTGGTGTGCTGTATCCTTGACTCTCGGGACTTGGACGGCCTGATCAACCTGTTCAGAAACGAGTTTTAGGCTATATAGCTACGTGACCCCGAGGGGACCCTGATTTGATTTGATTATGAATTGAGTTGACTGATCGATGCCACCGAGACGTAACGCACAAGGACGGTTTATTTCATTGGAGAATACCCCAGACGAATCTAGACAAGACACCTCACTGGAGGGACAATTGCAAAGTGAGCTCGCCAATATGACGGGAGATACACAGGATGTGATCCCTGATTACCCTGGACCGGATAACGTTAGAATAACAACCTTTGAGATAGAGAAGGCGGATCGGTCGAACATAAAGAATTGGAAGCTGCGGATGCAAATTTTCTTGGAGACTCAAGATTGCTGGGATATGGTTGAATTGATGGAGAAATACCAGAAGGACCCTGAGAAGATTCAGGCCTTGTCTGCGAAGAAAGGGTGGAAATCAGCCAATGGGAGAGCGAAACTGTATATTCTAGGGAATATTAAGCAGGACGATATCTCGACCGTTAGGGATTGCAAACTAAGTGGTGAGATGTAGGGTTATATTCGGAAGAAATACGAGCGAAAGACTCACGTTGATATTATGATGGCGATTCAAAAGATAGTGGATTGGAAGAAGTCTGCGGAGGCAAGTATGGAAGATTCGTTACAGCAATTGGAACAGCTGGAGGCTGAATTGCGGGATGTGAGCGATAGTCAGATCAAGCTAGGAGAGCTGATGATTCTGAATTTCTTCTTGAGAGGACTCCCAAAGGACTATGAAACAATCAGTTATGCTATCATGGGAAGTGAGACAATAACTCGAGAGAATGTACTGTCGAGACTGCAGGTGCAGGAAGGCATTCTTAGTTAAAAAGAGAAAGTTATTGAATCTGCAAATCGAATCAGAGGATTGAAATGCTGGAATTGTGGGAAGGAGGGGCATAGAATGAGTGAATGCCCAGAACCACAAAGCAAGTCTGATTCGGATGAGACTGGGAAGCAGTCTACAAGAAAGAAATCGGATCACCGAGGCAGGAAAGGCCATGGACGTGGACGTGGAGCTAAGGAAGGCTCAGGCAAAGACAAAAGGCAGGTTAAAAGCAAGAGGAAGCCTTACCGCGGGTCAGCTAGGAAAGCTGATTACAACTCTGAATCTGATGCTGGATCGACGACTGAGGATAGCGATGATGAACGGGCTGCCAGGGTTAAGATAATATTCCCGGATGAGCAGGCCCCAGTCGCAAAGAGCAATGGTAAACGGGATGTTAGGATTGAGGAATCCTTGGAACATGCCCTAGTTGCGAAGCAGGTCCTAGTCGAGAAGGGCGATGGTCAACGGGCTGTTAGGATTAGTGAAGAATCCTGGAAATAGGCCTTAGTCGCAAAAAGCAATGGTAAACGGGATGTAAGGATTGAGGAATCCTTGGAACATGCCCTAGTTGCACGGATCAGTGAAGAGCATGAATATCTGATTGATGAGTCAGTCAAACGAGTTGACGATGACCATTGGGTAATTGATTGTGGTGCAACGTGTCACTGCACCGGAGATATCAAATGTTTTGAGAGTTTAGATCGCAGGTATAAAGGCCGATTGGGAACAGTGAGCAAGAGTACCAAAATCGATGGAAAAGGGTTGGCTATTATACCATTAGAGAATGGTTACTGTGCAAGAGTATGCGATGTCATGTATGTCCCTGGGATGAAAGGGAGTCTATTATCAACCCAGATGTTGTATATCGATGGAATATATAATTCTCATGAGGAGAATGGATATCGATTCTACCGGACGGACCGGAAGACATTGGCGACGGGTTATAATATTGGACGGACAAGCTATCTAGGTACAGTGAAGTATCAAGATGCCTTATTGACAAGATCGCAAGGCCCGAATAGGGAATTCACGGCACTTTTGGCACATGAGAAGCAACCAGATTGGGAATTACTGCATCGGCGCTTTGGTCATGCTGGAGAACGCAGGATGCGTAGACTAGCAAAGCGATTAAGGATAACATTTGAAGAGCCAGGAGATTGTGAAGTATGTATCCAAGCGAAGAGTGTTAAACAATAGAACAGGAATGCAGTTCCTAAGGTAAAGAAACCGTTGGAAAGGGTCTCAGTGGATTTCTGGGGACCATATAGAAAAGGCGAAGGCAAAGAGACTTATTACCTGTCCATTACGGATGATGCTACTCGATTCTCGTGGATTCATATTACTGATAATCGACGGTTGGAGACCGTTCAGAAAATACTGTCTCGATGGATGAGGAGACAAGAAAGGGAGCTGGGGATGCTCCTAGTCAACATTCGACTCGATAATGCTAAGGAATTCGTTGCGTTGAAACCTTGGGCAGAAGATCTAGGGATAGATCTTGAATTTACAGAGTCCTATACACCAGCACAGAATGGTGTTGCAGAGCGGTTGAACCGCTTGTTACTGGAAATTGCGAGATCCTTGATGATAGGAATGAATGTTCCAAAGGCGTATTGGCCATACGCACTCAAAATGGCCAACTTCATCAGGAATAGAACTGTTTTCCTGAAGGGAAATAAGAAGTCGCCTTACGAGGCTCTATTTGGTGAAGAATGGAAACTGTCAAAGTTTCGAGTGCCCTTCTGCAAAGTTTGGTTTCATATCGAAACAGATGATAAGCTTGAACCTAGAGCAGAGGAAGGGGCACTAGTGGGCTTTACAAAGAGCTGAAGTCAATATATCATTCTCGATCGCCAAGGCAGGGAGCATAAAGTGACGAATCCCATTTTTATGGAAGACGAATATGGGTTCCTGAGCAGGAAGCCTGGAGAACGTGGTGAAATTGAGAGATCACGTCAGAAACCTTCTACTATTGGACAATCTATTGAACCTATATTAGGATTCCAACACGACAAGGGCGCTGAGATTCCAATACAAGTTGACATTAAGAATAAGACATCTCATGAGTCAATTCCGGAAGCCTCTACAAATCATGCTTCAACTTTGGAAGCACATGCAAATCCGGAATCTATATTGGAATCTACAACCGCACCACATACTACTCTCCGTTGAACTAGCCGAGTTCGAAGACCCACGCAGGCCGCTCTTGAATCTGCCGCAACTGAGACAATATATAGACGAAAAAGCCGGCAAGAAAGACGTCAAGAAGCACGGGAGGCAAGTAAAGATACTGCTTCTCGTATATCTCTTGCACGGGAGGCTTGTCTTAAGGAGGTTGCAAATCCTGCAGTTGTAATTGAGTTGCTATTAGGAGATGACGATGAATTTGCTTATAAAGCTGCCAAGATTGGAGGGGAGATCCCTATACCACAAATGTATGAAGAGGCAGTGAACGACCCAAAATTTGGCCCTCAATGGTGAAAAGCTATTGAACTTAAAATCCGGAATCTAATTCGATTTGGGACATGGCGTTTTGTCAAGAGACCAGATCACAAAGCTGTAATATCTTGCAAATGGGTATTTAACATCAAATATGAAGCGGTCAGACATATTGAATGGTTCAAAGCACGGTTAGTTGCTAGGGGATTTTCACAACAGGAAGGTCTTGATTTTGAAGATACCTTCGCCCCAGTAATACGTTTGGAAAGCTTACGAGTACTATTTGCTATTGCTGCGATGTATGGACTTACTGCACATCTGTTGGATGCAACAAATGCTTTTGTGGGTTCCAAGCTAGATAAGCAAATCTATATGGAAGTTCCAAAAGGTTTACCAAAAAGCCTACAGCTAGGAAAGGATGAAGTATGCGAATTACTTCAATCTCTGTATGGGCTTCGACAATCTGCAAACCTTTGGTGCCATAAAGTCAAGGAATTTATTACTTCGATTAGATTCAAGCCATCAACTGCGGATCCTGGTATTTTTATTAATGAACGAGGAATGATTATTGCTTTATATATAGATGATATCCTGGTTTTCAGCAAGGATGAGAAAGCAATTAGATTGACCAAGAAAAAGCTTAAAGAATTCCATCCAATGAAGGATTCTGGACGAGTCAACAAGATCCTAGGAATCCGGATTATATGGTTAGATGGATCTATTCGTCTTGATCAAGAATTCTATACCTTACGAATCCTAGAGGAATTCAATATGTTGGAAGCAAAACCACAGAAGTTACCATTGAGTCCTAGTATCAATCTCGATAAGGATTCACGGAGACTATCTCGTGAGGCTCATTCTCAATTCCGACACGCTATTGGTCGATTAACCTACCTCGCTGGAGGAACTCAACCAGATATTCAAAGAACAGTTAATCGATTGAGTCAACATTTAGTTGAACCAAAGGAGATCCATCTCAAAGCAATCAAACATCTTCCTCACTACCTTCGAGGCACATATCGCTACGCAATTTCATACTTGAAGGGGAGTAAGGATAAGAAGCTGGTTGGTTATACTGATGCTACATATAGTAATGCATCAAATCTATGTTTAACCTCAGGTTACATCTTTATGCTAGCCGGAGGTCCTATTTGTTGGTCAAGTCGCAAACAGCCAATTACTGCGACATCTTCATCCGAAGCTGAATATATTGCTGCAGCTGATTCAGCAAAGCAAGCAATATGGCTACGTCATTTTCTATATTCAATTCGGAAATCAAGAACTTATGACAATGGCCCAATACCTCTGTATATTGACAACACCTCAGCATTAAAGCTAACTGGAAACCCTGTGATGCACAGCCGGAGCAAACACATCATAATATGTTGGGAATATCACCTCACATCACATATCACCTTTGCCAGCTATTTACATCCATACTAGATCATCTAGTATGCGCGCAGCTTTTTGGTCTAGTTGGTCAAAAGCCCAACAGGTTATGAAGCCCTCTTTCTTCCTTCGATCAATGCAAAAACATGCAAATATTTTACGGCAAAGGACCCGGTTTCGATTCTTAACGACGACAAATCTTTTAAGGTTTAATTAGATTTTCCTATGAACGAAAAAATCTTCAGCCATGCGAAGCCGAAAAAAGCCAGATAAGTCAATTATAGGCTGTGAGCTACGGAAACCATGAGCAACTAGAGCCTAAAAAATAGGCCAGTCATATTGTTCGTACGTTCGATATATATCCCGGAGAGTTGTCCAGCCAGTCATGATTGTTACTGCCTGTGGGGGGTGTGTTGGGAATATCACCTCACATCACATATCACCTTTGCCAGCTATTTACATCCATACTAGATCATCTAGTATGCGCGCAGCTTTTTGGTCTAGTTGGTCAAAAGCCCAACATAATACAATACCACGCCATCCGAGATTTCGTTGAATGTAATGAAATCAAGCCTATTCATATTTCTGGAGACGAAATGCTTGCGGATAGCCTCACCAAGGCTGTCGATCCAAAGATACTGGAATGGTTCGTACGAGAGTTACGACTAGGAGATTAGGAGAATTGAATCTTCGAACCACAACGTTCAAGATTACAAGATTGCCAGAACGAGCGTTCAACACCCTCGAATTGCTTATATGTTTTGTGATCTTTGTTATTCGTTATTGATTGTACAACTCGCATTCTCTGGATGTTGAACGAAGGGGAGTGTAAAGATTATAGCCTTCGGGCCGACATTTATCCGTACGGGATAAAACACCTCACTCCTTAGATAGTTTACTAGAGCAAACTTATGGGCTACCGCGAGTTCATGCCAGATTGATTGATTGATTGATTGATTCATTAAGCCGTCCCAGCCGCCCCGCAGGCAGCTATGCGGCATGTGTCCTAATCCTGACCGCCAGCTCCGGTCCTATATACAAGAACTAACTATGTATCTAAATAATTTAGAATGAAACAACAAGCTGGTGTATGCTTGCTAGAGCACATTGCTGCTGCTCCGGCTGGTATAGTGACTGTTGTACCCTTGAGGACTCACCGCTCTGCTAGATGTCTAAATCTATGCTCCCAAATTGCCCAAGGAGCTTGGTTTCCAACATGAATTTTGCTGCCCTAACGGCATATTTTCCCTCAGAGAGAATCTTCCTTGTATTGGATGACCATGTCCCCTCATTCTTCCATGCGTTACGCTCCTCCTTGAACCTGGGACAGCTCAGTAAGATATGTGTGACTGTTTGTGCTCCACGTTGGCACTGGCATTCTCCGTTGTCGATTCCCGGAATCTTTCTTTTGTATAGGAAATGCCGCAGGCTGATATTACCTGTCCGCATCTGTGTTAGGATAGATGATAGAGGCCTGCTAAGTCTGGTGTGAAGCTCTATATTCTTCTTTGATGGTTTATCCACGACCCGGAAGAGAGTACGGCCTCGTTGATTCTGTTGCCAGTTCTGTTCCCACTGTTTATAAGCTAGGGTCTTTAAGTCTCTCTTGAGTGCTGACAAAGGTTGCTGGAGCCCAACTAGTCTTGGAGCTGTGCTGTCCATATCCAATGGAACCTGTCTTCCTCTATTATTCCGCACCAATCTCCATCCAGTTGCCTCCTTTGCTGCTATGTCCGCTCGCTCATTACCCTCAATTCCCTGGTGGGCCGGGATCCAGTGGATAGTCACCTGGACACCCTGGCTCCTGAGCTCGTCCCATTTTTCCGCAATGCTTCCTAAGATCTGTTGGCCTGTCTTTTGAGCACCATCAATCGCCTGAATCGCAGCCTGACTGTCATAGAAGATTATCATCTTTCTTACTATCCTTTGCTGTACCATCTCTAGGGCCATATGTATTCCAACCAGTTCCGCCAAGAATACATTTGCCTCTGGTGTTCTTCCTACGAATGTTTGTCTTGTAACTGAGAGGCCATATTGGACGGCAGATACTCCGACTTTCCCATTAATAGCACTGCCGTCAGTATAGATAATAAGACCCGGGTTTTGTTAGAGAATCTGGTTATGGATGGACCTTGCTGCCTCCGCGTTGGTAGCTATATGTGTCCGAGGTGGTTCCCACCAGGGAAGGGTTAGGAAGGGATATCTCTGTTCCACATTCCTGACTCTTTCAGGTCCTAATAATGTTTCATACCGGTGCTTATGTCTCTCTAGTGGCCCCCATCTGCTTGGGAGATTGTGCCAGCCTTTGAGGTAGCCATCCCAGATTCCCTCTCTCCAACTCTGCTCTAGAGTCTTATAGGATGGTGTAGAGCGAATCCGGAGATATGTTTCCGCCGTAATCTTGTTTAAATGGATTCGAATCGGAAGGAGAAAAGCCTCTATGTCGAGTGCTGCTCCTGAGACGGTCTTGAATGCCCCTATGATGATCCTAGCTGCTTTCTTTTGTATTGCTTCCAGCTTGCCTACTGCCTTCTCCCGATGGTTATCCTCTGAGTTCAATGGGGCGTACCAGATCGATGCTGCGTATGTTATTTGTGGTAGGATTGTGGCCTGGTAAACTTGTCGTAGTCCTTTATATCCTGTACCCCAGGTGGATCCTGCGAGGCTACTGAGGGCTCCCAGAGATTTGGTCATCTTGGTTTCAATGTGTTCGATATGGCCGTTCCAGTTGAGCTTATTATCTATAATAAGTCCAAGAATACAGCACTTAGGAACTAGCTTCACTTCTCGGCCGTCCAGCCAGACTGGGCGTTCCTTGTCGGTTGTTTTGCTGTACTTGCTGGGCAGATGGATCAGCTTGAATTTTTTGGGATTGAATTTTGACGCGTGTTTCTCTTCCCATTTCTTGCACTGTTCATAGATGATTTCCAGCTTTCTGCAGTTTTCTTCAGTCGAGCTTCCCCATGTGATAATATTCACGTCATCTATCCAACCCACTGCGCCGGTGTTGTTGCTTGGGTTATGGCACTTTTCAATTAGGTCTGAATTAAAGAACAGATAGAGAATGGGCGATAATGGTGATCCTTGTGGGATGCCCGTTTCAACATTTAGGATTCCTGAAGTTGCCTCTCGAAGTTTGATCGTGGTTCGTCTCTCCGTAAGGAAGCTGGCTATCCAACTGACTACCCGTGGATCAATTCTTCGTTTCCTAAGATTGTGTAGAAGCCGAGGGTGAGAGACATTGTCAAACGCTCCTGGCGCGTCTAATGGGAGGGTTGATACAACCCCTCTATATACCTTCCCATTCAGTTCTATGTTTATCTTCTCCATTAACCAGTGCAGTGCATGGTCTGTAGAAATCCCCTTTCTTCCACCCATATAAGTCAGAGGCAGTAAAGAGTACCATTCCGCCAGTGCTGAGAGGCGCCTTGCAATGATTTTCTCTAGGATCTTACCTAACGTGTTGAGGAGTGCCACAGGTCGGTAGGATTTCACTTGTGTATAGTCTTCTTGCCCTGGTTTGCAGAGAGCAACTATCTCTGCCATTTTGAAGTGTTCTGGGCAATATCCGAATGTGATACATGCATTGAAGAGTGGTGTAAGGATTGGCCATAAGATATCCTTAAGGATTTTTAGTACCAGGTTAGGGATTCCATCTGGGCCAGGGGCCTTGCGTGTTACCACTGAGGATAGGGCCACTTGCACTTCTCTCGGCGTAAATGGGGGCCAGTCTACTGGATCAGGGTAGATATAATCTTGCAAATCTGAAAGGTCTGCTTCCTTCATCCGTGGGAAGAAGTTCTCTTTCAGGAGTGCGATCTTGTCCTCGGTCTGCGTCTTCATCGGTCCTAGATCTGCCTGTAATGGAGGAGTGAATAATTAGCGTGGCTGACGGTTCCTGGCCCATTTAGCTAGTCTCCAGAGTCCTGACTGCGTTTCTGTAGCTTCTTGAATTCGTTCCCAGTGATTCTTTCGTAGCAATTTCTTAATTAGGCGCCCTTTAAGATTGCGAGCCGCTCGATATTCCTCCCATGCCTCCTTAGTGCGAAGTAGCTGGAACTGCCGACGAAGCCTTCTTGCATGCATCTGGGCCGCTTTAATCTCCGGTGTCCACCCGGGTACTGATCTGGGGCATACTTGGGACTCTGGGCAGTGGTGTTCAATGGCCTTATCAATAGTCTGTACAATGTGATTGACTTGTTCATCAATATCCTTGCTCCCGTCCAATCTTTTGTCAGTTTGAAGGTTCTTTCGCACCTCTTCTCGGAAGTCCTTCTCCCTTAATTGATTCCATAGTCTCCTTTTTCTCTCTGGATGTCTGGTGGTGGTCAAGCTTAGGAGAGTTGTGATCGGAAGATGGTTAGAATCATGGTTAAGGTCATTGCCTGCAAGACCACAGCTAATGATGCTCTCTAAGAGCAACCAGGTTCCAAAGACTAAATCAATTGTACTTGGTTCTCCATTGTCTTGCCTTGTCTTTGTGCCTACCGGCAGTAAAAGTTCCAAGTGGTAGTCTGTGATCAATTCTAACAGATCTGTCGCTCCTTCTGATGTCTTACGGCTCTGTACTCCCCCCCACATCGGATGGTGGAGATTAAAATCGCCTATGAGTAGATGTTCCCCTTCTCGATCGCTCTCTAGTGCCTTTCGGAGATCCGGTAGCGTGCTCGGTTGGTTCTCATTTTGACTTTCAACTGGATTGTATATGTTGTGGATATGAACTGTCCTGGCCTCTTTCCCGTTTTTGAATTGCAGATGTAGTGTATCTAGGTCTGGCGTATGGTGGGTGTGTGTCCATGCTCCTCTTAACTGACTGTTGATGAAGAAGCAGACTCGTGTGTTTGGTTATTCATTGTAGACTAGATTAAAGCGGTCTTTAACCGGGTGATATGTGGTGGTCTGGAACTGGTTCCTCCATGGTTCCTGAATAGCAATGATATCGTATTTCCATACATTCTCATTGGCCAGTAATGGAGCCATTACCCTTTCGCGCGATTTGTTGACATTATATTGTAGGACTGTCAGTATCTTTCTAATCATTGAGAGGTCCAGTTAACATAATAGATTCCTGAGATGTTATAATTCTGTCTTCTGTTGTAGCTGGCAGTGCCTATTTCTTGCTTGTTCCCAGCATGGGGAGAGCGTTGCAATCCAGTTCCTGGAGCACTCTTCTCGTAGTATCGCCTGTTCCCTGGTTTCCATCTATCCTTGTAATCTTCCTAGGTGATCGTCCTCTCTTCTGGTTTCCTGGAGCATTAAGAGTAGCTGCTACTCCTATAGCTCGGCTATTCTCCTTTGCTCCGCGGTGTGTCTCCCTGGATTGTTCGGGTTTTCCTGTGAAATTCTCTCGTCGAAGTGCGGCCTCCTTATGTGTACGTGGCATATTTATCCTTCTTTCCTCGATTCTAGCCAGTTCCTCTTTCCGGTCTTCGCATTGAATGCTCTATGATGGGTGATTCTTAGAGCAGTTTGGACATATTGGCTGCGAGCCAGGTTTGTCTCTCTCTAGACACGCCTTAATGCTATACGGTCCCACACAATACCCGCATGTTTCCTAGGCTTTGCAATGAGTCCCTATGTGTCCATACTTTTGGCATCTAAAGCATTGTCTAGCCTTGCAGGTCCGGTCATAGTACTCACAGTTAAAAATCTATACTCCAAACACAATGCCATTCTTAATCGCATGGTCCGCGTCTTCTTCTCGGTCGAACTCCACGACCATGGTGGAGGCTCGTTTCTCCCCAAGATTGCGTTTCAACTATCCAGAGTATAGTACATTTGCTTATTCTAATGATGGATTATTCCAACGAATCTTTTCTTTAATTTCTGCTTTGTTGTAAGCTTCCACTTGTGTACTGACTCCATATATAATAATTCCATATGATGGGACCTTAACCTCGGCTTTTTCTCCTAGTATCTTTTGCCAGTCCTCCCTATGTGCTATTATTAGCTCTATGCTCCCTCTGTCGGACGTGAAGAGCGTCAGGTCCCCACTAGGATGTCGTTTCACCGCTAAAATTTGCGTTTTCTTTAAATTGGGGTCCTCGTGATTCGCTAATGCGTTATTTATCTTTTGCTTGATTTCTTCTGCTGTTGCGCGTTGAGCCTGTCTTTCTACGTCCGTGGGATTTAGTTTGACTAGGATTTCCTGGTAACCCATCGATGGGCGTGTCTGCATGGTGGGCTTTACTACGTAGGGGTCCTTCAGTACTTGTGCATAGCTAGGGATGGTCGATTTCCTGGCCGGAGCTGCGAGGAAGTTCTTGATTTCCGTGACGTCTTTGCTGAGAATTTGCTGAGTGCGTGCCGTCGCGTGGACTGCAGCGGTCAGTTCGCTTGTGGTTGGAAGGTCCTGTGTCTTCTGCAGATAGCTGATAAAGCTTTCGAGTAGTGGTTCAATCATATTCCAGTTCGGTGTGCAATTTTTGCCTACTGGATTGACTCGGTATTCCTTCAAGGCGCGTATGTCTGCTTCAAGTTGGATCGCGTGGTCGCGTATGGTTGATGGCTGGAGGCCCAGCTGTGGTGCATTTGGGCTGCCCGCCATGCTTTCTCGGTATTGGGCGATACCTCGAGAGCTGGCGAATAACCTGACACACAGTCCGAGCCAGATAAATCGGTGGTTGTGGAGTAATTTCAAAAATTAGGCTTCGACAGGTGGTGGTTGTCCATTCATGCCAGATCTGTGGGAAATGATTATGTAATTAGTACACTAGTGCCCTTTAGGTTAGCACCTCCGGGCGTAATAAAATATCCATCCATCCATCCATCCATCCTAGTTTCCTAGAGAACGAGAAGGAGAATAACGAACGTTGAACGCTCCATCGAGAATCCATCAATCCCCAAAGGGCAGCGTACAATTGATATCTCCACTACTGCTCATAATTCTCGGCAACCAGATCTTCCTCAAGAATCTTAATTGTGAGTAAGAGGAACGGACCCTAACCCTAACCCTACACAAGATCCTGGTTCTTTATCGGGACATTTTGCTTGTTAAAATGCACTCTGATCTGGAAGTAAGCAATGATTGTGATTTGTACCTGTTGGTTTAGCTACGTCCCGTATCACGAAGCGTAGGATATCGTAAGCTAGGGCGATCCAACTGCCCTACGTGGTGAGCCTTGCTATATAGCACGAAATGTAATATTAAAAAAGACTGACCCCCGAAACTAGGGGGGGGCGGGGTGCCTAGATACATTATATGGTGTTGGTCGCTCTAGCGCACGGAGAATAGTAATCCCGACCAGTTCGCGTACGAATTGACGGCGTGCTACAGCGCCGTATAGTGATTCGTAAGATCGCTATTCAAACAGTACCAGGTACCTCAACGTACCGTAAACAACAATTTGGGGTTCATATTGAGAAATACTGAGGATCTAGTAACTCACAAATGGAGTCTAATGCTTCTTTTCTTTTTGTACTCTACGTTTCATTCCTCTTTTAAGCCCATGTACCTGAAGTGGAAAGTAAACTATCTGATTTCGGACCTTCTTCGAAATCTTGCTACTACAAGTAAAATACTTGCCGTAAGCAAAAGATTCCTCCTCAATGAGTCTGAGTTTTGGGGTTGAACTTGATTTCGTCTCGAAGGATGCTAGCACGGAACTAATGGCCCGAGCGGTTGTAACCCGACACCAAAATGTCCCGACAAATTAACAAAGTTCGTGTGCCGTGCCAATGACTACTACGCAGTGGCAGTAAGATTTCTGTTGTACTGAGCTGTATCGGTGATCCACGAGCTGAACGGAGTTGGACTCGGTCGAAGATAGGCGCAAAGAAGTGACGGCACCGACTCATCCCGGGGGATGTTGTAATAACACATCTCTTGCTAATCGAGATTTACATACAGAAGCTCTATTGCGATCTCGCTTGACAGGGTACTTTGATATTTGTAGACTTTCAATCTGCTTGCGATCGAAATTTATCTATACTATACCACCTCTTCTATTCTTCATTTTTCTTTACGGCGATTACCCGGCCTTTCCTTTTATTGCGATGGCTACCTTGGAGAGATTACAACAGCCCGTAATGGACAAATCCGGCAAGATATTCGCTCAGGACGACAAATTCTGGGAAAATTACTCAAGAGGTAGACCAAAAGTCCCAGACACTTTCTGGGACCGCATTATCAGCTATCACCAGAGTAACGGCGGCCATTTTGGAACCGTTCACGATGTCGGCGCGGGCAACGGTCCTTATGCCCAGCGACTGAGGTCCTGGTTTGCCAATGTCATAGTATCGGACATCGTTGCCGAGAACATCAACCTCGCACGGGATCGCCTTAAGGGTAGAGAAGGATTTCAATTCCGCATCGCTGCATTAGAGGATGCCGATGACATCCCGGCAGGGAGCGTAGATATGGTCTTTGCGACGAACATGATGCATTTTGCAGAACCTCAAAAAGATGCCATGGCAACTATTGCCCGTCAGCTGCGTTCAGGTGGTACATTTGTAGCATCGCTTTTTGGTCCAGCACGCTTCCAGGATGTAAAATTACAGAATTTATGGGAACGAGTAAGCTATCAGGGCGGCAGGGAGCTACTCAAAGTGTCGGATGATCCAGACCAGATCATTAAAGTGATGGCACGGACACAAGACCAGTACAATGTCGCACCACTTGATCGAGCACTTTTCGCCGATAATTTGCGAATACATGTCAATATGGGGAATGGCGGAATTCAAGGAATGCTGCCTCCGGAATTTGCGCACAGAAACACCGAGCCGAACTACAGCGAGGGCGACAATGAGATGGACGAAGACATGGATGGGTGGACATTTGAGACAGACCTGGCCGGTGTCAAGGAGCACTTTGGGTCGTTCCCATTCATTTCGAGGTTTCCCGACGCTTTCACAGACTTGTACAAAGAGCTGGACGAGTTGCTAGCCGACGGAAGAACTGTGGAAGGCTATTTTCCAGTCACGATAATTTTGGCAACGAGAAAGTAGATAGCTCATTATCTTTTTGAAGCATCAACTGCTTGTTTGAGCATTTGTTTACTTTTCTGTTGTGCATAGTAGTACTACTAGTAGTTTAAGCGTGGCTTGGTATTTGTTGGATTATTACTAATCCGTGGGGGCAGATTCGGCAATGATTCCTAGCTTTGCTACGTGGAAAGTGTTCGTATTGGAAGTAGAATTAACAAGCAAAATTGTATGTATTCCCCCCTCCCTCTTTCTAAGAATTGAGGGTGATTCTATGTCTTTATATATTCCAATGCGGCCTCAGAGAAGTAAGGGAAATAACAACAGGAATTTCAGCTAAGGCAAAGCGAAGAATCCGAGTCACAAACATGAAACTATACAGGTTTGACCACTGTAGTTGATTGGTATCAAGGGGCATTTTGGCGATGTGCACTTTCTTAATTAGGGTCAGAGGTATCGTCCTGTCGACACCTAGTTATCTAACAGTATTCTACTGATGCCACCCACGTGCACAGGCCAAGTGCCCAGCCTTACCTTCCACTACAGCACGTGATCATTGTCAAGCCCTAAATGAATGCCACAGGCTTCTACTCTTAATCCGGTAATTTTTACTCCTGTTATGGTGTTAGATTATTACGAGGATTCGGACGTGGTGGATACCTGTTTTCCTGCCGGTTTTGCCAAAATGTGTGATATTACAGCATTACAGCCAAATACGGGTGTGAAGCTATGAGCCATTCACAGCTTCTATAATTTACATGGTTTCTATAGTTTCCGCAGCCAATAGCACCGCGTATTAGGACTAGGGGGTGAGGGCTGGGATAGGGGTGTTAGAACACCATAAATGAGGTTGTTTTATTGGGTATCGGAGCTTGCTGTGCACTAGCACAAACTCAGTTAAGCTTAATACTCAAAGATGTCTTTATAGTGAAAATATTGATATTGACCTTATTCTGCGCACACTCTTCTATCTACATCTTGATGGGATTTTTGGACACTATTTATGCTTGAGAATCCCATATAGAAGATATCCAGACAATCTCAATAGAAGATTCTCGACACAGAGCTGTAAAGTTGATTCGTAGATTCAATCTTGTGACTTCAATTCTCGAATTTTCCTTGTATCAATGTTGTAGGCTTTCCTTGATTAGGTTTAGCTTACCTAATCCTCGACATACTGTGGGATTAGTCTTCACCCTTCACGTACTGCGTACTGCGGGGTTCTTCCTCCTTACAACTGCCTCATGAGAGTCAGCCGTTCGCCTCCGCAAGTTGCTTGTCATCTCTCACGCAGTCAAGACTTGATTTTCCCACCCACCTCCCTATGTACATAGATTCATAGTGCCATTACAATATGTTGGGAATATCACCTCACATCACATATCACCTTTGCCAGCTATTTACATCTATACTAGATCATCTAGTATGCGCGCAGCTTTTTGGTCTGGTTGGTCAAAAGCCCAACACAATACAAATGTAAAGAAAATCAGAGAATGGATCGTATAGACTCAGAGGATTGATATCGTCCAGTAATAATGATTAATGATCAGCTGCTTGTAAATATTGATAAGGAGTTGATTCGATGCGTTGAATCTCTGTGTATTGTATTGCTTGTCTCTTCTATTCTTTCTTGTTACATATGACTCAGGGGCTGAAACTAATTAGCCTCGGAATCATGTTAATGTGCTGGTTGTTGTTATTGGTTATCTAAGCTAACTACAGCTGCGCTGACCCCTTTACGGAGGTCACATGACTCTCGGAGCATAGTTGATCCGCGCCGGAGGGAGATCCACGGGTGTAGCACGCTGACACTCCCACTCATCCGGGATCTCACCAAAGGCGTCAGATCGGCTAGGTTCCTCCCACTAGATCACGGGTGATTTTAATGGGGAAAAGAGAGAGTGAGAAAAGAAGAGAAGGAAAAAAGAGAGTATATACAGGCAGTCCTGGGGGAAAACCTCCATGCAAAACCCTGTGGGATGAAAAATCATGGAGGAAACCAGGCCAGTTCAGGTACATGTCATATCAATTCCATTCCCATCCCTTTTACATGACGTTCATGCAATTCCTTCGGTAGTGCTTTCGTCAATATATCGGCCGTCATTTCTGTTGTACGAATATACTCCAGACGAATAAGGCCATTTGCAATAGCCTCGCGTATAACGTGGAAACGGATATCGATATGTTTTGACCTAGTAGAGGGCGAGTGACTAGGTTGATTCATAGTTGCAATGGCGCCTTGGTTATCATAATGAATTGTGTTGGAAGGCATTGTATGTTCTGCATACTGAGGCAGGATAGCGAGAATGAGTTTCCGAAGCCAGATAATCTCATATGATGCAGTTGCCAGTCCAACATACTCAGCATCATGAGTTGAGCTGGTAACTAAGGATTGCTGTTTTGATTTCCATGATATTGGGCCGCCATTCAAAAGGAATATGAAACCAGAAGTTGAACATCAGTTATTCAAATCAGCGGCAAAGTTAGAGTCGCTGTAGCCATATAAGACTGAGTCATTGGAGTATGATTTGTAGTAGGCGATGCCCAGGTTCTGGGTGCCAGCCAGATACCTAAGTACACGCTTGAGCGCTGCGGCATGCTTTATACCTGGTTTCTGCACAAATTTGGAGAGGCGAGAAAGTGCAAATGCAAGATCAGGTCTCGTACAAATCATGAGATAGATTAGCGCTCCCACTGCAGCACGGTATTCCAAAGCATCTGTTTCGTTTAGACTTTCTGCATTAGTTGCCTCAACAAGTGGGTGCTTAGGATCAAGTGGAGTTGCAATAGGATTCGTGGGTGCGTTGAAGCGCTCGAGAATTCGCTGTATATATGCCTTCTGATGCAATATCACTTTGCCATTCCGATGTTCAATATGGATGCCTAAGAAGCGCCTAGGTGTTCCTATATCTTGAGTTTTAAATTCATTGCAGCATTCTTTGACGAATTCCTCAATTGCGTCCTGGTCACCAGTTAGCAGGATGTCATCGATAAATAGGAGGAGTATGAGGAATTTGTTATCCAGGCTGCGAATGAATATAGCTGGCTCAGCATTGCACTGATAGAAGCCTGCTTTCAATAGGAATGAGGTCATCCTATCCCACCAGATGCGCGGAGCTTGTTTAAGTCCATACAGAGACCGGCGCAGTTTCAAAACATATTTCTTTGGATCTAAATCCATGCCTTCTGGTATCCCTATATAGACTTCAGAGTCTATATTGCTATTTAGAAAAGCGGTAATAATATCAAGATTGCGTAAGGACCAGCCATTGTGCACAGCTATTGCCACCAGGAGTCAGAATGCAGCTAATGAGGCAGTTGGGGTATAAGTTTCCATGAAGTCTACTCCAAAGTGTTGGAGGAATTCCTTAATCACTAATCGTGCCTTATAGCGAATGCCTTCATCAGGACTCAGTTTACGCTTGAATACCCACTTGCTGGGGATCGGCTTACACCCTTTTGGCATCTGACTGATCTCTTGAACTATCCAAGTTCTATTCTCTTCATGAGATTTCAGTTCTTCTTGCACTGCTGGTGGCCACCTAATCGGATCCTGGAGCAAGGCATCTGAATAGGAGAGAGGATCTCCATTGTGGTCTGTTTGGATCCTCTCTGCTGTTTGCCAGGGTGGGCAGGAGAGCGACTCCATGCCTTGCACGATCAAAGCGGCTTCCATAAGCTCCCTTGTAGTATCGTGCTCATGGATTTTGATGCAGGTGCCAAATACAACGCTTCCTCGTGGGTTGTAGATGGGCTGGCTGTCCATTCGGAGTGCCAGGGACTGGGGGGAGTCCAATGCCCTTTGGGCTACATCTGCTAGTTCCATAGGATCTACTGGCTTTGCAGGATCTTCTGGGTTCACAGGATCTGCAGGTGGTTGGGATTGCTGCAGCCAGAAGGGGTTCATCGAGGAAAATGGTACGCTTGATATATTGGGAAGCGCTCCCAGTACTGACTGACCAAGTACAGTATCGACCGCTGAACCAGGCGGATTTTTTTTATGTGCAATAGATAGTTTAAAACCGGCAGGGCGTTTGAGCCATGGACCAGGGAAAAGGTCTTCATCAAACTTGATTTCAGAATGATTGCTTGTTTGCAGAGTATGAAGATCAAGACATTTATAAATAGACTTTGAGTCTTGTATATAGCCTACTATCATGGCTGGCCTGTAGCGAGGATCAGAGCTCGAGCTGCAGTGCTCCTTTCAAAGGTGTATCCAGACGAGGCATCCCCAGGGCTTCAAGGTAGTAAGAGGTGGTTGCTTCTTATATAAAAGAAGGTGTGGGGATATATTGCCTAGAGTAGTGGATGGCAGGATGTTAGTTAGAAATACCGAGGTGGCCAGGGACTCAGCTTGTAGTCGGTAGTCATCTAGGACACCAGCACCAGCTCTCATAGAGCGTTCCATATTCTTGATTGTCTGAACTCGTCGTTCCAGTACACCATTCTGTTGCTTGACACCAGATGTAGAGATTTGGTGAAGTATTCCGTATTGGTGATTTATTTCTTTGACCATGCTATTTATGAATTCACCGGTACCGCCATTAGTTCGCCATGACTTGATTACAGCATTGAATTGAGTTAGGACCAAGTTTATGAATCCTTGTAGGAGAGGCGTAATTGCAGGAACATTCTTGCTTGAGGCAAAGTAACACCATGCATAGTGAGTGTAATCATCAACCAGTAGTAACATATACTTAGATCCACCAAGGGAGATACCGTCCAAGGGGATAAGGTCGGCATGCACGCGGTTGAATGACTTGCTGCAACGTTCAAGCACAGGAGGGTGCGAATCTGCCTTCATTTTACCTTATAGGCACGCTGTGCATGTAGGTGGTTGACGCGGCACAGATAAGTTTATGAGATCTCCCACTGATTGAAAATTTCGGTGGCCTAGGCGATTATGCCATAGCCTGAGTGTACTGAATTCTCTTGTACGGAGAGCTCGTGGGGCATTCACTAGAAATGCAGGACTTATATACATTTGATAAAGATCTCCATGCTTCGAATTGGCTAGTTGAAACCATGCAGAATTTGAGTCGCCTTGCTGCCGTATGTAGACAATGCCATTTTCAATAAGAGTAGAGTAGCCAGCTCGATCAAGGAGCTGCAAGGACAGCAGGTTCTCTGCCAATTTTGGTACGAACCAGACGTTAAGGACTAGAATATAAGGCCCAACTTGAAGATGTTGAGTACCAGATCCCTCTGCATAGATCGTAGTATTATCTCCAAGGTAGATCTCTCTGGGTTCAAGGAAATGTTTGTAGTCCTTAAGGTCCAATTTGCTATTGCAGAAATGCTGTGTAGCTCCAGAGTCCAGTATCCAGCTGAGATAGTCTTGTTGTCGGATCTCACTATTGATGTAGGATGCTCTTGTAAGAAGAAGATGAGATGGATAACTGTAAGCGTTTGACTCAGAGCTTTGAGACTGGGAGGAGGCGAAATTTGCCTGCGGAGGTGGAGGAGCCAGTAGAGGCTGCGGCTGAGGCGGAGGTTGCAAACTGCTTGGCTGTTGAACTAAGTAGGCACGACCTCTGTCAAGCTTTGCAGCGCCAGAGTCTAGTTGCTGTTGTCGAATATGACAGTCACGCTCGTAATGGCCCTCTCGTTTGCACCAGTTACAGATAAGTCGCTTATTCCGAGAATTTCGATTTGATCGTTCACGACGGGTTGAATTTGAGTTATTGCCTCCATTACGGAGGTTCCGAGAGCTTGTTCTGCGGTTCGGACGACGGCCTCGAGTTACTAGGGCTTGGCCGCCAGACGTGTTATCTCCTTCAGAAGAGGAATCTTTGATATTGGCAAGCAGGTAGGTCACTGTTTCAATGAAGGGAAGGTTCAATTGTTTTGCCGTTTGACCTTCGGTCTTGTAACAGTCAGGGAGTCGATCCACGAGGATGTGAACGGCTATATCTCGATAGATTTTGTAAGAGGTGTTTTCCAAGGAAAGAAAGATATTGCGGAAACGACTTGTGTAGGTAGAAATGGTATCCTTTGGCTCCCACTTGTTGTTGTGGAATGATTCGTATTGAGCAATTAATGGGAGAGTTGTCCCGCAGTCGCAGCTAGCCTTGAGTGAGGACCAGAGGTCTCTTGGGTTTGTATGGCCAACTAGGAGCTTGCGACATTCAGGGGACACATATTGACGGATTTTGGTAAGGTTTTCGGTTAACGTTTTAGCAATATCTCGATTGACATTAGTCGTAGGGGGTGGCACCATCACTGTAGATGTTGGATCGACGTACTGCCATAGGTCGTAGAGGATAAGATGATCTTGCCAGTATTCACTCCAATCAACCCAATTGGAGTAGTCGAGGATTGGGAGCTTTTCACCAGAGGTAAAGGTGTTAGAGGCAGACATTTTTGGAAGAGTAGAGGAGGTTGTAATCGGAAATCAGAGTCGAGTCTGGGTACTCCTAAGAGCTGTATTTAAGCCTAGAAGTCCTTCAGACAGTCGGTGAGACAGTGAGACGGTGAGGCCTGACATGTCGAAGAAACAGTCGATCGTGAAGTTCTTGATTTCCAACGTAGGTCTTGGTGGCTTCTTGACCGACATTTTGACGTTTGTTGTAGGTGGCTCTCTGAGTTGATTTGTCGCGATTCTTGACTGGTGCGGTCATATATGGCCACCTTGTGCCTGAATCTGAATTAGGAAGTAATTCAGGTCCTGGTAATCACGATAAAAGCATCAATATGTTCAGATTGAAGATGCGAGGAGCTCATAACCTGTTAATGTGCTGGTTGTTGTTATTGGTTATCTAAGCTAACTACAGCTGCGCTGACCCCTTTACGGAGGTCACATGACTCTCGGAGCATAGTTGATCCGCGCCGGAGGGAGATCCACGGGTGTAGCACGCTGACAAATCACTAGTCATCACGTGACCTGTGATCATATTCTTTACAACAAAAACACTTGCCTCCCACGAGGGAAAAGCTTTACACAATTACCGCTCAGGCCTCTGCTCAAAGACAGACTTCCGCAGAATAACCAGATGGTCTCAACGACAATTTTGGCGAGATAAGCTCTCTACGGCAACACAAATGAAGGATGTCTTCGATATGAGTAAATGGCATAAGTCCACAGGCACCTTCCGAAGCCCTCCACTGAAGGATCCACTGAGACCTAGCAGCTTCCCAGCAGTTACTATATACGAGAAATGAGACATACTAGTCCGAAATCTTCTTCAAAACTCGGCTGAGGCAGGAGACATACCTCTGGACTCCCCAGCAGTCCCTACCACTAGCCTCTACTTCCCAGACATATCAATGTCACAGGTGGAGGAGTCAATACTTCAGGCAGGAAACACAGCCCCTGGCGCAGACGAAATCCCAACTTGCATACTCAAAGTGGCATGGCCTTTGATTAAGGAAAAGGTACTAACGCTATACAATCAAAGGATAAGGTACTAACGCTATACCAAGGGTGCCTAAAGATTGGATATCACCCGAAATGCTTCCGACATGCAATTTTAGTAATTATCCAGAAACCAAAAAAGACTGATTGGTCCTCGCCCAGATCATACAGACCAATCGCTCTCCTATCAGTTCTTGGCAAAGGACTCGAGCGCCTGGTGGCACGGAATATGGCATGGATCTCTATACACTACAAAGTATTAGCAAGGCAACAGTTTGGAGCTCTCCCACTAAGATCTGCAAATGATCTGACCACATGCCTAACACATGATGTTAACAAGCGCTAAATCAAGGCATGACTGCCTCACTCCTTACCCTAGATGTCAAAGGCGCATTTGACGCCGTGCTTCCCGGCAGACTGATCCGCAGATTACGTGAGCAGGGCTGGCCTACCAATCTTGTTCTCTGGATTGCCTCCTTTACTACTGGGCGATCAGTTCAGATCCAACTCGATGGAGAGATTGGCCCCTCAACAGACATTGTCTGCGGTCTTCCACAAGGATCCCCAGTATCTGGCATTCTTTTCATGCTCTACATAGCGCCTCTATTCCGTCTAGGAAACTAAAGGAACAAATTTGGTTACGCGGACGACGCAGCTAACCTGGCGATCTTGACATCCCCTGCTACTAACTGCAAAGCCTTATCAGACTCACTTCAAGAAGCTCTTAACTGGGGTGCTGCAGAGGGCATTACTTTCGCACCAGATAAATATGAGCTTCTTCACTTCTCTCGACGTAAAGCAGACCAGGACCCAACCTGCACACCTTCAGTGAAAGCTGGATCTATTACAGTCTCAGAAAATACTAAATGACTACATCTACGTTGGCTAGGAATCCTCTATGACAAAAAGCTCACATTTAAATGGCACGTTGGTGAAACAGCATCTAAAGCCCTTACTGTGGCTAATGCCCTTCGCTCTCTAGGAAATACTGTCTGAGGAGTTAAACCTCATTTACTACAGCAGGCTGTATCAGCTTGTGTACTCCATAAAGCATACTATGGCGCTGAAACCCGGTGGCCAGGATATACTCGCCCTGGGCCTTCCCAGACTTCGAACCGAGTTAGAGAACATCTTGAGAAACTAACTAAAGTAATACTAACAGGCGCAAGAGCAGTCCTTCCAGTTTTCCGCACAACCCCAATATCTGTCCTTTACCGAGAGTCTGGATTCTCTCCACCAGAAATTGAACTAGATCGAATAGCCCTTCCTGCAACTGTCCGCCTACGGCGTCTGGATCCTTATCACCCACTTCGAAGACGCGCAGAACAGGTTGCCAGTAGTGGCCGACAAACCAGCCGATTTGCCCGCCGTATACTGGCCCTCCCCAACTCTGAGCAGATAAACCCTCTCCAATACGCTCCCTGGCACCCTCGCGAGTCTCGTGAGAATGCCCAAGCTCGAATAGGAGCTCCCATGGGACGCACTAAGAAACAGGCAGCGGCTAATTTCACGGTTTTTCAACGCACCATCCCTAGCTCTGATATTATAATCTTTTCAGATGGATCTAGGCTGGTAGACGGACGTGCAGGGGGTGGCTATATTGGATTTTAAGCACACCATCAGTTCCTCCGCTCCTCACTCTCATATGGACATGGGAAAGAGGTCTTCGACGCAGAAACAGAAGCTACCCTAGCTGGTGCTCAAGCAGCAATAGCATACCCAACAGCTCAATTTGCTACCAACTTATGGATCTGCCTTGACAACTTGGAAGTTGCCACGCGCCTCCTATCTCCCTCTACAGGATCCTCTCAAGAGGTCTTTGAATCCTTCCGCACACTTGCAGCCGCCTGGCCACTACGCGAGAGGCTTCCACACACCAAAAATGGATCAATCCAAATCCGATGGGTCCCTGGACACACCAAAATCCCTGAGAATGAAGCGGCTGATTTCGCTGCTAAAGAGGGAGCTGCCTCTGCTTCCCTCTCTCCATCCAAATCTTCATATGCCTCGCTAAAGAGATATGCCAAGACTCAAGCCCTTTCCGCTACTCAGATACGGTGGCAGACTGTAGCGCCACAGACATACCAAGACCTAGAAATAACTACATCTCCTAAGCGTCCTGGAGAGCTTCTGCTCAACCGACTCAATCTTGGCCGTGTTATTGCGGCCCGTACCGGTTATGGAGACTTTGCAGACTATCATGAACATTTTAATCATGATGATGCTCATCTACTATGTCGGTGCGGAGCACGAAAAGCACCTCTGCACTTCTTCTTCTGTCATATAGTTAAGAGACGAGCCCCTCGTCCTTCTGGGCCCCCTTCTGAGGTCATCTCCTTTCTTTTAGGCACTGCAAAAGGAGCATAAAAACTAGCCACATGGCTAGCAGAAACCCGTTTCTTTGAGGATATCTGTCCTCGCCAACCTCTCCTTAGCACCTAGCTAAGTCAGCCCTACTTCCCCCTTATATCTCTCAATTTGTTGGTATCACAGGGGTGTGCACACAGGTAAAGTGTAGGTTCGAGGTTGTTGTATTCAGTTGTGTCTGTTCTTGTCTCTAAAGGAGCTCAGCTACCTTAGGTGTAGGTAAACAAAGCCGAGCTAACCAAGCTAGGCTAACTACAGCTGCCACCTCTAACTCACTTCCTTTTTATCCCCCTTTTATCTCCTCCCATATTGAATACTTCAGGAATATGCTATTCCTACACTGGCAGTTCTTTCTTTGTGGAAAGAGCGCGAAGTGTGAAAAAAAACGTAAATATAGAGGTTAGTTGATCTAAACCTCCACATGCACGAACACTTAAAAACAACCCACAAATAACCTAATTGTCGCTACCCATTTTTCTCTCTCTAACCTCTCTATTCCTACAATCACTTTCTCTCCACCCATCCTTCCACTCGTACCTTCAGCCGGTTTTCGTTTAAGAACTGCTCCAGAGCCTTGTTCGGGGTAGATTTCGTCATAGAGTCTGCTAGGTTGTCTTTTCCATTGATCCATCGGACTTCTGTCAGCTCTCTTCGCTCGTATGACTGCCGAAGTGCCATAATATCGATCATAAGACGCTTCTCCTTAGTAGTACCGAGCTTGACGAGGCATTCGTAGAGAGAGTAAGAGTCGGTACAGACCACAATGGGGACGTTAGGGAGATCAAGCTGTCTTGTGATCATATTGATAGTTGTACCGATCGAAATTGCCATATCAACGCCTCCTACCATGCCATAGATCTCTGATGCAAGCACAGATCTAGTCACTCTCTTGCTCTTGGTCGAACTGTAATGAGTAAGGTTGCCTGTAATCTCAAACTCGTCGCCTGTCGAACTCTCGTTGGCTAGAATAATGACATATCCAATCTGGGAACTGAAATCTTTGTTATTAGCGAAGGATCCGTCCACAAACACAAAAATCTTAACGTTAGATAGGTCCAGTGGAATGTATTTGATGCCACGGCTCTGGTTCTCTATCTGCCACATGATACGCTTGTTGAGGTTCCGAATGTTGTCAGCAGTAGGGCTTTGGTGCTGAGCTGCCACGGAGAGGTCGAATGAAGCTTCCGGTTAACATATGGAAGCAATATAAGCTCCCCGAGCACGTTGTTTAAGGTATTCTTGGTGGGAATTCTCTCCTTTAGTGACCAGTCGGAGCTTCTTGCCTTGATCCTTCTGTAGAAGAGCTATTGTGCCGTCTGATTCCAACGTAAGGGAACACCCATTGAAAATCAGGTTGGATGCCAATGACAGCTTATCTCTTGGTTTTGCCATTAGCTTGGCCTTCTTCAGTTCTTCATCTTCCAAAATAGCGAAATGCTCAGATGCCAGGAATAGCGTATCATCTGTCTGCATCCCAACTACTCCAAATGCATCCTTGTTGGTGGTAATCAAGAGACAGGGGTCGTATGTTGAAGTAACCATAGACAGCTTTTCCTTGTGGTGCTTGTAGTATGTCGCCCACCAGTGAGTTCCAGCTTCAGGAATACCATATAGTGGCTTCCGTACGACCATGATAGTACCTTCTGGGTACAAGTGTCTCAATTCCTTCGGAAGATATGCCAATATCAAACGATTTAATAGAGTAGTTGCTTGGATATAAGCTTGTGTAATATCTCGCAGGTAGAGCAAGATCCCTTGTAGTTGAAGTGATGGTGCCAACGCAAAAATAACTCTCTGGCTAGCTCTCTGGATCGTTGGGGATTGGGTAAGAATCTCCTGCTTGCCTTCGTCGTTGTAGGCTTGAATAACCAGTCTTGACTTCTCAAAAGGGATAGTTGTCTTGCCTTTGACTTCGTTGACGAACCAGGAATTGAAGATTCGTATATTTGCGTGTTGTTTTGGGTCAAATAGGACAAACTTAAACACGCCTCTTGCTATCAGACCATCGATCTCCTGCTGTTGTGACTCATGGAATGAGTCTCCTGGAGTTGTAATAACTCCGTCCTTTCGCAATTGGATAGCAAGTTCGAAGTCAGACTGTTCTTTCCAAGTCATATGGGTCATCCATTCTCCATCCTTCTCCTCCATATCTACGATCAAGTGTTCAAGATCATTATATTGGGGGTTGCAGGTCATGTGACGAGCACTTCGTCGCTGAGGTTGATCATTTGGGCGCTTATAATTTCGGGAGCCTCTTGGACGGCCCGGTCCACGTCAAATCGGAGCCTCAATTTCCTCTCTTGGAGTTTGTGAGCACTCATGGTCTCCTTCAGGGGTCTCGCTTGCCTCAGGGACTGGTTTACTAAGGTAGGGTTTGACGACGGTAGTTCTGAAGTTCGCAGGTCCACGCGGCATCGCAACAGTACAGGTTTCCCCTGTAATTGCAAGCAATTTGAATGGTCCTGTCCATCCTTTGGCTTCTCTCCATACCCAGACATCCGATTGTAGTGGTAGATCAAGCATAGCCTTGGTGTTTGGACCATTGCACATAGATAGGGCATCCTGAACTTGTCGGGCAGCCTTCAGCTTCCGTACTTCCTTCGTTGCGCATTCAATTGCCTTGGCTCTCTTGGCAACTGATGGAGATGGAGCATCCCATTCTGTTAATCTGGGGTATGCGCCAAACACCAATAGAGTGGGTACAAGGCCATCTGGTCCCGCTGTATCATTTAGAGTTTTCACAGCCATCTGCAATATCGCCTCCTTTAGCACGTTCTCCCCCTTTAACTCTTCCTGAATGATCTCGTATGCACGTCGCAGTGGTGCGTGGTATCTCTCAACTTTGCCAACTGCATTGTGCGCCTCCACTAGTACTTCCCTGATATGAATTGCCATTGATTTCGCATACTGTCTGAATTCGTCCGAGGCAAAATTAGTACCGGCATCATGGACAATCTGGTCCGGAGGGCCCAAATAGCAGTCAATCCAGCAGAGCCGTAATGTATTCCATGCTATGCTAGCTGTCATGTCCTTCAAGAAGCGTGCTGCGTTGAATGCTGTTCCAGAATCAACAACATGCAGTACTGGCTTGCCTTCAATGTACATGATATCAATGATTACTGAGTAGTTAAACTCGTGGTCATCTTTGAGAGTGAATTTGAAACGACCAGGTGATTTTTCATGCATCTGACATTGGTGGCAGAACTTCGTGAGCTTCTTAAGGATATCCGCATCAAAGTCATGGTTAGCACGCTCTAGCACGGTTGCCAGTCGTTGAACTAAGGGGTGGCCAAAACGGCGATGGAGTTGACATAGTTCTAACTCTGTCAAATGGTATGCAACACTTTCAAGGCGGTTCAACAGCATCCAGGGATGTCCCCACTTACGTACAATTGGGACAATGTTGCTGCCCTAGACCAGGGTGTTATTAAGATTGTTAAATCGTACTCCCAAGTCGTTCATGTCTTTCAGGCATAATAGAAACGGCGTGTTTGTTGGTACAACGTGGAAAGTGATAGTACCAATAGGTGTAGGGACCCGAACAATTCCTTTGACAATAGCTATATCTTTGCCAAACTTGATATGATTCTCTCTACCTGCAGAGGTATCGATTCGAATGCTTGGGTCGGTCTTTTGCAAAGCTAAAACCTGCAGTTCTCCTGCTGAAGAAATACTAGCCGCACCGCTGTCAGGTATAATGCCATGGAATTCATTTGAGGAATATTGGTCTAATGTGAATGCTTCATTGTCTTGATCCGTTGCCTTATCAGCGTAGGAAATTAAAGGCTGGTACTTATCATCCCTGGTAAAAGCGTGGTATGTTGAATAATCATTAAGCATCGAAATCATCTTAATGCTGTTGATTTTTCTGAATTCTGTGAAGTTTGTTTTAAAGGGGGGGTCATTTAGAGTCATTTGAAACAAGGCTTCATGGTTTGGTTCAGCAGTCTCAGTAATACCTTCCATTCCTTCGTACTGGGCCAAGAAAGAGCTATACTCTTCAAGTGTTGGTTCCACCTCAGAGACATACGCAGTTTATTGCCTGAACTCATTGTATGCTCTCTGTCGCTCTTCCTTTGAGTGTTTTGTAGACCAACAGTATAGTTTCCGGCAGACAAAGCATTTCTTCTGTTGGAAGCCTCTATTTTGGCGTACTCCGTGCTGGTTATTACGGAAACTTCCTCGTGAGCTCGGCTCATAAGGTCCTCGATTACTCTCTCCAACCCGATTTCTTTGTCCATTGTAGGATCCCCAGCCTCGTCCATATCCTCCATATGTTCGGTCTGTCCAGTTGTGGTCATACTCGTCGTTGAATCGGTTGTTGAAGGAAGATGGTATTAGTGCGCGTGATAAACGCATCTTGGTGCCAATTGAAGAGCGGATTTCAGCGCAGACACCTTCAAAGGTAGCGCTTAGCTTGTAGAGCGCAAGATCACACTCTACAACTCCTCTGCAACCATTCAATACTTGATCTCGTAGGCTGTGTTCAAACTGGTACTCGTTTGAGAGTCCCCGTTGCACCTTCTCAAGTTGATCTACCATCGTCTGGAAACACTCAAGCTTCGACTTAGTTGGGTTGGCCTCAATGGTGCGTTCTAAAGTGATTTCTCTCCATTCAGTTAAGTACTCTTGGTGGTTTTCCTCGGTCTCAAAATGAGTCCTTGTGTGGTTGATTAGTTGCTGAAATGTGAAGCCTTTGTTGGATAGCGAGTTATAGTAGTATTGGCTAGCCCGTCCTTTCAACATAGTAGAGAATGCATTTGCGAATTGATCACGTCCCAAACCAATCTTTGCGCAACAGTCGTAGAAGACTTGTAGCTTAGTACTGAGGATATCATATTTCTCCCCTCCATACTTCTTATCGTCGTTGCTGTAGATCTTCATAAGGTCTATAAGCAACTTGGGGTTACTTTCAGTGGCGCCATCAGCCGGTATAGGGATTCGTTCGTATGGTGGTCGAGGTGGTGCCGGTGGAGAAGGGAACGCAGGAGGAAGGTAAGCAGTAGCCAGATATGAGTATTGAATCTAGCGTTGGACGGGATATTCTAGAAGGGATGGTTAAGTTGTCTGCCACTGGGGTTGAGCTTGGCCTTGTAGTTGCTAGACATATTGACTTTGAAAAGTTAGGGTAACAGCCATAGGAGTACGAGTTTGAGTATAATTGGTCTGCTGCGAAGCCGGTTGGGTGTTCTTAGAAGAAATATCAAGGAGTTTGATTATAGGAGAAGTGTTTGAGATAGGCATAGTGTTTGTCTTGGATTAAATCTTGGCTCGCAGATCCTCCCATTTCTTGATTACTTTAGCTTTGTTTTCCAAGGCTTCCTCTGTCCAATCTGCCTGAGTTTCTTCGTGAAGGCACTCATACAGTACGTGTGCGTATGATAGAGCTCCTGCAGATGGCTTAACCCATACTCCATGACATACCAGGTAGTCGCGCAGGCCTCTGACAGCTGGCCGGGTCGCTACCTTAAAGAGATCAAGTGTAAATCCTTCAAAATCCTCCCAAAAAGTGTTCCATAGATCTTCTCCTTCGCAGTCGTGGAGATCATAACACTCCTGCAACCAGGCAATATAGGTGTTGATAGTCTTGGGCACGTGTTGTTCCTCGTCTTCCAGGTTAAGGGAGAGACCCCAGAAGTCTGGATCTACCGCATATTCAAGATTGTCTGGGATTGGAATCATCTTGAACGTTTCGTACGCGGTTTTCGCACGTGTTTTGAAGGTATTGAGATTGTTGGTGGTTGTGTTTTAGTGAAGTGTCAGCAATAGGTAGGTTCGTTCAGGTAGATGGAGGTTTTGGTCGGTATCTCTCGATAGGCTCAATAAAGAGGTCGAGCTTGACGTTGCGCAATAGTTGGGAGTCGGTTTTGCGCAAAGGTTTCAGAGCAATCGGTGGTTGAAGAACACTCTCCGCACTTAATTCGTGATCAAGTCAACAAAAGGAGGCTTTGAGGGCGTGATAGACACAGATCAGAAGTATCGTAATCTCAGCCTCTGATCCTTGAATATCTTCTAGTTTCCTAATTCATGCTGCTGCAACAAAAGAGGGACCGTTGATACTCTTTAGCATAGAGCCCCAAGGTAAGTCACGTTTGATTCATGCCTTACGCAGCAAAACAAACGGCTTGTCCTTGAACATCTATCTCTTCTGAAGAAACCTAGCTAATCTGTGGTATTAACCACTGATCAGTGTTGGTATCACAGGGGTGTGCACACAGGTAAAGTGTAGGTTCGAGGTTGTTGTATTCAGTTGTGTCTGTTCTTGTCTCTAAAGGAGCTCAGCTACCTTAGGTGTAGGTAAACAAAGCCGAGCTAACCAAGCTAGGCTAACTACAGCTGCCGCCTCTAACTCACTTCCTTTTTATCCCCCTTTTATCTCCTCCCATATTGAATACTTCAGGAATATGCTATTCCTACACAATTCCTTCTCTCTTTCTTTCCTTCTTTCTTTCTTTCCTTCTTCCCTTTCTTCTTCTGAAACTCACTGCTTAATTACGATGGTGGTAGAATTATGGGTCATGGTGCGTAGGCGGACCATTGCAGCTGGCAAATACCCAAAACCCACTCGGAAGTGGACCTCCCTGTAATACCACGGCAGCTATGGAAATGCGCCAGAGAGTCTCTTATTTGTATATAAATCTGATAGGACCTGAAGCCCGAGGTTTACCCCTCGGCGGGCTATGTCCCAGTAGGGATCGGTGGAAAGCGTGCAAGTCACGAACCACGGCCGTTAAATAGACACACACACACACACACGCCTCCCACGAGGGAGCGCGGACGGGGCCCTCTCTGACGCTGCGGTCAACGCGTTTACGCATAAGACCTCAGCGACAGGTGACCCATTGTGGCCAAACTGTACACACATTTTCCATCTTGACTGCGTGAGGTCACCAATAAAATCCGGATAATGGATCATGTACGGATTACACAGATTACAGCGTGGAATACGACGGCACCGATCAATTTGCTTTATTTTAACGTAACCGCGAGCTAGATTGTCACGTACAATCTAACATATGGTACCTATTCAATTTCATCACGTTGGCCATTCCTCCATAGAATTCGTCGCATAACTTTCTCCTCCTCTTGTTTTTCTGCGCCCAACGGCTGATTGAGCCATGCTGCCGGCTCAAACACAGTCTCGTCTTGTGAGGTAGACTATGTTGGTTCGACTATCTCATCGCAGTATTGACTACCAGCACGTAGTTTGGATAGCCCGCTAGCTGAAACATTTCCCTACGCCTGTAAATAGTTAGTGCACCTCACAACACCACGCTGTATCTCCTTCGTATAGGTTCTATTTTCTTTCTGCCGTATGCACTGTCCCATGGCCAATCGTAGATGATGCGACGCCAATGTCTACGTAGTACGTGGTAGTGGGGAGCGCAATAATAAGGGATAGCGCCACTTCCGCTGACTGCAAATCAATTGCAGGCCCCGGGGAAAGCCCGGCTATATACCCTAAGCAGTTAGGAAAAGACTATCATTCAGCTCGGACCGCGAATGATAAAGCTACGTCACTAAATTTGCATGGTTCCTATTTAGGTAGACCCTTGGGCTATTTGTACAGCCTTCTGGTTGCGCTGCGCGATGGTGTCTGCCTTATCATAACTACAGATGAGCAATAACCCAATTGTAAGTGCTGTTCATTGAATTCGCCTTTCTCTATATAGTACGTTGATTCCATGGTTGCAATGGAGATAATTCTTAACATACATGAATACAAATTGGCGCTAATTAGCATAACGAACAATAGAGTAGATGGCACGAAGCCTAGTCCTCGTGAAAGATCTTATCAACGTCGTGTTCACGCCATCGAATATTCGGCTCTAGCCCGGCAAATTTCCATACACCGTTCACCCTCCTGTACTTAGTGGTTGCCCCACCGTGTGCATGTCCCTTATAAAGCACCACAGTCAGAGCGTCGTCGCTGTACTTTTGGTGCGCCACGCGCATTTGGTGATAACCTGTAATCGTATCCTCGCCAGTCTGCACCCATTGTGAGGCTCCTATTAAGTGTTGCGTCTTGATACGTGCGTTGCCAAGGAACTTAGGGCTCGAAGCCATGGCTAAGAAATCTTCTGCGGGCATGGATTTCCACTCTTGACCCATGACGGAGCGGTAGTCAATCTACAAGGTCAGATACTTGTACAATGGCGTGACTCTGGCATATACGTACATGGAGTGTTGGAGCGATGCATTTGCCAAGACGGTCCCAGTTCTTGCTATCGTAGCTTTCGGCCCATTCGAAAAGCACAACTTGACAGCCCACGACGTCTAAATATCAATTCAATGAGTGTTCAAAATCATCGGGTTAGGGTTAAAACCGTACCTTCGTACGCGGGCGGCTTGTAAGCAGCATTTGCCATGGTAGTGTATCAAATGTCGAAGATTGAAATTGCTGCAAGAAATGAGAGATATTTCAAATGATGTAGAAATACTTTTATCAAAGGCGTATTGAGAATCATATACTTCTTTCCCACTTCAGCCTTCATCCATACCTTCTTACGGAAAGAGTTGTTCTAGAGCCCTGCAACATTAATGCTCCGGCATCACTGGTCCAGATTCAATGGCCCGAGTCCGACGTCCCGGATTCCGAATTGAACTCGCCATGTCGGCTGTCGGAAATCTAGGTTAACATGTATCCTAATTCCTTTTCTGTAAGCGAGAATATATGATGGACTCTTCTCATTGACTTCTTCCAGATTGCAAAGACCTTATCCACAGCTCTAATACCTGATATCTATTTTGCACTCGGATCACATCGACGATGACAACTAGTTACATTCCTTACCGCCTAGACGGCAAAGTCGCGCTCGTAACAGGCTCGGGCCGCGGTATTGGAGCAGCAATTGCCATTCAACTGGGTCGCCTCGGCGCTAAAGTCGTTGTCAACTACGCCAATTCGGTGGAGCACGCGGAAAAAATCGTCGCAGAGATCAAGAGTCTCAACTCAGATGCTATTGCCCTTAAGGCTGACATACGTGACGTTTCGCAGACAGCAAAGCTCTTCGACGACGCTGTTGCGCACTTTGGTCATCTTGATATCGCCGTCAGCAACTCGGGCGTTGTCAGTTTCGGCCATCTCAAGGATGTGACAGAGGAGGAGTTCGATCGCGTCTTCAGCCTCAATACACGTGGACAATTCTTTGTTGCCCGCGAGGCGTATCGTGTGCTGCAAGAGGGTGGGCGCATCGTACTCACATCATCTAACACATCCAAAGACTTCAGTGTACCTAAACACTCGCTCTACTCCGCCTCCAAGGGCGCCATAGACACATTTGTGCGCATCTTGTCCAAAGATTGCGGCGACAAGAAAATAACGGTTAACGGAGTTGCACCTGGTGGTACTGTGACTGACATGTTCCACGACGTATCGCATCATTACATCCCTAATGGTGAGAAATTCACAGCTGAAGAGCGTCAGCAAATGGCTGCCCACGCGTCACCGTTGCGCCGGAATGGCTTCCCTGAGGATATTGCTCGCGTTGTTGGATTTATTGTTAGTAAAGAAGGAGAATGGGTCAATGGCAAGGTTATCACTTTGGATGGTGGTGCTGCATGAACTGGCTTTTCGATCCACGGTTTGTAGCTTGGAGCTAGATATACATGTGATGCCAGAATTCGGCCTAGAACTGGCGAAACTCAAGTTTCATCTTCATGCGTCAGACCTATTACAATTGTACGCATTGAAGTAACATAGATATGGCCATTTTCGAGACTTCAGTCAGCATTCGATGTCAAAGCATTTTCCTCACATATGGTCTAGGAAGTTGACCGAGCAGTCCTCAATAGTGAAACATATCTGATCAATACTAATCAATGACAAATTAGATATCTCACTTGAAACCTTGTCAGAATTTTTGCCTACTTGCCTTTCCTAGATATAGCAAAATGACGTGCATGGAATCGAGTGCACTGGCTGCGAATAGCTCGTCAAGTGATCTTTGAGGCTCTGACAGACAAAAAACTGATATAGAACTATCTTATTGTTTTCATTTACGACTACCATGTATTCTGATATTCATATGCACAAACTATCTAGAAATGGTGAACATGGATTGTAAAATTAGCGTACAAATAAACGATTGTATGAGTAAAGGTAATAAGAAATTGTATTGATGATAGTGTTCTCGATAATTATTACGAAAGCCTCAGCCCGGTCCCGTGTTTAAAGGGAGGTAAGGGTGTAACAACGGGAAGAAGTGTCGGAGCAAACCCATGAAGATGCACATCGGGGTGCCCGTCGGAAACTTGGCCTTTCCATTTGTATTAACAACACTAACATCCTTCATGTCATAGCTCCCACTCTCATCATCAGCTGCCTCAATCATCGCAGCCGCTAAGTCTAAGTAAGATAATGGGCTCTCCTCGTCAGTGAGGCTCAGCGCATGGCCCCTTTGTATATCCACTGATAAAGCGCCTGGCTTGATAAAAATAGTCGTCAGCCAGTCTTCTTGTGCCCGGAGCAATTTTTCAGTTTCGATTAAGTCATTGTAGACGTGAGATGCCGAGCGGAGGAGAATGAGTCGGAGCAGGTACGGAACGTGACGGGAGAAGTGATCATCTATGGTAGCGGATGACAGTAAGACCAGCTTGGGCATTTTTCTTATTTCGTTACTATCTGTGCTTCCCTGCTTGATTTTTTGAAGCGATTCAATCACAGCCGCGGCCGTGTCTTGTGCCAGGCGACAGCCAGGAATGTTGTCATTCGTCGAGACAACCAGGAACACGGCCCGACAATTGCGCAAGCACGATGTCAAAAGCTCAATATTATGAATGCTTCCTTCAAATATCTTGACTCTTCCACCTTCTTTGAAGTCGGGTAGAAGCCGAAGGAGTTTAGAACGATTGCGACAGTATGCATGAATACGGGTATCGGGCTTGTTCAGGAGATTTCGGATGAGCGCCGTGCCACAATTTCCTGTGGAACCAAGAACCGCGTAAGTGTTGGAAATGGCCATTTTCTCCTGGTGCCTACTCCCTAGGTAGATCCTGGGAATGATTACTTCGTGCGTTTATGTTTGTTTCATTTAAAGGCAGTCAGAAATCGGAGGGCCTCGTCGGCGTATCTAGACTATTCCCCGATGGGTCTCCCGATGAGATATCCGTCCGAGCCAACATTTCAGTTTGTCGGACAATAGAGCAGTCTTTACTTTTGTTAGTGTGTGTACGGGAATCCCCAGGTGTTGAGTATCAACACCGGAATATTAGCTATTCCGGTTCCCTGGGGGTATCCCCTTTGCCTGCATGTAATTATCCTTCTCCTCCCTTTTTGGGGATCAGTCATAATATTCGAATAACATCAATATTATCAGGCTCATGGGCTCTTTGGAATAGCCTTACTGCGTAGGAAAGAGATGAAATGGCGCACCAATGAGCTCGCACAAGATCTACATCGCCAACAAATTAAGCAGGCAACAGAGTCAGTAGATGGTTTTTGGAGGATTGCCCACTGGGTCCGCAACTAGGGCAAGCCACGTGCTATGTTTATTCCAACGCTACACTATAATAACACGAATTACATAGCCCTAAAGGAGAAAGTAGCTCTATTCCGAGAGGTCCTCCATCTGGAGCCCCTAGAGGCAGATTTGTCGGATATTAGGCTACAATTTAGGTATCCTAAACCATATATAATGCCACTAATTACATTAGACGAAGTCTGCACCGCAATAAACAATGTGAAGCCTGATAAATCACCAGGGCCAGATGGGATCCCTAATTTGGTTCTCCAAAGACTGCTTCCTACTATTAAGGCCTATCTTGTTAATCTCTTTAATGCATGTCTATATCAATGATACTGCTCTAACTACTTCCGAAGGTCGACAACAGTTATCCTTCACAAGCCTGGAAAGCCTGATTACTCTGACCCAAAGGCATACCGCCAATAGCGTTACTAAGCATGATTGGTAGAGCACTAGAATCAGTGTTAGCTAGGCGGCTCAGCTATCTAGTAGAGCAATATAATCTTCTACCAAAGCAACATATTGGAGAACGTCGCGGCCGCTCATGCGAGCTGGCAATCCATCTTCTACTAGAAGAGATCCATAATATGTGGAGAGAGAGCTCATGAGTAGCCTCAGGGCTTGCACTTGACGCGGCGGGGGCTTTTAATAACGTCAATCATATAAGGCTGATACACGACCTACGAAAGCGCTGGGTGCTAGAGGACCTAATTGGCTGGATTGAGAGCTTTTTAAGTAATCACCGCACGTTAATTACGCTCCTAGAGGGCAATATGGGGGAATTTCTAGTCAATATAGGAATCCTGTAGGCCTCCCCACTGTCACTAATCCTATTCCTATTCTTTAATGCTGACCTTATTGAGCAGATACTTGCTGAGTGCCTAGACATGGTCGTACTTAGATATATTAATGATATCTTTATCATGGTGTTTGGGACCTCTGCCGTAGCTAACTGCCGCACACTCACCAAAGCGCACCAAGTTGCAGAGCGCTGGGAGAGGACTCATGCCTCTAAATTCGCACCTGCTAAATATCAACTGAGCCACTTCTGGCGGAAGCACCAAATGGTGCCTAAACCAAGGGGTAGGCTGGATGTGCCTCTCATAATCAAGGGAGTGGAAATCAAGCCTATAGACTTGATTAAATATCTTAGGATCTATCTGGATACCCACCTCACTGGGGAAATGCACATACAGGAGATGAGAGAGAAGGCTGCAAAACTGTGGCGGGATTAAGCTTAATTGTAGAATTGACATGGAGAACACCCCTAGTTTATCTACAGAAAATATACATGGCTGTTCTCTAACCATAGATCATGTACGTGTGCTCTATATGGTATATACAAGGTGGAAGAGGCTTCACTGGTGCGCAACGGGCTGCGGAGCAAGCTATCCGATCGATCCAGGATCAGGCCCTTCACCGGATATCTGGCGCCTTCAAACGTACATCACGACAGGCCCAAGAGGTCTGCCTCCACGTACCACCTGCAGAGCTCACGCTCGCAAAGCTGGCTGAGGAAGCCTGCCTGCGGATCATGACCTCACCACTTCAATCTACGCTTTACCATATACGTGGCTAAGCCCACCATAACGACCCATACACGTCGCCACTTCATTGATTGGAAACAGCTATCAACTGCAAACTTGGACATAATACTAGCCAACATATTAAGATGATCTACTCCTTTGTAGCGCCACTATAGTGGGAGCCACCAGAAGCAAGGATTGACGACACCCATGAGGAGACTATCAAGGCTATTGAAGCAACCTTAGGAATAGATATAATAATATAGTTCTTTACCGATGGAAGTAGCTTTGACAATGGGATTGGGGCAGCAGTCTACTCATCCATAGGACAGGCTTATAAGCCAGTAGGCTCATCTGACACACATACTGTTTACGCAGGGGAGCTGGAGGGAATCGACGCGGCATTGGAAATCCTACTCCGAAGACAGCCACGCGGCGACAACCCACACGAAGCCACGATCTACACAGATAATGAAGCCGCGATACGCGCCACGTGCCAGCCAGGGCGGTCCTCTGGGAGCATGCCAAGCATGGACGGCATCTCTATTGGATAATCAAAGAGCCAACGAAGATGATGTTGCAGCTGCACAAAGGATTATGATGGGCTTGGAGTTCGGTGTTGATCTAACTATAAATAAGTAAATTAGCGCTACGCAGCTTCCTAGCGAGCGTACAGATTGAAGACTCACCTCAATGCCAATGTGGCCTTGGAGATCAAGATACAGCCTATGTCCTTGTATGGTGCCCTATTCATATAAACCTACGTATGGAGACTCTCTGGAAAGAAGCACGCGAAATAGACTATCGGAAGCTCCTCAGCAAACCTCAGTGGATTCGGCAGAGTGTCGATTTTATAATGCGGACTGGTCTATTGACGCAGTTCCGTCACGCAATCCCTCTAATAACCACGCACTAACAGTGAGTGCGACACTATCTCGATGAAGAGTAACCACGTTGATTTGGCTCGTACAGATCAGCCACTTAACACGTTTAGAAATAGAACTGGGCACCAAAGCACATATATCATGTTACTCCTTTTGTATGTATACACATTTCCTGTGTTGTTTCTGTTGTTGGTGTTCTTCGGATCTGGATACGGATATGTGTTGGGATTTGTTGGATTGTACGTAACAATCTCAATTGGTAACGTAATTCCCAAGCGAACCGCCCACCCAAGCGACCCACCCACCTCCCCGAAAAATAACTCTCTATATTGATTTCAAATCACAATTTCTTAATCACATACAAATTATATACAAAAAATTAATTAGTAGTACGATTAGGACATCGATTAATTTTATGTCCATCAACACCACAACCACTGCAGCGAAATTGGCGGCGTACGACTGCTTGAGAAGCTGGGAGCTCCGGCTCAACTGGAGCAGCCGTAACAGCTTGAGATGCCTCAACCTGACCTTGTACAAGCGCTTGAGCTTCTTCACTAGTAATCCCATGCTCAATAGATATCTGTTTCTTAGATTTTTGGCGTTTTTGCTTCTCTTTTTCATTCGCAGCTCGTAAATCATGGTTTTCTTTCCGTACGAGTAAAGTATCATTCGCTAGTATTTCGTAGGCTTTTGACAACCGTATAACTGCCTGATTGATTTCTTGATTCTGATTTCCTGTGCGCTCATTTATATGTTTATTGATTGTAGTTGACTGGCGTACAAATTGGCGTATATTTTGAGGTGTTTGTAAGCAGGATGATGCTGTATTGCTTGATCGACTTCGAGGGGGGGTTGGAGTCTTCAATTGAATATTAAGATATTGAAGAACTCGATCTGGATTGAAAGGCACTAATCCAGTGGCTGCGAAGCTATTCTGAATAGATTGAGCTTTATATGCCACTGTACGAGCCTGTGGAAATGCTGTTAAAAAGTCCATTTTGTCGATATGATTGAATCCAAGCCTCATTCGTTGCTCAACAACCTGCCCATAATACCGTTTTAAAACTGCAAAACAGCCAACATCAAGAGGCTGTAATAGATGCGAAGAATGAGGTGGCATGCAGATTGGAATAATATTATTCTCAGTGCATGTACGATCAAATTCTGGAGTCAAATGGCTTCCATGGCCATCAAGAATCAACATTCGGTATTTTCCCATTCTACGATCATTAATATTAGGAATAAAATGGGTTTTAAGCCATTCTAATCCTATTTGATCTGTTGTCCAACCATTATCGCTAATATTGATTCTCCAATCATCTGGAAGATCCTCAAACCAACCTAATCGTACGTTTTTCTTTGCTTTGAAAATAATGTACGAAGGTAACGCCCAACCAGTTGAATTTGTTGCTTCAATTGCAGTCACCCATTCTCGATTTCCAGGCTGTAAAAGCTTTGGCTGAGCATATCGATCGCTTCCAGTAATAACCTTCGCAGATGCACAGAGTCCCATAGCAAAGCCAGTCTCATCAAAGTTATAGATATCTTCTGGTAAGATTCCATACTCAGATATAGCAGCTCGTACGCGGTCAAAATGTTCTTGAATTATCTTTGGATCTTCACATTTGGCACGTTCATAGTTATATTTCCTTGCGAATTTAGAATCAATCTCCGGACGGCGTTTAATCAGATTGGTCACCCAGTTTTTTCCAACTTGTGATTTTCCATGTTGTTGTAGAAGATAATTGACCATTTCTCGTACAAGAGAATGTCGGGGAGGTAATCCACGTCGATCTAAATCAAGAACCCATTTGACAAGTGAATCATCCTCAGATTGAGTCAATTTATGGTGGTTGGCGCGCTTTTCACCTTTATATTCAATGCCTTTGAGTCGATCTCGGAGAGTCGTACGAGGAATATCATAAATCCTTGTAGCTTCACGAATATTGGAAATTCTTCCATTTTTCAAATCAGAAATAGCTAACTGGATATTTCCCTCTATCCGAGCAGATTTTAAGGGATCTTTCTTGCGAATTGGTGGCATTTTGACGCGTTGAAATATGAGAAATCAATATAGAGAGTTATTTTTCGGGGAGGTGGGCGGGTCGCTTGGGTGGGCGGTTCGCTTGGGAATTACGTTATATCTCAACATATCAAATTATGTATGCAAGAAGTATGGAATCCTTGATCCTTGTTGTCCTTTTCTTGTCTCTAAGTACAGTAAAGGTGGGAGATATCTTTTACCCCCTATTCGGTGGATCCCTCTCCTTAGTGTGGGGGTCGCTCTTATTGGCTGAAAGATACCATCTATGTGATTGGCTGAATCAGCTTAGCTAATCCAACAGGATTTTCGTGTGGTGTTGACTGAGCCAGCGCCAAGCCGGAAGTCTTGGCACGTTGACGTTGATTTATGCTTTTGTACAGCAGTACGCGCGCTGCCCAATTAGAAGGCGCCGGCGGCCACTAGGCTTAGATGCGTGTATGAATCAATCAATCAATCAATCAATCTGTTGGTTTGTGGAAGCAATCGAGATGCCTCACTCCGATGCACTGAGCCGCAGGGCCTCACGTGACCTCGTCTAGGATAGAGGGATGTAAGACCGCGTCGGGGCGTGAGTTAGATAGCTACAATCATATACATTTGAACCCATACAGAATTGCAGTACCTGCTAACCATCCTACGTACGTACGTACATTAACGTGTACACGTGCTTTATGCACCCACAATTATAGTAATTATTAAAAGATTATTGTTTGTACGTGTTTGTACGCATCTGATATCCAGAGGATATATCGATCCGGAGGATATATTTGCATGGACCCGGATCTCACCACCTGCGGGTTCTCGTGTTATATCTTCCGTCTATACATCTCATCATGTTGTTAGATACATTGCCTATTTGGGACCGAACTTTCGGGTATATATATGCCCTTCGTTCGCCCACCAGTTAGTACTAGGAGTAGTTATCAATAAGGAATCATGTTACCATTTTGATCAGCTCACCCTGTAGGCTAGTTGGATTAGCCTTGCGCCAATCCTTGCTTCGTGTTCTGGGACCGTGCTAAACCAACGTAGTATCCCTTAATGCTCCTTAGTACGGTTTTTGACAAATCTCTAATGCTCATGGGCCGTACTGGTAGTAAGGGATAAGAAATAATATAGTTTGACTAATACTTACCAGATCTTGGGACTAAAAAGGATCCCTAGCCTAATTTCCTCGACAAGCACGCGCCAATTCTTTCCTCTGGAGAACTGGTTGATAATGACTTTTCTATCGAGCAAGCTATGTTTATGGGTGATACGGTCTACATCTCTTTTTCATCGATGACTTTTAAGATTATAAACGGGGTTCAAGCATAAAATAAGAAAACTAAAATGGAATAAGATCAGAGAGTTTGATCTGTCCCATGAGCTTCTATAGAATGGATCCTGCTGGATTACCTTTCCATGCATCGCTATTCTCAAAAACAGTCATTGGCGCATCCATTCCCCAGATAAAGTCAATGGATGACGCCCAAAAGTACTGCGATAGAGTGTGCCAATCCCGACACAGGTGCTCTGTTTCCTCAAAATCTGCATGGACATAATTTGAATGATCGACCGGTTTCTCTAGTGCGGTATCGCCGAAACACATGACGGCCTAGAATCTACTAGTCAACAAATGTTCATCACGGGGTACAATGGTTTTTGGATAGTTCTGTCGAATTTCAAAAAAGTACACACCTGTCGCAAATATTCAATACAATGGCCCATGTGCTCGATCTCGCCTTCACTAAGGTTTTCCCCTGCTCGTAATTTCAGTTTCCAGTGATTCAGTGTACCCTTGAAAGAATGTGTCAATTTACGTATCAATCTAATTGGTATCATTGGATTTATCACGGAACATACCACACAATGAAGTTGATGAAGAACCGAGGGAACATATCCTTCTTTCCCATTGGGCCATGAGCCATTACTTGAGTACAGATTTAGCGGTAGTCCACCAGTGATATCGTCAGCTGGAGACGGCGTGACCTGGATCCAGGACCCTAGTTGAAATTCCACGATTAGTGGAGTGCACGAGAAAAGCTTAGCACTGGCGTTCGACTTGATCTTTTACCTCGATGGATCTCATCCCATACTGTCCACTCCCCTTCCTTATTAGCCCAGAATCTACCTCTCAATGGGTCCGTTTCCATGAATCGCTCATCGTTTTTCCAACATAATTTCGTTAATGGCACTGGAAGAATAGTATCATAAGTCAGAGCTTAGTCTTTCAAATGAGGCATGGGGACCCTTCTGACCATTTGGAAAAATGACGTCCGATTTTAGACGAGTGGCCTGCAATTCTGAGGCAGCAGCATACCTTCCGAGATGATATGATGCAAACAATGAGACGCCGGTGCAAAGTACGAAAATGGACCACCATATCCCTGATTTGAAAGTCTCTCGATGACCTTCTACTAGCGGACTGAGGTCAGATGGAGCTGTCGTCCCGCAGTTTGGACACTCCTTATTATCAGTATCCTGCGAGTCGACTTGAACATAAACTGGAAGCGATGATCTCGAGAAAAGCCCGAAACTGCGCAGCCACTGGGTCAAGAGTAGAGATTGAGAGGTATCCTGACTTGAAATCATGCTGCTAGATGATGGCAGTGTTTTGCGTGCATTAAACTCTTCTCCGACGGGATATTGCAAACTTTGTGAAGTAGGACTGAGAGCGGACCGCAGAAGTGATAGAAATTTACGCGTACTTTTACTTTGAATTGCATATGCAGATCTTGTCAACGTTCGCTCTACTCACGTCGGATTTTACAGTCCCCGTCTCGTTTTGACTCTCTGTGTAATGAAATGCGGTGGCACTTTTTCCTTGGAGCTGGTACCCTGACTAACTCAATGTTGGTTCTGGGCTAAGCTGTGGTGATTTGTCATGGTATGTTACTAATTAAGTCATGGTTTATAAGAAAAGAACAGCGTATGCGTAGCCAGCCTCTTTTCATTTGCGTGATATACGAGATATGCATGCAAGTGGAGGCAAGACAAGCATGGGTCTCGAGTCAACAAAAAGCAAGATTTTCCATATCTCTCCGGTTTTACCAAACGTACCATTTTCGGACTGATTAGTGATTACCCATGCATATTGCAGGATGTAAGAAACAAGATGAGGGGCAGTGGTATGCATCGCTAGTACTATAACTGACCAGTTAGTGCGACATGGTTCCGGTGCTAATGGAGTGTAACGAGTTGGTATTGTGTATTATACTGCTGTTAATAATACCGCCATGTGACCCGAGACTATCCTAGCCTGTGCACGCATTACTCGTGGCGTTGATACATCGTAAACTTTCCCCCATATCTTCGTGATAAGTATACATCCAAGTTCGTTACTTGTTCCTTGTCTATGCTCACAAGATATTAAAAGACGCGTCATCAAATCATCAGCCATTTTACTTTCTACTCTTTGAAAGGAGATCCCTAAAATTTTGAGAGCTGCTGTTTCTATTTTTGGTAATGGTGTTTAGAGATTACAACAATGAGGACTCCATCATCAGCCTCCCCTCCCACATTCGACATAACCCCATCAACACTACTACAACGCGCAGAAATGGCCACGAATCGACTACGAAGCGGCGTAACTCATTTAGTAGAGTCAGTTTCTCCTCAACAGGCGACTTTTGAGAATGCGATACGCCCACTAGCCGAGATTGACAATGAAGTCAAATCAAGCGTCCAATACATGGCGCTCTTTCAGGCAGTTTCTCCATCTCCTGAACTTCGCAAGGCATCTTCAGCTGCTATCAGCATTATAGATAAGGCATATTTGGCCTTATTTCAGCATGAAGGTCTTTTTGCCCTGGTCGGTGCAGCTCATGGAAATTACTCACGTTCACGAGACGACATAATAGATGAGGAAGATAGTCGCCTTCTTGACAGGTTCCATAGAATGTTTGTGGACAATGGCATCGAATTGGCTGGCTCGGCTCGCGAGCGCTATATTTGGATTTCACGTCGCTTGATTGACCTTCGGGTAGCCTTTATGGAGAATCTAAGTAACGACCCAGGGTATGTTTGGAAGGCCGAAAATGAGCTAGAGGGTGTACCTTTGGATACACTGGAGCTTGATAAGGATTATCTAAGTGCAGTTTTTCGAATATCTCTCGCAAAACCCAGTGTTAACTCTATATTGGTTAATTGCCATAATGCAGATACTCGTGCAGAGATCTTTCTCAAGAGTCAGACGTTATACCAGGAAAAGAATGTGCCTATTTTCCGCGAGATTATAAATTTGCGAGACGAGGCCGCACGTTTACTAGGATTCCCTTCATATGCGACACAGAAGTTAAGGCAGCAGCTTGTTAAATCTCCTGATAGAGTCCGCAGTCTGCTAGATCAACTTGACCGCGCTCTGCAGCCGATGGCACAGCAGGAGTTGCAGGTATTGCACAAAGTATTAATGAAGCCACCGCGTCTTTCAGACTTTGATTTTCAGCACAACCAAATACTAAAGGAGAAATACCACGTTGATCAGGAACTGGTTGCGGAATATTTTCCAGCACAAGTCACTATGAGACGTATGCTGAATATTTTCGAGACGCTATTTGCATTGGCAATTATAGAGCTTGATAACTTGACCGAAATCTGCAAATGGCATCCCGATGTGACGGCGTATGAAGTATGGGAGGCAAATAAATCCGTCTTTGTCGGGTATCTTTATATTGATATCTATCCCCGTCCGGGGAAGTATAACCATGCTGCCAACTTCAACATTTACCCTGTAAGTAGGCCTCAACCTTAATCTTTGATATTCTGCCTACCTGACGACTTGAATTGGCAAGAGCTATGTTGGCAGAGATGGAAAGCGAACTTCTGTTGCCTCGGCTCTAGTATGTAACGTCTCGAGGAACTCTGATGACCAGCCCCCTCTTCTTCGTCATCGAGAAGTGATTACAATATTTCATGAGCTAGGCCATGGTCAGCTACCATACCTCAGTCATCTTAGTTTTTGATTGTATGAGCTGAATAGAATTGTAGGAATACATGATCTCTTAGGAAAATCGAAGTATGCAATGTTTCATGGGCATCGAAACGTTTCGGATTTCTCTGAGGCCCCCAGTCAGCTACTGGAGTACTGGTGTTGGGTTCCTGAGTGCCTTAAACGACTAAGTTGTCATTATTCCTACCTTTCTCCCAAGTATCTCCAGCATTGGAAGACGGCAAAGGCTAGTAAAGATGCTCTGCAGCCTCCAATGGAAATTCCAGATGAGATTGTCCACAATCTTGTGGCTGCTAAGCAGCTGAACCAGGGCATTCTTACTCTAAGACAGGTAGCATTTAGCAAGTTTGATATGGAAATCCACAATCCAGCCTCCCATAATGAGATCGAAGCGATCGACTTCTCTAAGTTGTACAATTTGCTACTTCAAGATATGACTGGCCTTCAAGGACCACAGGATGGATTGAATTGGGGCAGTGGCCATGCCACCTCTTCCCACTACATATGGGGCCAAGAGGCCAATTACTACTCCTATTTATTGTACGTTTCCTTGACCATACTCGTAAACAAGCATGTGCTAACTTCTCTCATCTCAGCACCCGCATACTAGCTGCGGATATGTGGTATACGCATTTTCAGTCCGCTCCCTTGAATCAAGATGCTGGTTTGAAATATCGAAAAATGATCTTGAATTATGGTGGAAGTCAGGATGAATGGAAACTACTCACAAGCTTTCTAGGAAGAGATCCCACTATTCAGGCATATCTTAAAGACATTGGAGCGATTACCCTTGAAAACAAAGGCGAAGAGAATACATTTGAGAGGTTTGGAAATAATGTACCCTAAAAACCATTTTACGAGACTTCCTTACATTTATCTCAATCTTATACACCATACAAAGAATGCATGTAGTCTGTTAGCTAGAGAAACTCGTCCATGAAATACGCTCCGCACATCTGTGGCTACCTGTTCTGGTAAAACGTTGGGCATATACATATATCCACATGCACTAGATACTTTGCTGTGAGGTAACCTGGAAAATTATGCCCCGTCCAACCCCGAGTATAGTTCCACACCCCATTCCTGACTTGGGTTATTGAACCTGTGTTTTTCATCGCGAGCATCAATGATTTGTATTTCCTTCGCTGTCAGTCGGACATGCTGCGCTTGGAAATTCTCTGAAACTCTAGCAACATGCTCGCTCTTTGGAATCATAATGACTCCACGATGCATTCCCCAGGCCAATACAAGTTGAGCAACACTGATGCCCTTTCCATCCGCCAATGAGACCAATAATGGGTCCTGTAGCATCGGGGTCTCTGAAGAATGGTATATAGGGTTCATGTTTCCAAGTGGCGAATACGCAATGACTCGGATGCCATGCTGGAGGTTCCATTTCACGAAATCTGACTGTTGCAGATATGGATGAGTCTCAAACTCATGGACTGTCGGTTGGATATGTGCATAACTTCGAATTTGCTGGAGTTGAGCCTTGTTAAAGTTGCAAACTCCGATTTGCCGTACGATTCCTTCACGCACTAAATCCTCCATAGCAAACCATGTCTGGAGAAGGCTAGAATCGGAATCAACGACTATCTCGCGGCCGGTATCTGGATAGAACGCTACAGGCCAGTGCATGAGGTACAAGTCAAGGTAGCTCAATCCAAGGTCTTTTAGAGTTTTCTCGACAGCGGGACGAACGGCAGAGGGATCGTGTGCGTCATTCCAGAGTTTCCCTGTCACCCATAGCGAAGATCTAGGAATTCTAGACTGCGCTATGCCTTGTCCAATTTCCTTTTCGTTACCTTAAAGGGTCCAATTAGCCCAATCAGCTTTATGTAAACAGGAATATTCACACATACCATAGATGAGTGCCGCATCAATATGTCGGTACCCTTCCTCAATAGCTACTTTCACAACCTCAGCCGTCTTTGGATTTTTGTTAGCATATGATCGAGCATCTGGTCTTTTGTAATGTACTAGAAAAGTTGAAGACGAACCTTGGATTTTGGGATTTGCCAAGTGCCTAGTCCAATGGGTGGAATGTAGAGTAGTGGATTAACGCTATCCACTCCCTCGGATCCGAGAACTGGCAAGTTCTGCTTATATTGTTGGAACAGAAGAATAGTAATCAACAAAGCCGTAAAGGTGCAGACAGCAATTACAAGCCCTCGCATCTTTTTTGATTGATGGTGCATGAACATTTCTAATCTATGCCCAGGTGATGTGTCTGTGCAAGAAAGGTGATAGTGCCAGTTCACCCGTGGACTAGTTTGTAGTTCCCGGGTAAGGGGGGCCAGAGGCATTTTAAATATATCTAGGCAGGCCTTCTCTATATGCGTAGCAGCCCATAGGTCTTATTCAGCCAGTAGACTCATCATGCGTCAAATCCTCGGCGGAGCGCTTATCGTGCTTCAGATGTCTGATTTGCCATACAAATTCCATTTCTGGATATCAAGATTAGTACTACTTTTCCAGTAGTGTCTGGTGACCTCCAATTTACTCAAACATATTGGTGACTTAGAATCAACAAGGGCGTATCAAAATGTTGTGGATTTGGGTTACTTTTCTGCAAATGATGTTCATAAACTATCCTCTAACTTCACTAGTTTTGAAAATACTGAGGTGGCCAAAAGTTCATTACCACCTTTCTCCCTTCTCCTACAGGTAACGAAGAATGTAAAGTCCTCTCGTCTCCCGTCCCATTCGCCTGCAAATTCACCCAAAACACCGCGTTGCCTCGCCTTGGTGGGAATAGCAAACCCTTCCCACCTTCACCAATCCTAAACCTCGAGCTTTGGTCGTCTCTTCCGCTAAGTGTATCATTCAAACCATTAATAAGAGGAAAATACGTCTCTCCTTGAGTGCAATTGTCCTCCAAGTAGGCCAATATCGTTGTCCTCCGGTTATATAGTCGGCCAGACCTATTCTGGGGCTCGAGCCACCAGTCATAATGCAAATTTACCTTCTGGTTGGGCTCGTATTTCACCAGCTGGGGATTTCCATAGTCTCCAAGTATCCGTTGCGAGCCGCCATGAAATTCCAATGCCCTGTTCCCAATACAAGTCATCACTGGATCTGTCTTCTCGATGTAGGCGGAACTAGAGGTCCGCCCTTCGTCCGCAAATGCCGCATCGGAAAGGGAGTCGCCTTGGTATGTCAACATTCGTTCATATCGAAATTCTCTAAGCTCAGATTTCAGTACTCGTATATATTCCAAGACTTCGCTTATATTGACAAGTTTGGCCACACACGAAACGGAGAACAACAAACCCTTTTTTGAGCAACCAAGTAATTTCCTCTTCTGACATAAAGCTATTGATGTAAATGACTAGAGGATCTTGTGAGATGATCTCCACTGTGTATTGATGATTTGAGCATTCTGTTCGCAGATAATTTTCTGCATTGAATGGCAACTGTTGGGATTTGGGCAAAAGTAATAGTAAAGCAGCAACGATCGCCCCTAAAACAAAAAGCATAGAAGAAGGTTTGGCCTGCGTCAATGACATTTTTTTGGAGTTGCTCAAGATAGACCATCATCAACCTTGTTTGAGTATTAAATAACTGGAATATTACAGGAAATGGTATGGCAATACGCAGTAAATACAGGTTGTGCTACTGTATGATCCTATGCACTGAAACGATGGCGCTGGTGCTAGTAATGCACAATGCAAGTCTTAGCCTTGGAAATAAGCCAACATTATCATAGATTAGGAAGCCGAGAAACAGATCATGTTTTGTGGGTAGACCTCGGCAAAACCCAACCCCCTGAGCCCAAGCCCAGCCCAGAACCCAACTGGGTAGCCCAGTTGGGTTACCCAGGTTGTTTCATTTTAGTATAATTTTCCCAACTAGGCCACGCCAAGACGTATAATTCTGCTGACTAACTTCAATAAAATACTGTTATTTACACCTGTTCCAGTCACCTCCGTGGTTTCGATTAATATATAGTCCTTAAACATACGGAATCTTGAGTAATTCGGCTGTTTCTTTATAAATCAACACTGGTAATTATCTATTATCTTAAGGTCTCAAGATAATATTACCGTGTTGTGGTGGTTAATAAGCTATATCTGTCAAGGTACTCTTTATCACTGTAGAAATATATTTAAACTGCAGAGTATAGTAGGACTCAAATGTTAGGTCGTGTCTGAGGTGGACGCCAGTTCACCTAAGGGAGAACTGGGAGTGATGGATAGTGAGAAAGGTGGTATTGTTCATTACCAAGCTAACGACTAAGATAACCGAGAAGAAGAGATGGTAGGAAGAAGAATCTTCTATACCTAGTGATGATATTTTTCTATAGAAAAGCTCGAACTTAGAAGAATATCGAAGGAAACTGGGCTTTCTGGATATTATGGGCCCGTTCCGGAACATGTTCTGGGTGATCTGTTGGGTAGCCCAGAAAACCCAGTGTATTTAGATGATACTATCCAATCATACCATTTATTCTATCTGTAGGAGGGTCAAAATATAATAGATCAATAACTTCAATTTGGCTGCTAGCTAACCAGTGTGATCATGTGCCCCCCATCTATCATCTAAATATTTTATTTTCTAGACTTATAGATTTCTGTAAGTTAATTATTGCTTACTTTACTCTCAACCCTAGCATTTATTTTACCATGTCTCAATTCTCTGACTCTTTCACTTCATCCTTATATGAATCTAATAGTATTGACACCTTCACAAATATCCCACAAGACAATCTTACACCCAATCTTTCTTATAGCTAACAGAGTTTTAATTCAGATAACGATTATTCTATGTTTCAAACTCCAGCGCCACCACCGACCCCCTCCCTCCAGCGCGTCGGGCCTGATCGCAAGAAATCCTACGTGCTTTATACTACGATGTCAAAGATGGAATTTGTTGAATGGTGGCTTAAAACAGAGTATGGAGCAAAGAAAAGAATACGTTGGGATAGTAATAGGCGCTCCTCAAGCATGTAGGATAGCTTTGATTAAGTTGCGCAGGCCAGTGATGGCAAAGCAAAGCTTATGTGCAAGAAATGTGGTGGTATACTTAATCATCCACATAATAATGAGCATGGCACATCAACTATGGCAAGACATCTAAAAGGGTCGCAATGCCGTAATCTCTCTGCCAATCATATAAAGCAGAAAGACATTATGTCACTTGTACAAGACATGGTAAGCTATCTCAAGTTCTCAACCCTCTATTATACATTAACTAATATTAATAGCCGCAATGTCTTATAACAATACCGGCTTTCTCTTAGCAAGCATGGGAGGAGAAGCTTCTTACCTTTATTACAAGGGCAAAGCTTCCTTTTCAACTTATTGAACACTCTGAGTTTCAAGAATTAATTGAATTTGCCTGACTTGCTCCTTCACAGCCTAATATTCCTTCCTCCCAAACCATTTAATAGTAGTTACAGGACACAACCAAGATATAGCAACAAAAGATGTTTGATACGCTTCCATCTGGTACAAAGCTATTAATTGCCCTTGATTGCTGGACATCTCCATTTTAATAGGCATTTATAGCAATCACAGGATATTTTATTGACGACAAATGGAATTATCAAGAAATTTTGCTTGGTTTCGAACCACTTCATGGATCTCACTCTGGTGCCAACCTAAGTGCTGTTCTTTTTGACCTGCTTCAGCAGTATAAAATTATAGATCGCGTGCTTTCTATCACAACAGATAATGTAGCAAATAATGTTACATTAATGGAAAGTATACAAGATTCAATCCAGTCAAATCAAATCAGTACTGACACTGCAATTATCCGTGTTCCCTGCATTACGTATGTGATCCAGCTTAGTTTACAGAAGCTTCTTGGTCAGATGAAAGCCAATCCAAAGAATGAGACAATAGAGATCAATTGGTCAGAGGCCCGATCGCAGTCACTGCGAGCAAGGCAGCAAAAGCGAGAAATTGCTGATACCCTTAATAAAGTGAGTCTTTAAGTGATTGTTTACTACATAGCATTTGCATTATATTAATTATTGCTCCACTATTAGATGAGAGCGCTTGCAATCTTTATTAATGCAAGCCCTCAACGTCGTGAAGCCTTCTATGATCTCCAGACTGAAGCGCCAAAGCTTGTACCAATCCAAGATGTTAAGACTCGCTGGAATTCCACCTTCTTAATGCTGCGAAGAGCAAAGAGACTATAGCCAATCTTTGATCAGTTCTGCTCGCAAAATAGGCATGATCACTTAATGCTTGACCAAGAAGAATGGCGCCAGATTGAGTATCTTCTTTGGATTACTCAACCATTCTTTAAATTTACTACCGCGCTTTCTCAAACAAAAGATGTGATCTTCCATGTTATCTTCAGTATCTACAATAAACTTTTTGATCATCTTGAAGTATCAATCTGTCGGCTTCAGCGGAAGAAAGTAGCCTGGAAGAAGCTTATGCTTAGTGCTCTACATGCAGCAAAGGAGAAGCTATCTGTCTACTATAGGGAAATAGATAAGGTCTATGGTGATCTGTTTGCAATTGGGACAATCCTTGCACCGCAAAACAAGCTTCAGTTCTTTAATAATAAGGATTGGGGTCCTGAATTACGTAATTAATATCGCAAAAGCTTTGAAACCTATGTAGGTCTATATAAGGAACGCTTGTCAGCTACACAAGGCTCTCCACAGATACCTTCTTTAGGTGTCCAGACATCAAAGATTGATGCGCTTTTTGCTCCTGATTTTAATCAATTAGTGAGTAGTGACGAGGCTACACAGTACCTTGAGAGTGGTAAGTAATATTATTTCTCCTACTGGCGCTTTACTGATTAATATCCTCTAATAGAAATGGCCCCAATTGCTCCACGGACATTCTGGAAAGAGCATGAACACAAATTTCTAGCTCTTGCAAACATGGTACATGATATACTCTTAATACCTGCCACTGGCGCTGGTATTGAGCGGCTTTTTAATTCTACTCGAGATGTCTGCCATTATCGTTGAGGCTCACTTAATTCTATGACAATCCAAGATCTAATGCTATTCATGTGTACATCAAGGTTTGAAGTGGAAGAAAAGGAACTTTCCCTTATAAAATAATATCTTTTGAATGAGGAACAGCAAGCACTTGATGAAGAGAAAGATGCTCAACAGCTTCAAGATACTCTTGAGCCAATCAGTGATAATGAAGATGATGGCCTGGAGATTAGTATAGACCAACTGGCTACTCAACAGCTATCTAAGCGTGCTCAGGGCACGAGACGAATGAGTATGGTGTCAAATGGGGAGCAAGAGTACTAGGAACCTATTTCATCTGATGATGAAGCAGTTCTTCCTTTACCTGACACGCAACCACATATCTCAGGACAAAATCGGAAGCGTATAAGGCGTGAGGATGATCAGTTCCTTCACTACTAGTTGTTAGAGAAGAAATAGAAGGGCAATTAAAAATGATTTTCTTAAAATTCTTATTCTTCCACTCCTCGACTATACATATAATGATATAAAGTAATACAGTTTAAATACATATAAATACAAGACGGGACTACATAATTAATGCATATCACATGATCTATAATGTTTGTCTGGTTTATCTACCCAACTGGGTTACCCAAAACCCAGTTGGGTTCTATATGAAAGCCCAGAACCCAACTCAGAACACCCCCCTTGAGCCCAAAACCCAGCCCAAGTTGGGTTTGACACATGTTTCAGTTGGGTTACCCGGAACACCTGCCTAGGTCTATTTGTGGGACCTGAGTCTATGTACCTACCCTGCATCTACTTTGGCTTTGAGCACAGATTATCTATCATACTAAGTATGGGCTATATTTCGTGGAAATTAAGCGAGATGCTTCCTGACAATAGACCTAGCAATCTAGTAGCAACACTAGAACCAGAAAGGAAGCTCGGAAGTTTCTTATTCGGGCTATTGATTGCACTTGGTTATTATTACCTTCTGGTCAAATCTGTCCAGTCATATGATTCGTGCAGCCAAAGAAGTGTTTACTTTCACATTGCTCCGGTAGGAAGAGAGACAGGTCCATCGGTTCCAAACTCAAGCATATCTCCCAGCCAGCCTGCTTCTTTATCATTCAACTTCAGCTGGAAGAGTATTTTTCGAGATGGTACTGTACTTGATTCTTTTCATGATCCCCAATTCGATCATCAACTAACCAATAAGATGGATAGATGAAGTCAGTGCAATATGTTTCACTGTATTTGGCAGTAGTGATAATTCCATTAGTTGCCGTGATATTCCCTTTTCAGTCCATTTGGGATACTTGGACGAAGCTCAACCGGATGAACAATGAATCCATCGCATGTGACACACAGAGCTATTCTACAGAAATTATCTCTCTGGATCCAGTGGCTATCTATATCAACGAATTTCTGTCACCATGGGAGGTGAAATATCTGCTTCATTTGGCGTACGTATGTCGAAAAATGTTCATATGGTTGTATTCTAAGCACTACCTCAGGGAAACCCAAGGAAACTTTGTCTACTCTGAAGACAAACATCCGGACCAAAAGGCTCAGAAGTCACGTCGTACCGCAAGCTCTACTATGCTTTCAGACGAGGACCCGGTGGTACAATGTATTGCCGGGCGTGCTACAAAATTCGTGGGATTTATGGACCATGACGGGGTCGAGTCATTCCAGCTTGTCAAATATCAGGAGAATGAGCGGCATGATCCTCATCATGACTGGTTTTTCGAGCCTAGAAAGAAACCATCTGGCCAGACTTGTAATCGAGTTGCGAGCTTTTTTCTCTATTTAGGCGAGAACCCTATCGGAGGAGAAACATGCTTTCACCATCTATATCCTGCCCCTGTCGACGCCGACCCGAGCAAGTTCAGTAACATCAACAGTGATGATGGGCTGGGGTTCGCTGTAAAGCCGATTACAGGTAACGCGATGTTTTGGATGAATCTGCACGCGAACAACACAGGGGATGTACGAACCATACATTCTGCATTGCCCATCAGAGCGGGAGTGAAATATGGAATCAATATTCTGCTGAAGCGTTGCTATGGGATTTAATTACCCCGTTCTACAATGCTGTGTCCTAATCATCACTTATCGTACCTATCTTAATGTTTCTCTTTAATTTCATGTATTGAGTATAGTATCGTAGAATTCACCAACTAAATTGAAAACAATGTGTGCCTGTCAGGTGATCTGAAAAGGGCGTATATTGTCAGGCTACTTTGTCGAGCAGTGTTTCTGAACTTGGACAACAATGCTAAACTGCTTAAAACAATTTCTGCGGAATATATGCCTACTCAACCCTGTCAGACAGCACGTATGCCTGGAGGTTTCTAATTATTATATAACGCGTCCCACATCCTGGTCTCGTTCAATTACATATACGTCAGGCATGAATTTTCGGGAAAGCACACGCACAGGCACTACGACATCATGAAGTTTCTTGCTTTATTTCTAAAACACATAGCTCCCTTTGTCATCCTCAACATCATAATCATATCGTGGATTTCTGGGGATTACTGGCGCGCCTCGCAGCTGGAAAGATATGGCTCCATGTACGGAGTTCAGGCGACCGGAGCTACTGCAACAGTCTATCACTACAAAGTACGCAATGGCACCTCATATGCGGTCAAATTGTTCAATAAGAAACGGGCAGGGGTATCCGAGGAAGAGTATGTGAATGAGGTTAGAAGTGAAGTCGCTACAGCAGGCAAACTCCGCCACCCGCGAATCTTGAAAGTCATCGATCTCTTCGAAGAGAGGGGCAGATGGTACATGGTCATGCCGTACTTGCCGACGACGCTGTTCGATCACAGTCTGGGAAATGATCGGCTTCTTTCTCCAGAGGAGACGGAATGTGCCTTCCAACAAATCGTAGAAGGGGTGTCGTACCTTCACGAGCGGGGGTTGGCTCATCTGGATCTCAAACTGAGCAATATCCTACTTGATGCAAGTGGAGGGGTCAAGATCATCGATTTTGGACAAGCTCGGTGGTTTAACCATTCACACCGGGAAAAGGCTGTCCAAGGTATGTTGACCGGTTTCAACTTACACGGAATCGGCTCCACCTGGGCATACTTCTTCCATTAGAAAGTCAGCCCACATGCAATGTATGTGTGACGGCTGGTGCTGAGGCTATACAGAAGATGGTGAGATTTGCTGACTTGAGAGGTCTGGACAGAGGTCACGTGATCAGGGTTGGGCGAGAAGGGGCACGTGAGCGCGCCACTGATATCTGGGACCAGGGATAGCTTCATGTTTACACTCTTTCCTTTTCCTCCCTATGCTTAGATTTCTCGTATTAACTTCCAAATAACATTTGATTGAGCCTTCACAGTATGCAGGAGTCTAACCAACACAAATCTAACATTAGGTCGTTTTGGAACTCCACCGAATGTTCCTTTGGAAGCATATCAAACCTCGGCATATGACCCATTTGCTGCTGATGTCTGGGCAGTTGGAATAATTTATTGCCAGTTAGTTCTACCCTCAGTTCCTTGGAATTTAGGTTTTCATTCGCGAGACGAATTCTCGATCTTTTCGCCCTCAGTACAAACTTACGGATCACCGAGAGGTCTTGATCATTTTCAATCGACGGTACACATGATATTGCAGCACATCCCACTGCCAGCTCGTTCTCTTATCAGCGGAATGCTGTATGTGGATCCTGAAAAGCGACTTAGGATGGAGCAAGTGCTAGCCGATGAGTGGTTGAACGGTCTCAAACATTATCCCAATTGAGACCAGAATCCAAATGCGCCGGGCACTGGACATGGTAGTAGTTCGTTTAGTGCTTTAGCAAACATTTCAGCTACAATTTATATCAAGATGCCAACAAGTTCATGATGACATGGCGTAGAGTCAGAAAACATATCGAGACAAGCCGAGCTACTGCGCAGGGCCTTGCATCAAAGCATACTCGTGCCGTAAACGGATACATACGTGGTACATACATAAGCCAGGATGGAGATGGCCTAATGCGTGAATTTGGGCTGTGGCGCTGTTGGGTCTGTTGGTCCGGCGGATATAACTGGACATGTACTAAGAATAAGCGCATCATTTTTGTAAACCAAGATCGATAGGATCCTTATTACCTAGCTCAGACCCACACCCAGAAGCAGCGCCACATGTAATTTATGCAGCACAGAGTGACATCCATGTATTGGTGCATATTTATTAATTCTATAGATGTAACAACCAACATGCCTGATAAACCTACTAAGGGGTTAGGGTTAGAACAGAGAGAGGCAAAAGTATGGATACTTTAGCTGGTCATGGTCAGGGTTCAGCTGGCTTAGTCCCTCCGGGCGTAATAAATCATCATCATCATCATCCTAGAAGACAAGCAGAGAGATAAGGACAAGAACGTTGAGAACGCTCCATCAAGAATCTATCAATCCCCAAAGGGGAGCGTACAACTGATATTTCTACTACTGCTCATAATCCTCGGCAACCAGATCTTCCTCTAGAATCTTAACAAATGCGATACCGACGTCTACCTGTATGGCGGACAGTCCCGTGAATTTCTTCGAACTTTCAATCAGGCTCTGTTTGGCTCAAAGGCCAGAGTCTGATTTATGAGATGAGATATGATATTTATACACCTTTCACAGCACTAACATGGTACAATTTACAGCTACTGGAGAAGTCCTTGTTCCACCAGGTAATTCTGAAATTTCGGAAAGAAGTGCTGGTAGAACGCAGAATCTACCATTTCCTCCAACCTTTTAACCTTCATTCCATCTTCAGTCAGCCATACGAAAATGGCATATTCGTTTGTCCATTTCTCCTCAGGAACGGGCGTATCTGCAGAGGACGTTGCATATACAGCGGCCGTACCGTTGGCCGCGTCGTGAACGATATTCTTGATGTTCAACTAGCCATCAATTAACACTATATCCGTATAGCTGAAATTGCAGATTTTGGTACTCCTACCTTCCAATTTTTCAGGTTTTCCACGAGCTTAGGATAGATAAACTGAGCATGGGCACGTGTTCGCACTGGCTGCTGCAGCGACAGAGGCAGTAGACGCTGCTCAAAGTCATCTGCCCAGAGATCTATGGTATCCTGCGCTTTTCCACTCTCCCATGCTGCCAAAAATTTGCTAATCGTCTCTTTCTGGACGTCGATGGAAGCAGGCATCTTGATCGTCTTGACAGATTTTGATAGAAAAGGTAGATTATGTGATATCAATGGCGAAGTGAGATGAGATAAGATGTATTCCAGTGAGCTTTCGGGATATATGACCATCATTCCCGGGTCATATTTACATCGGCGTGTTTATTGATCGTTGCATGTCAACACTCCGATTGGGCCAGTGGCCGCAATATCGTCCCGTTTAATTATCCGAGGGAAGCGTGTCGAGAAATGCATTTATATATTGTCATTTTTGACGTAACGAGTATGCTTCAATTTTCAAGAGCATGGTAACTTCCTACCTATCTAGAAAACCATCAACAACATCACTAAGTAGCGACAATCATGCCGGCCGTACAAGCATCGAAGGTGAAATTGTCACCGCAGCACCTTGGGTTTGCTCGCATCGATGATAGTCCTGCCGGTGTTATTGAGACCGCAAACGAGCTGCTGCAGAAAAATCATGATAGTTACCACATGTACTTCCGAGATGTCGGTGGCCATAATCACATCTCTCACTCAATCCTTAGTGTTCTGGCCATGGGTGGTGGCCCAGAGGAGCTGAAGAGGGCATATGACGATGGCTACGGATATCAACGACCTTTGCCTCCACTGGACCCGGCAGTCGTTCAGGAACTCAGTGACCCAGAAAAGTTCAGGGCCAGAATGTTCAATCTCGATCAATATACAAATTTCTTGATATTCTTCGAGCATGAAATCGAAATCAAGGGCTGGAAAGCTGTCGTGCAGGAATATTGCTTCAGCCGCACGTCCCTTGCTGAAACTATGTTTTTTCAGCTGTATGAAGGCCTATTGCATCCTATCATTCATCTGGGTTTCGGTGTCGAGTTTGAACAGCCCAGTCTAATTGCTGAAGGTCTCGCGCACGCAGCATCACACGATCCCGGCAATATCGACACTTTCTTTCATCGTAGCGAGCAACTCGCACAGTCTGGCACTGTCCCGTCTAGGCCACTCATCGAGCTGTACGAGGAAGTTCGCCGCAACGAAAAGACCCGCACTGCAGGTCGCATGCAGGATGGGCCCTGGCGGTTGAGGGATGGCCCGCTGGCTCGCTGCATGGATGAGATAGTCGGAATTGCCGCGAAGTTCCAGATCTCACCTGAGGACTTGGAGCGTCGGACAGCCGAGATGATTAACTGTGCTGCATATAGCGCAGGTGCGGCACAGAGGCCTGGCAAAGTGCGTAAAGTTGACTTCTTTATCATGCATGATGTCACCTGTTCCATCTTCTTGAGCGTCTTGGTCAAGCAGCCTTGGATCAAAGTCGAGGACAAGACGCGGTTAGTAGAATGGAAGACAAGGCTGGACCTGGCTTGGTACGCGGCGAATGGAGCAGCGGAATTGCGCCTAGAAGACATCTCTGGGTATGCACCAACTGCAAGTAAGGGTATGGATTGGCGAGAGTTGTACAAAGCTGTGAACCAGGTTCATGACGACGGACACATCGCCAAATTTGTGCGAGCCCTGAAAAATGGGCAAGAGGCCTCAAGACCTTTTGAAGAGGGCGAATGGGCTTCTTTATTCCCTATTAAGGGTGACTTATGGTTGAAGATCGCTCAAATGGGATATGATACGACTAAGGATGGTATTGATAATGGTGATAAATGGGTCTGGGGCGCCGGTTTTGACCTTGCGTGGATGAAGGTGCCGAACTTGGAGTAAGCATAGTCAGTTGTACTATATACATGAACAAATACTTAAGGACTTGCTTAAAGAACACTGATTCAAAATATTCCCCGCTTGTTTCTGAGCGATGGACGTAGTGGATAGAGCCATAATAATGACTAATTGAGGCCTTGTTGTGCAAGGTAATATTCAAAGGCATATGGATTATATTTCTCTATCTAGTAACGTTGCCCAGATCAATCTAGTGAATATTGGACTCTGTCCGAGGCTTCTAGGAGTCCTTGAGGTCATCAACAACCTCGCCATCTCTCACGAACTCCTCAACCCATCCTATAGTCATCCTACGTTGGATTAGCATAATTGTTGCTTTGCTTAGTAGGAATGGCAGATACTGACATGCTTCTTTGCGTATCAGCGAACTTCTCATGATCACCAATAAGATGCTTTTTGTACCACGGATCCTGTTTCATACGTTTGTAATGTTCAATATCTTTGAAAACCACCTGGCTAAAACAGTCAAAGTCTGCAACATGCACCATCTGGTGGTCAAATAAGTGTGACATCAAAGCACGAGTCGAACTTTGATTATGAATCTGAATATGAGTTAGTCGCGTAATATTGTACACGGTACGTCATCTTATATCATAATCACTGTGCTAGAAATAAGGATTAGAGTGAGTCGCCTACTTGAGTCCATCTCTTAATACCATATTTGACCATTAAGCCCTTTGTCATAGGCGCCGAGATGTTAACCATATGATTTCGGTAGTCTTCCTCGCTCATGCCCGGTTTGCGATACCCGCAGATGGTCAAACAGAGATACTTGTCTTTTGGAGAGCCAGACGGCTCAGGCACCTCAGGTTCGGTGAATGTTGTCATAGTTAGACCACACGATTCAATTGGTCAATTAGTCGTTTACCTAGGCTCGAGGAATCAGATATACGAATTTTGGAGTATGATAACACGGATTGGCCAGAAGAGAAAGCATAAGCTGTTGAAAAAGATGTAAAAAAAGGGGACACCACGGCATACCCGCATCTCGGCCCGGTAATGAATTGGCTACGGCAGGGAAGACAATTGCTTTTTTCAAAAGTTCCGAGCCCAACATTGACGTACGGTTTAATGCTGTAGTCAGACACCCTTGACAGACGGGATCGGGGTATTTGTTGGCTTACTGACAGATCTCGGTATACAGCATGGCGTGCTTGGAACGAAACTCTTCCTGGTTAGATGCCTCGTATTATTTGACGTACGTCAGGAATCAGTTTTGTCCCGAGCTTGCTGTATTGCCCCGATCTTCTTGGTCTCGGGATGATATATCATCTGTCTTGGCCAATCCAAGTTCAGCACGCTTGCCAACGGACAATATGTCTTCTAAAATTGCTCCTATCACTAAATAAGGGGTTGGGGATATTAAACTTGTTGCGTAGTATCGCTAGACCCAGAAACTCCTACCAAATCGAACGTAGAACCATGCGGCAGCGAAATCGTGACGTTTGACTCTCTAATGAGTGCTATAATACAGAACAAAGCCCCATATATGATCCAAGTTGCTTTCCCGTAACACTTTGACATTATAAAAAACACAAAGGTGTTAAAGCTTTTATAAATTGCGGGTGTTGGCGCATCGTAGATATGGTGGCTGCGCGCTTGGATGTTTACAGGTTGCCTCAACGTGAAGGGTAGAGTAGGTTCTGAGTGTATCCACCCACATATATCTAAAGACAACAGTGAAAATCAAGAGGGGGAGATGTTATCTAATTAATCACTATCTAATAAAAAGATTGTAGAAATTATGATCCAATAAACTGATCTTATATAACGTTGAAAAAGCTCTTCAATTATTCTCTATCGATATGCCAGTCTATCTATTGCTAGCTCTAGATTGCCTCAATGGCAAACCACTTCTTCACTCCTCTCCTCATCTCAAATGCAACGACGCCATCTTCAGCCAATTTTCTTAGGACTTCATCCATGAAGGGTTCAAGCGCCAACTCTCTGACCGCTGAGTCCACCCCATTGCCGTAAATGGTCGCCACTAGCTCTTTGACCGTGGCACTACCCTTACCACGTCCTTGATCAAGACTTGCATCGTGCTTAGCCTGCACCAGCGCCTTCAATACCTGTTGCTCGCGCCGCAGTTTTTGCGCCAGCTCGCCAGCAATCTTGGCGCGCAGGTCGGCGATTACGATGCCGTGAGCAGGGTAGCCCTTAACGCAGTTTTCTGACTGCATCTTCCGTAAAGTATCCATCCACGTGCTGAGATGCTCCACGGCAGAGGTGCCGTGACCAAGTATGTTGTCTCCCGTGAACATGGCCTGCTCTTCTTCAAGGATGAAGCACATATGGTCGCTGGAGTGGCCTGGAGTATGCACTGCGCGGACTGTGGCGCCTTCAACCTTGAAGATTTGCCCGTCTGTGATAGGCTGCTGAGTTTTGCTCGGTGTGTGTTTGTAGATTGATGAAGCAAGATTCGGGTACATGCGAATCAAGTCAGGAACACCACCTGTGTGGTCGCCATGCCAATGAGTAAGAAGTACATGGGATAGTGAAATTCCGTTGTTAGTGAGAGTTTGCTCGATGAGATCTGCCCAATCTGGAATACCCTGGCCTGTGTCAATGATGAGGCGCTCCGGACCAGTGCCGACGATGAATGTGTTTGTCCCTTGTAAAGTAAACTGTAGATAGATCTTTTAGTTCATATGGCAGGCAAATTGAAGTCTCAACGTACCTTCCCTGGATTTTGACCGAGCACTCGAAGGACTCGCGGAGTAATCTGCTCTACATCGAATATTTTGGGTAAAACTTTCTGCTGGCTTTCCAAATAATCTTCAAAGGCACAAATGTTGAGAGCCTTGTTGATTTGGCGGTAGCCTCCTTCACCGGGTGCCATTGTCTAAACTACTACCAATTTCGAAAACTGGACAGGCACCCTTTCATGTATGAATGTTAACAATGCAAGACGAATATAATATTACAAGAAAGACATAGTAATCGAAACAACGGTCTACCAGAGCTTGTAAGCATATTTAATCCTTTAACGGATGAGCATGTTGTCGGGTCCGAAGATCTCATTGCGAAATCGGTCATCGGACGAAAGACCGCTGTAATGCCGTGTTGACGCAAAGCAAAATACCCCGTGTGATATCTTTCGCTTTATCTTTTACTTGAAAATGATGATTTCAGATGATGCAGTCAAAACGGATCTATAGACTTTCCAGGAACCTTATTCTTGGTAATAACATGAATTATAGATGAGTGCAATGGCTGATGCTTTGCCTATAGCAGGATACCGTCAATTAATTTATATATCCACATTCAATCCTCCTAGGTCACTTACTGTACTTTAACCGCGCTGCCCTTTAAATATCTTCGACAATCACTCAACTAAAGCTAGAACGATCTTCCGTAACCCGTGGTCATGATAGTAGATATCTCTTTACTTTGTGTTCATCTTTTTGAGCGATCCATCAGAAAGCCTAGGTTTACAGTACAGTGCAAAAAGTCTTGGCCAAACCGGCCGAAAACCCCGCACACACAAAATCATATATAACTTGTTTTATTGGTGACCTCACTCAGTCAAGATAGGCAATGCATATATAGTTTGGCCGCAACGGGTCACCTGTCGTTGAGGTCTTACGCACAAAGCGTATGAGCTACATCAGTATCTAACTCCTTGAAGCACTTTTGTGATTCTGAACCTTCAGATAGTAAGTTAGATTATGAAGTTCATAATAGACTGCGATAGCAAGGCTGATCTGTGGTCTCCGTTTTGACACAAATAATGTAACTTCATTGAGCTTAGTAAGTACGCGATGAATCTGAGATAGACGTTCCCAATCACTGTCTATAAAAGAAGGGATACAGCGCCTTGCAGGTTCGGCTTTACACAATTTGCGACTCTTTGACTCTTTCTCAGCGCCACTCCCGTAGCCTAATCTATAAGTTACTTGGTTTAGACTAGTATTCGAGTACTGTACGGCGCATATGGGACGTAAGCGTACAATCATGTTGGTAAGCACGGTTTGATACATACAGTAATAGAATTAGTTGTCACATGCTATGCGTAACCGAAAAAGCTATTACTTCATGATCAAAACTAGACAATATGACGTGCCAAATTAATCCACATCTTGTAACTCTTGGTCTGCGGGCACCAGCGAGGGTGTTCTGGCAGCGATGATGAGAGGATGGTTTCTAAGGTATAATTTAGCACCTAATCGTCTTTGGGCATAAGGAAGATTGATGTGCTCCTCACGGCCCGACTGGGTAGTTATCACAGCTGCTGAAGATCCTGATGAAACTTCCCGCAGGGGCTGCGGGCATTCTTTTCCAATGAGCGGTGTTTGATCTGGTAATGCACTAGTCTCAACCATCCAACCACTGAGAGCACGAGAGGATGAGATGGAATTTGGGTGAGTAGGCCCTAATATTTTGCTGCATAGGTGGGAACATTCTTCCATCAGGGTCAAGGCATCCTGTAGCTTTCCCTGACATTTCAAAGTATAGGCAAGGTTATTCATGCTGATCAGAGTGGAGGGATGCTCAGCTCCCAGCACTGTCTTCCTTATCTCCATTACTTGCACCTCCAGCTTCTCAGCTTCATTCCATCGACCTTGATTCCAGTAGGTTGATGCCAGATTCGCCATGCTGATCAGAGTATCAGGATGCTTAGCACCCAGTACTGTCTTGAATGTATCCATTACTTGCACCTCTAGCTTCTCGGCTTCATTCCATCGACCCTGATTCCGGTAGGTTGATGCTAGGTTCGCCATGCTGGTCAGAGTATCAGGATGTTCAGCTCCCAGTACTGTCTTCCTTGTCTCCATTACTTGCACAAACAGCCTCTCAGCTTCATTCCATCGACCCTGGTTCCAGTAGGTTGATGCCAGGTTCGCCATGCTGGTCAGAGTGAAGGGATCTTGAGGACCAGCTTTCTCCTAATCGATCCTCACCAGTTTCTTGTAAAGTAACTCTGCTTCTCGATATCTTCCGTCACTGGTAAGACAATCTGCAATCTTTTCAGTCAAATTGAGGTAATCTTCCTCCTGTGTAACAAATTCATTTTCACGCACAAGTGCTAAAGCATGGGGAAGGTATTCCCGCCAAAGTCCTCGATTCGTGTGGTGATCATCTGGAAACACATTCTGCATATGTTCAGCCACCTGTTGGATCCAGTGACTAAATAATGCATTCTTTCTAAGCCAGTTTCGGGTTGCAATATGCACAAGTCTGTGAATACCTATATCCCTCTCTTGGCCATTTGTAAACGAGTATGCATTTAGAAGTCCTAAAGCATCGACTTTTTGCTTTCTGGATGATGGTTGAGGAAGGAGGGATTGGGGAATATTTCGTGGGTCAATACAGGCCATGAAAGATAGGTAGTCTATCGCTAGTTGATCTTGACGTTGAATTTGTTGGAACGAGATTAACCAGGTGGTGATCACCGGGTTTTGGATATCCTTATAACGCCCTGGATCCTTGAAGTCTTCGCTCAGGAGTTCCACAGCATCTTGCTCCTGCTCTTGAAGAAGTGCAAGGTAGGTCGACAACATGATGCCATTTTCAAGAATATATGCTGATGCCTGCGCAATTGCTAATGGGAGAAAGGCTAGTTGTTTAAGGAGAGTAGCGGTTATGTTAGTATCTTCAAGTAAGTTCTTATGTACCAATGTCTTCTCTAGGATTTTGAGTGCAGTTTTTTTATTTATGTCTGGGATTGGAAAATTCTCGGTGTGACTAGCTGCTAACCACATCCCTGCATCATCCGCATTATCAAAAATCAGAAGCCACTTTCCTGCACGCTCAGAGCTGAGGTATATCTTGACCTGTTTTTTAACCTCTGCTGGATTCACATCAGGAAGTCCGAGTTTTTGCGCAATGTGCAGGAACATCTGCTCAACCATTGCATGGCTGGTACAGGAGATCCAGTAGACTGAGCACTCCTTGTCTCGATCCTGTATATGGTACGCTAGCTCAAGGGCCACTTGGGTTTTCCCGACCCCTCCTAAACCGGTGATTGCAATCCTCCTGGGCCCATCTTGCACTGTGACTAATTCTTCCAGTTTTATAATTTCATCCTCACGACCGACAAAATTTGGATTTCTTGCAAGCGATACTACCCAGTGCCGCATTTTATTGCTTTTTACCAGGTTACTACCCGTAAAGCTAATTGGAATAACCGATAATAGTAGTTTTGCATAAGTAGCTGCTGTTAAAGCTGCATAACCTTGCCACTGCTTCTGCTTATGAGAGTCGCAATAATCGCATATCCCACGGGTCATAAGCGTTGGAAGCTCATCCATTATGCCTGCTGCCTCCATCTTAAAGTAGAGAATCCTATGCTGTTGTGCTAGACGGTCTCTTGTCTCTGAGTCTTTCATCACCTCATCTCCTGATGCAATCAAACCATAATGGATATAAGGGGTCTTGATGCCACGTGGTTGTCGTTTGATTAATTGCTCTTTATCACAATTTTCATAGGTATCTTTGCCAGTGGCATGGTGATAGGAGGAATAAAATAACAAGTCCATATACTGTTCTGGGGGTAAAAATCTTTCTTGCATCTTAGGGTTTTGTTCTAGAGTTTTCCATACTATGTTGTAAAGGGTGTTCTTGGTCTTAGTCATTTGTTTCGCCTCCAGCCGACTTAGATGCGTTAAGAGAGCCTATGGTGGTTTGTTCAAAGTTCCTGTTGGCTCGAATTGGCCACCTTGAACTGCCTTGCCATAATCATACTGTATCACTCCACTGTGCTTTCCAACCGGTTTACTGACCACGACATCGCCTCCAATTCCCACCATCAGTCCATATTGCAGCCGAGGAAAGGTGGAACGCATGTGAGATACCACAGCCGCGGTAGACACTGTGCTGTATACACCAGCTGGTAAGTAGGCAATGACAATATAGTGACCATTTATTTCGCCAAGCTCGTAGGCGTTCAGATCAGTGGAAGGTTTCGGCAGGGGACTATGAGTTTTGTCCAGCATGACGCGGGCCGCTGCGGCTTCCAACGGCAAGGCATATATCCACGCAACGGTGTAGCTGTCATGCGTCAAAACCATCATTAAGGGATAAAACAGGGAACTGGATAAACAAGTCAAGAATCGATGTCCTGTCGTCCTGATAAGTCAAGATTAACTGTGAAGCCTTTTTATGATGCTAGAGGAATGCAAAGCACTGTTCACCAAGCTGAAGGGGAGTGGTAAAAGCTTCATGCAAGGATGACAACTTAACGCGCGGTCGCATAGCCGTGGAAATCTGCATGCTACTCTACTCAAGGCAATAGGAATCCATACGGCGAGTACTCCGTATACCACGATATTTTGTTATGCATCTCTATTCAGAACTCCATACCGTCCTCCCACGAAGCAGTCTGAATCCGTCTCGCTCACGAGTCGGATCAGGTATTACTATTTTCCGATGGCTGCCTACCGTAAATTACTGAATTCATAGACTAAACTAGTATGGATTTGTGAATGTGAGTGGGACATGTAATTGTATGTATTGTGTGTATCCTATTTAAGGAAAAAAGCTCAGACACTAGGTGTCTATACAAAATATCGTGCAGATGTGTGTATGCTAGCTTAGTAAGAGGGTTCTCAGCAATCGCTATAGCGAGGGGAATCAACCGCCAATAAGAGTCAAGTGTGGATTTTATGCTTCCTATTGCAACTTCATGGTCCTCTTCACTATCTATTCTCAACTCGCTTGGGTGACCTGAAAGTAATCCCACAACCAATTTGTAACGGGGGCAGGATGTGAACATTTCTGAGAGCGATATAGGTATGTCTGAGGAAGATGAGTTCAGTATGGTAGTCGCACTAATAGCGACTTTGCGCAGGTGGGTCCTGAACTTTGAACTTCGAATCTAGGCTCGTAGTGGTAGGCGGTAAGGCTTTCCATCTTGGCATTCTTGGCATCACATGATGTCGGACTAAAGTATATAGCTAGCGTTCGGCGCGGGTCTTGAGCATTTCATGACCCGCACTAGATGCTGTCGGATTAGTCGGTTTATTCCAGGCCAATCCTGAAAAGTGTTTTACTAGGATCAAAGAAAAGAAGTGACTAGCAAGATTGTATGTATTGAGTTCTGTTCTGTCTGTTCATCAAGTTTCAAAGCTGGGCTTTTATAAACATCTTTGGCGGGGTGATTTGTGAGCTATCATGAGGGGTAAACATTGGGCTGAAATCTAGGTGCCTTTTTAGACCTGTAAGATCGAACATCAAGTCTCTCTGCCTCGTTTGTAGTCCAGATTATCTGACAGATGCTACGAATTGTCAATCCTTACCTGAGGAAGCTAGTCTTGTAAAATAAAACATAACATTTTACACAAGTATCTTCCCACGTAATTCTCTCCTAAAGATACTTCCAACCTATATTTTGAATTTGCAAAAATGACACAGCCATCTCAAGATTTGATGCTCACTCAGGGGTTTGGCTCGAGCCATGATTCCAACGTGTATATGAGCCAATATACGTCTCAAGTCCCAATGCCCTCCAGCCTGCCACAAGGCCCTGTACGATTAGGCCAATATCCGCCTCAAGGCCGAGCCCTCAAGTCTGCCACAAAGCCCTATGCCCTCAAGCCAAACCCCAGCGCTAGTGCCGGGTAATCCTGTATTAATCCAATATGCACTAGATGACTCGGTTCGAGGCGGACGAGGCCAAACTCTCAAGGATTGGGAACGCCTAGAGCTCCTCAAAATTTGTGTTGAGAATCAAACTGTCCTAGTTACTGAGACAAAGACTAGTTATTGGAGACAAGTGAGCATGCGATTCGAAAACAGACTAGGCGCAGATATTCAGCTCAATCCTGTGAGAAAGTGATCATGCAGCTTGTGCAGAGCCGGCGCCAATATCTCAAGGAGCACGTGACTGGTAATTCAGTGGGTGAATATTCGGAAATAACGCCATTTGTTGACGAGATGATCACTGTACTCGACCAAGTCGATGAGAATATATGTTTGAAAGCTCAAAAGCCAAAGAACGTCGTGAAGAATTGGAGCAAGATATACAGCACCGTGACGAGATAATGCAACGTATATCTGAAGGCGTAACAATATCTAGATCCTCCTCGGAGGCACGTAAAGAGCGCAAATCGCGGCGCAGAACACGGAGTTCAACACCCAGCAGCTCCCAATTTGATCCAGATGAGGCAATTCTTTTAGAAATTTCAGGAATTCGAGAGGCAATTGCTCAAGATTCGTCAAATAATAGGCGAATTACCCAGCTTGAGGATCAATATCGTCTTCTGCAAGAGACAGTTAGATAAAGTGAGCAGGCGGTTAGGGGAAATCAGGAACCAATCGAGCGAAATCAGGTATCCTTGGAAAAGCATGAGGGCTTGTTGACGGCTATATTGAGCACATTACAAGATATTCAACGTACCAATAAGCAAATAGCTCCTCAATGACAGCCACTTTATACCATAGTGCGAAGTAATCACGTTCCCATAAAAAATTGTATGGATATTAGTTAGTAAAATAGATATTCGATAATGAAGAGCCACAGGCTGTAATAAGGTACGTTGATCGGGCTTAAATTGAGTCGTAGCGAACTGGGTGACCACCTTACCAAAGGCATTCTCAATTCCTATCCGGTCACTTGACAGCACCTTAATGAGCCGCTTCTCCTTGCGCGTAAGAGGTCTCGTGACCTTGTATGGAGTAATAATTCGGAAAGAACTGGTGTAGGCAATATCCCCATATAAAAATAGCTGTTCTCGTTGTTTCATTATTTCACGAAGCTTCTCGGGAAGCCCGCAGGACTGATACATGGTAATATCGTGCGTGGAGCCGGGGAAAGGCCCATGAAGAGAAAGGATAAGGCCGTCAGGCGCCACAGTCCCTTGATATTTGATGCCATGTGCACCCTCATAGCCATTATAGAATATTTTCTGATCCCTGATTGGTCGGCATATCTCACGAAAAGTGCCATCAATAAAGCCCCAAATCCGTATGGCACCCTTAGAGACCTTTTCTAGGCTACTGGCGTAGGTGGCCATGCGCTCATACGTCAAGGTAGGGTGCCAATCAAGGATATGGTTATAACGAACCGCTAGATATCTCAAATTAAGCTTCAAAACGACCGATATATAAGTGGCAGAGCGGCCAAATAAGAGCTGCAATTCGTAAAGCCTTTTGTAGGCTAGGCTAGGTGATAAAGAATAGCACATATAGCAAATTCTGGTGTAGGGGCGTAGCGCCTACGGCCGTATTCGACATTTTCTAACACGAAGCATTCCAATATCTCATAGATTTGTGTGCGATTAAATCTAGAAAGTAATTTGTTAATATTTTTCATATAATATGGTTTCTTGGAGCTACCGGAGAAAGAATTTGACAGCATGGTCGTTCCATGCATCTAGGGAGAATTCGAAATTGGTGTAAAAATTGACGAATTTTGGTTTTCTTGCGCGACGTCTTCGAATCAAAATGTATAACAAAATTAGTATTAATCGAAGCAGAATTTCTCGACAAATCCAAGGCTCCATTTTCTTTGTAAATACAATGTGATTTCAGTGAGAAACATGATGTTAAAAAATGTTGGGAATATCACCTCACATCACATATCACCTTTGCCAGCTATTTACATCCATACTAGATCATCTAGTATGCGCGCAGCTTTTTGGTCTAGTTGGTCAAAAGCCCAACAAAAAATATATCATCTTTTTTGAAGCCTAAGCTAGGTAAGCGAGAAGCAGATTTATGGTGTTTGTACGAGCCTGTAATGCCAAGACGGGCCACTACTGGGTTGTGAATGCCTTATTGATGCCTTGTGAGGCATAATTAGGCATCAATTTCTTTCTGCCTCAGAATTTAAGTTCAGAGTTCAAAGTTCGGCATGTCTGCGCAAAGTCTCTACAAATAAAATTGAGCTATGAACGTGGGTGCATCTGCACTAGTACTAGTACGATAAGCTTCCTAACACGGAATATGGGTTCAATTGAGTAGTCTCAGTTGTCTAAGTTCTCTCTCCCTTCGAGATATCTGACACCGACGCGGTAAGGGATTCCTTGTGTAGTGTTGGAACTCAGAATGAGCTAAACCAATTTGGGAATAGGACAAGATTTGCGTATCAAGAAATTTCGAGAATTGGCATCACATTCCGACGCGATATTGAACATTACAAATCAACTTTACAGCCTATCTCTAGAAAGTTCGATTTGCACAAGTGTCGACTTTTGGTGATATCACTTCTATGGAATCTTGTATATAAAAACAGGTTCAATACTCCTAGATAGTGGTTTTAGAGGAGTGCCGGAAAATAGACCTAGTTCCTTATACGTATTGTTTAACGTAATCGGTAAGCGAACCGGCCATGTAAGCGAACCGGCCACCTCTCCGGAAAATAACTCTCTATATTGATTTCAAATCCCAATTTCTCAATCACGTACAAATTATATACAAAAATCTAACTACTAGTACGACTAGGACATTGATTTATTCTATGCCCCATAACGTTACAACCACTGCAGCGAAATTGGCGGCGTACGACTGCTTGAGAAGCTGGGAGCTCCGGCTCAGCCAGAGTAGTAGTAACAGCATGAGATGCCTCAACCTGACCTTGTACGAGCGCCTGAGCTTCCTCTCTAGTAATCCCTTGCTCAATAGATATCTGTTTATTAGATCTTTTGCGCTTTTGCTTCTCTTTTTCATGCGCAGCTCGTAAATCACGGTTTTCTTTCCGTACGAGTAAAGCATCATTCGCTAGTATTTCGTAGGCTTTTGATAACCGTATAACTGCCTGATTGATTTCTTCATTCTGATTCAGGCTTCCTGTACGCTTATTTATACGCTTATTGATTGTAGTTGA